GTTCCGCAGAAGACATGTTTGGCTGTGCCATGATAAGTTGAGGGAGATGTACAGCTTGCCAATGCGGTTGGACTTTGGAGGTCGTCAAGGTGAGCCGACCAGGACGCTGACGGTGTGAGGTGAGGCTCTAAGCGGTGTGGTTCTGGGGACGAGGTGTTAATTATGGATAGTCCCGCAAACCTGGTCCGGGAGCGAACCAGGCGGGTGACAAGGATGAGCCTTGAAGCGAAAGACGGTCAACCTCCAGCCTGGTTTTGACCGGGCTTGGTGCCAGGTCAGAGCTAAATTGGGCTGGCAGCGGCTGGGATGTGTCTGGGCGCGGGGAACGCGAGACAAGAATGACGGCGGGCGTCTTTTGTGGACGTTGAAATTGCAGTTCGAGCGTGACGGAGTAGATGCAGGCAACCGTAGGCAAGATGGGACATCAGACGCTGTGATGAGATAGGATGGAAACGTGCAGAGAAGCAAGGGCGAAGACGACCATGTTCAGACGAGAATGACGGTGGCGGCGATCGAGGGATTGGCCGATACTCGACGGGCCTTTGGAGGAATCTCAAAACCCCGAAGTCAAGAGGCTGTCGATAATTACTTGGTGTGAGTGTGTCCGTAGGTAGAAGCTAGATGCGGCGCATGTGTTTTTTTCGTCCGGGGCTGTTTGAAAGAGAGTTTTTGGCGAGTCCGAAGCACTGAATAAGCTCGGATGGGCTCACTTTGGATGGCAGTTGTACAGATGAGGGCGGCAATACGTCGTCTCACGTCCGCACGTCTGCATGTGCTTTGCTTCGTCTTATTTCCTCAGCGATGAAGGTGATGACTTTGGCGAGCGATGTGATTCGTGTGGGCCAAGGCGGGGTGGCAGTGTAGCGTGCGGGAGGAGAGCTGCGTTTGATCGCTCTGCGGCTGGGCTGATAAAGGAAGTACAAATAGGCAAGTAGCGTCAGAAAGGGTAGGATGACGGAGGACGACGTAGGCGTAGGGACAGATAGGCGAACAGGAGAAATATGTATTGATTGACGAGGATGTTGGATGGGTGGACGTATGCCGTCGAAGTCGGGGTGTGGATATGTATGGCTGGGTTCGCGTTGACCGGACGTGCGTCGTGAGCTGCTGGGCGGCGGCAGTGTTGGTGGTGGTGGTGGTGGTGGTTGGCGAGCACGTAGGCTTGGTGAGATGAGGCGAACGTTGGACTTTGGATGATTTGTATGGAAATCGGGCGGCAAGAAGATGACCGGGGGCTTCCGAGAAGAGGAAGAGGGGGAGGGGCACCGTTGACGGTTGCCGTGGACACAATGAAGGTCGTGGGGTCGTTCAGCGGTTGCGTCTTTTGCGGTTTTCCTTTTTCTCTCTGTTTTACGGGACGGTACTGTGCAAGGTACGAAGTCGAATCTGCAAAGAGGAGCTGTAATGTACCATATCCAGAGTAGTGCAAGCACATGCAGGAGAAGCGCGTGAAAGTGAGCAGGGCCGCTGCGAGGGCAATATTGGGTCCCCACCAGGTCGTGTTTCTGGTTTGCTGCGACTCTAACGAGAGGCTGGGAGGCTGGGCACCGGGTGAGGCCTCGTCAAGCTCCCGTGCCAATAGAAATACCGGGTGAAGGAGCGGGAGTTCTAGTGGCGCTCTTTAGATACCGTCAAGTACCCGAAAGTATGTACGTACGGTACGAATAAGGTATGTGCCCCTTGAAGGAACGAGGCCACTAGGAGGGCACATTGAGAGAAGGGAATTCATTCATGGGGAGAAGAAAAAGACGTGGCCAGTGATAAGGTAGTAGTGAAGACTCTAAAATGTCAATGGCTGACGGGAAAATACCTATGAGCGGACGCTAAGGCGCTTGATATTGTGACTGAGTGACAACCCGCCAACAATGCACGCACGTAAAGTATCTCGTACCTCATTGTCCCAGTTACCTTATTCCAAGGTGGTGCCTTTCTCAACTTGGTAGATGATCGTTACGGATCGGACAGCGAATGCTTACTACTCTTATTCTTGCCCTTTTTCTTGTCTAAGATATGGTAGTTGGCTCTTTCCTCGAAGTTCCTGAAATGTGATGCTTAGATGGAAGGAAAGTTACCTCCGGTGACTTACTTTGAGGAAGGACAGGTAGGTAGGTAGGTACCTTACTTGGTAAAGTTCCTTCCCAGACTCAAGATGGACGGTTGCGCTACTAAGTCGGGAGGGCACGCCTGGCGGGGAAGCTTGGCCATTTCTGGAAGAGGCGGGTGGGACTTTCCCTACTCTGATGCGCTGGCTGTCCGGATATTTCCACTTGGGCGTTAAACGCCGTTGATTTGGAGCTGACGAGACTTACTTTAGGGGCTTAGAAGTTACCTAAGGAGGGCTTCCTCTGCCGTTGGAAAACGTGCCGGTTCAGGATGGCACTCCATGCCTCCCAAGTGGTGTTGGTTCAGGTGCCTCGTGAACCTTCCATAGTCCCTGGCCTCTCGCCAAGGCAGGGAGTACAACACTTTGACGTCCTTCCTTCTCCCATCATCGTCACTTCATCCCTTTCTTCTGTACACACCTCACCCCCAAAATCATCTCATCCACAGCCAGCGTCAAGGCGAGCTGAGACCGGGACCGCGGGACCCAGAACGACAACTCAGCTGCAGCCTGAGGCCGCCCTCCTTCACGAACTCTTCCCCATGCTGCTCCTCTTAGCGCATCTCGTCTCATGTACGATGACCTCCGAATCCAGCCCTCCTCTGGCGATTGGGTCCCGACTTGTTATTCTGTGGGCGTTGGGTTCGTTGGGCTCGCATCAAGCCCTTTCATTCAAACCTGCAAACATCCACATCGTCACTAGGGACTGCAGTTTTCCAGATCCCTCAATCAATTGGCCTCACATTCAATCATCCGTCCATTGACCGCCCTTTGCTTTCCATATTCGACCCACAACTTGATATAGGGAAATACCATGGCATTCATGGGCACGGCCACTTTCGATACGATCGCTGCCGCTAAGGCCAGGGCCCAGGAGGGCATGTCATAATGGACCCCCGAGATGCTTCCTTACCTTGGTAAATTGATGAGTCAATCGCTCAAGGACTGCCTATCTTGCTACAGATCTGATCAGGGGGGTCTGGCCGATTTCGCTTCTCTGCACTCGTCGCTTCCGGCTCAACAATTTGTTCATTACCAGACTCAAGTCTCGGCGGTGCAAGACAAAGATTGCTCAACTCCAAGACGGCAACAGGCCGGATCCCCAAACTATGACCAGAGCAATGCTTCTATACAATACATCTATTAAGAGTCAATGGGTCACACGGAGCTTTTTTGACCCGCTATCTCCAAGGGACGACAGCTCAATGTGAAGCTCTTCGCTTACCGACCTGCGCCAAAGATTTCATCATTGCGCAATCTCGCAATTGATGCATCTTCTCCGTTTTGTTGCGTCGAACTGCGTCGTCGGACCATACCCCTCGAAGCATTAAGAAATAAGGACGACTTACCCACGTGCTCGTCTCTCCTCTGCGTCAAAGCCGTCTGCTGCACGACCCAGCATGTTCATTCGTAGTCTGGAGGCCAGCACATTACCAATCAACGATGCTGGACGTGCTTTCAACCTCCACTGCCTGACACTACCTCTACTACTTGCAATGTGGCACGACATGAAGTGAGACTACCACAGACGATGGAACCGCAGCATAGCAATGCGGTGCATGCAAAGATGGACGAACGAGCAGACTATCTCGGCGTCATTCAGCATGACCCTGTAGAAGTCGGTTGCAGGACCACCATCTGTCAAGAACTCAAACCTGAGGGAGACGAATCAACTACGGCGGCCCATCTCGGGACCGTTGATGCGTCTGAAGGGAGCTTATGGAGACCATAACAATCAAAGTGTCCGATGGCCTCGGGTATCTGCACTGTCTGTTGGCTAACATCAGCGGCCAGGTCAGGGGTGTGTCTTCCACACGCTACGTGCATTTAGGCATCGACGCAGCCCAAATGATGAGGCTGTCTTGTTGTTGACAGGCTGGCAAAGTGTCCTACGGGACGGCTTGTATCTCTTGTCAAGCGCACGCTGACATCAAGGTGTTCAACTTTACAGACGCCTGCCTGCGATATGTTCTCTTCGAGTGATTATCCAGGAGCTCCTAGAAGCCCGGATGCTGACGCTCTGGTCGTTGCAACCTCGCCCGCCATCCTGTTCGCTACTCCAAGCGCCAGGAGCAGGCATAGCCATGCCTCGTCAAGCGCCGCATCTCAACCGACCTGGAGATCTCCCGTGTCCGGTGCACTGAGAAGCCGGCTTTAGAGATGAACGATCGATGATCGGTGGCGAGAAGAAAGGGCAGAACGCAATACAAGGGTCGTGTCGTTTGCCCTTTTGACACTCACACATCCCAGCCAGTCTGGATGTCTTCCCGCGAACCCCACCGATCCCGCGTGGACGGATGGGCGTGGCACACCGGGTCAGACCCTGAGCAACCCAGAAGAACCCACCCCACCTCGCTGTCAAATCGAAATGCTAAAAGGGAGCTAGAAGCGTTGTCACCAATCTGGACGGCATTCGATGTCGACGTCGTCGGAGCCTCTAGCTGCTACAGATTGGGCCACAATCAGGCACACAGAACATGTCACCATGACTCGGTTCTGTATCGTACTGTGACCTTCATCATATATCACAAACGCGAAAACTTGTGTCCTGCACTCCGGCAGCACGGAGACGTACGCTCCACCGTTCGATACCTCCGAGGCTACAACGGCCTCTCGCGATTGGCAACCGAAATGCGCGGCACCGCCGTCTCACCAGCACCATCGCTGCGGCCGTTGACGTACATACTACATACACGGTGGCCAGGTCGGCCGCATCTGCAAGCGACAGCGTTTCCGGCAAGCTGGTCCTCTCCTCCCTTGGCTACCGCTCCACACGTTGCTGCTCGCCTCGAACGGCATCAGCGGGAGGTCACCACACCCCCCGCTCATCGGAAAACCAATCGAAGGGGCAATGCTGGCACTAACGAACTGTAACTCATGCCGCAACGTACCCTTTGGGGAGGAAACAAGCTTCGTTATGTGGCTGTTCGCCGAGTGCCTTGCGACGGACGGCTCACGACAGGTATTGGTAATATACAAGAATTCGCTTACTCGGGCCTGTCCCGAAAGCTAGCTACCGTACCCTATGCAAACATCGCGCGCCCTGCTATTCCTTCACACAGCCGCCACTACCTATGCGCGAGACTGACTGCTGCGCAATCTAACCATCCTATGCAATTGGGTGTCGCTGCAACCCTAGTCTTACAAAGCCGAGTCCGGTTGTTCCTTCAGACAATACCGCCTGAAAACGGCAACCAGCCAAACAATTAAAATAGAAAAAAGAACCATCTAGAGTAGAGATGCAGTATCGAGAGGAGGGGGTTGTGTTTGTTTGTGTGTGTGGTTGTTGATGATGTTGGTATGCCGTGACATTTTTATGCGAGTTCGTCTAATCGTCCGGCTTTGGCTTTTCCTTTCCCAATAGACAGTCCACCCGATCTGTCATCCGCCCTCGTCTGCCCATTGGCAATATTTACCTTGCCAGGATCCTTCCTTTCAACGCGTCTGTGGCCCCCACAGGGCGTCAAGGATTTGGGGGTTGAGGCGCGGGGGGCGGATCATCCCAGTCGGGAAGGGGGGAATTGGATGTGTCAATGGATTTGGAAACCATCTATCGCTGGTGAACAATGCCGTAAAATCTGTTTGTAGATTTTGTTCGGTTTTGGCTCTTCACCTTCTCAGGGAGGAGGCGAGTGGTTGGAGGTGGTGGTGATGCATCTAGTCGTCGTCCTCATCGTCAGAGTCGTCCCTCTTCTTCTTCTTCTTGTCCTTCTTCTTCTTGTCGTCCTGGTCCTTTTTCCACTCGCACGTCTTGCACTTGTTGGCGGCCTCGCGGTCGAGCTCCGGGAAGATGAGGTCAAAGACGTCAGAGTACCACGCGACAGGCTTGCCCTCGATGCCCTCCTTGATGTTCTGTAGTGATGTGTCAGCATTGGTTCTGTGAATTTCGACTACGTGGAGTTGTAGTAGTCATTGTGAAAGACGTACCTCTGGGAGCTCGAGCCAGTCGGACATGCAGTCCTTGGGGAAGATGATCATCTTGCAGCCGGCGCGGCGCGCGGCGACCGTCTTCTCGCGCAGCCCGCCGATGCGGAGGACCTTGCCGGTGAGCGTCAGCTCACCCGTCATGGCGACGGTGGGGTTGACGGGGGTGTCGAGGGCGAGGGAGAGGAGCGAGGTGGCCATGGTGATACCGGCCGAGGGACCGTCCTTGGAGACGGCGCCGTCGGGGACGTGCAGGTGCAGCCTGGCCTTGTCGAAGAAGTGGTTGTCGGGGAAGTCCCTGACCATGAGGGACTTTGCAAACGAGTAGGCAATCGTCGTCGACTCCTTCATGACGTTCTTGAGGTTACCCGTGATCTCGAGCCCGGGGCGGCTGCTCGGTCGCAGGGGCGCCTGGAGGATGGACTCGATGTACATGGCGGCGCCGCCCATCTGGGTCCACGCGAGACCCATGGCCACGCCGGCGGGGTTGACCTCGTAGAGGCGGTCCGAGGTGAAGACGGGAGGGCCGACGTAGTCGACGAGGTTCTCCTTGCCGATGGTGACGTGGACCGTGTCGGGGACGTTGAGGGCGACGCGGGGCTTCTCCGCGGTCGGCGTCTCGGCCGGCTGCTCGCTCGTCTCGCGCGCCTCCTCAGCCTTCTTCTCCGACGCCTCGAGCGCCTCCTTGCCGTCCTCGGTCAAGGCCTCCTTCTCGGGGAGCACCTCCTCACCGAGATCCTGGACGATCTTGAGGGCGGATTTCCGGTAGACCTTTTCAATCTGCTTCTTGAGGTTGCGGACGCCGGACTCGCGGGCGTATGACTTGATGAGCTCCTCAATGGCCTCCTCGCTGAGCGTGACGTCGGCGTTGGCCAGACCTGCGGCTTCGCGGGCGGCCGGGGCGAGGTACTTGTCGGCGATGGCCTTCTTCTCGTCGGCGACGTAGCCCGACAGCTGGATGAGCTCCATGCGATCGAGGAGGGGTCGCGGGATGGTGTCCGTCATGTTGGCGGTGCAGACGAAGAGCACCTTGGACAGGTCGACGGGGACGTCCATGTAGTGGTCCAGGAAGGAGCTGTTCTGCTCCGGGTCGAGAAGCTCAAGCAGAGCCGATGAGGGGTCGCCTTGGTAGCCGCGGCCAATCTTGTCGATCTCGTCAATGAGAATCAGGGGGTTCTCGGTCTGACACTTCTTGAGGGCCTGGATGATGCGACCGGGCAGGGCACCGACGTAGGTTCTGCGGTGACCCTTGATTTCAGCCACATCCGTCAGACCACCGACACTGAATCGGTAGTACTGGCGGTTCAGTGCGCGGGCAATGGACTTGCCGATGGATGTCTTTCCGACACCGGGAGGACCGACGAAGCAGATGATCTTGCCCTCGACGGTGCCACGCAGCTTGCCGACAGCGATGAATTCCAAGATACGATCCTTGACATCCTTGAGCCCGTAGTGATCCTCGTCCAAGACCGTCATGGCGTTCTGAATGCCAAAGTTCTCTGCGCTGCGCTGGCCCCAGGGGATCTGCGTAAGCCAGTCCAGGTAGTTTCGCGTGACATTGAACTCGGACGCTGCGGGCTCGAGGTGGGCAAGCTTATTGATCTCGTCGTCGAACACCTTGCGCACGGCCTCGGGCATGGCCAGGTTGTTGGCCTTCTCCTTGAACTTCTCAACCAGCTTGTCCTTGCCGTCAGACTCGAGTCCCAGTTCGCGACGGATGCCCTTCATCTGCTCCATCAACCAGTACTCCCGCTGCCGCTTAGTAATCTTACTCTCAACGTCCTTGGTGATCTTTGACTGAAGCTGAGCGTTCATGAGCTCCTTCTTCAGGACGATCAGCGCCTTTTGCATTCTCTCCTCCACGTTGAGACTAGACAGGACCTCTTGCAGCTCGCCCTGCTCGCCGGAAGACACGGCGGCGGCGAAATCTGCCAGCTTGGCCGGCTCGGACGTTACGTTGCCTGTGGACTGGCTCATGGAGAATGTCGAGATCTGATCACGGAAAAGGCTGTTCATCGTGGCAACTTCCTTGAAGACGTTGACGATCTCGTTGGTCACGGCACGGATAACAGCGCTCTTGGGGTCGTAGGGCTCCTCGGTCAAGTTCTCCACGTTGACGAGACTAACGGGGTATCTTTTGAGGAACGCCGTGGGCTCGTACTTCTCCGCCGCCTGGTCGGCCTTGGGGGCCACAGCACTCTCCTCGAAGCTGGCAACGACGTCGCCCTTCTTCTCTTGTTGAGCCTCCTCATCGGTGGGCTTCGAGGGTATCGGCTCGGGCACAGGCTCCACCTTAGCTTCGCTCAGCTTCTTGTCCTCCGTTCCCGGCGGCAGCAAGCTCGAAAGGCGGATACGGCGGTGAGGGTAGAGAATAGCCGTCAGGGCGCCCTGCTCTCCATGCATGGGGAACGCACTCGTGATCTGCGCAAAGACACCGGTATCGTAGACGTCATCGACATTGCGGATAACGTCCTCGTCTTGGTTCTCGTCCTTGAACAAAAAGGCACCGACGTACGGCTGGCCTCTCTTAATCATCTCGGTGATGGCCGCGGCGACGTTCGGGTCTTTGATGGTAATGGCCTTGTAGAAGCCGGGGAACAGTGGCCGCTTCGCAATCGGAATAGCCAGGACTTGGGGGTAGACGTCGGGCACAACGGGCTTCTGCAGGCTCTTGTCAGAGGCTCTGCGTCCGCGTCTGCCGCTGCCGTCGCCCTTGTCGTCGCCGCCGCTGCCGCCGGATCCCGCTGACGAGCCACCGGCTGCGCTGCCGGCCTTGCCATCTTGTGCGGCTCCAGAACCCTCACCTTTGGCGGATGACTCGGAGTTAGAGCTCTTGGCCTCGGCAAGCTCCTTCTCCTCGAGCTCGCGCTGGTGCTTCAGGTTCGCCTTTTGTTCCTCCTCGGACAGGGGCTCGACGGCACGGTCAAAGAAGCTGTTATCTTCCTCCTTTAGCCATCGTGTTGACGTGGAAAACGGGGCGACGGCTCGCTGGGACGGGCGGGTGGTGAGGAGAAGGCGGTCGAAGGTGGATGCGGAGCACCTCGGAGTACTCGCTGCAGGTAACCTGCTACTCGAGGCCGCGTAGGGGTTTCTGAGGTAGTTTGCCGAGCGGCCGAGGGCCAGGCGCCTAGGGAAGCTCGATCGCATCACCATGTTGGCGGCAGTTGGGGGAGGGTTTGCCAGTCGACTTGGAAGAAGCTCCGGTCGCGGCACGTGGTGATCGGGTAATACAGGGCCGAGGGCGAATTAGGATGTGCCGCTGTGTTGGTTGAATGATTGGCAAAACAAAAGAGATGGTGGATGCAATTGGAAGGGTTGTAGATGTGTGTATTTGTGCAGAAGGGTGGTGAAAAGGACTCCGAGTCCTAAATCGCGATGCGCATCGCCTCCTGACGCCTTACAAATACAAAGTGTAGGTGAGTTGAGTAGGCTTTCTAGCTATTATGGAGACAGTCGGGGGGGAGACTAGAAAGTAAACGACATCACCAAAAAAATCAATGAGCACTGACGTTGCCGCCCGTGCCTGGCCACTCAGCGCGCGGCGGAGGCGGGAGTTGGCTCTGGAACCAGGAAGAACATCGGCCCCGTTTGCCGGCGGGGCGGCTTACCTAAGGATGGTGCTCCAGAACGACGTCCCCCCACAGATTGAAGTGGCTGGCGGATGGAGTACCTACAGTACCTACGTATACCTTAGGGCGACACGGCAGTGGTTGCTGCCGCAGCTATCCGTCGCTCCGTGCGAAGTACATCACTTTCGTATAATTACAACTTGCACATTCCGATATCTCTTGACGTACATGAGTGCATACACATTGTGTCTAGCCACCTGCTTACCGTAATACCAACTCGAGTTGGCTTTGTGTTGTCATGTACAACGATGAAGAGTACATCTCCCAGGTTGCCTGCCACAGTGCCGTGGGTGCCTCCCAGACTCCCGTCCCTCTGACTCGCTGCGGGGAAGGGGTCAACCCAACCCCACAATGGGAAAGGGTTCCAAGCACAACGAACCCATCCACGTCCCGCCATCCCGTCGTGGCCCGTCTAACAGCAGTCCGTTCGCACACCTGAAAGGAGCCGAGGCCACTTCCAGTTACATCAACCTGTTTACAAGAACTTGTTTCCTGCTACGGACACTATCTTCCTCCTTTCCTCCACCCTGTTTTCTTCCAGGAGCTTCACGCCGCACAGAAACTTGGCCATATATTCATCAACCCTTGGCCTTCTCACACTTGTCTCGGAGGATCTCTCTCAGGTCTCCTCCAGCATCACTCCAGCTGCAAGCTGCACCCTCACCTTGTTGATCCTTCATCGGCGTCGTCCAAACACCACCGCCCCGTCGTCCACCGATCGACCTTCCCTGCTACCCGGAACTTTATCCACTCTTTACCTCGCTTCCCGACGGAACCGCACCCGGGTTCCTAGCCATCTCAACCTCCTGTCCATCTCAAGCAACGTTCTGCCTTCACTCTCTCTGCCACACATATATACCACTTCTCCTACTTCTTTAATATCTACCCATCTGTACACATCACCATCATGCCTTCCTCAAGCCAAAAGTCAGACGTCACGTCCTCACTCTCCAAGCTCTCAATAAACAGCAGCAAAAAGACGCCATCCACCAAAAAGACCAAAGCACCAGTGGCAGACTCTTGGGAAGATGAGGACGTAGACGAGGACGACGATGAAGAAGAAGAGGAGGCCGTGAAGCCCCAAAGTGACGGCGCCAAGGCCCCGCCGCCCACCCCCATCTCACCAACCTACAACGCCGCAGACAGGTCCTTCCCCAACCCCTACGGCAGCGTCGACTCCGTTGCCGGTGCCGGTGCGTCCTCGGGTGGTGGTGGTGGTCAGGACAGCGCCTCATCACGCCCCAGGCCAGAAAAGACAGACGCCGTGGCCCGCCGCATGATTGCCAGCGCCCTAGGTGTGAAAGTGCCCCGGATGACGGAGGAGCAGAGGGCCTACGACAAGGCTGTCAAAGAGAAGGAGCGGAAACGCAGGGAGGAAGAGAAGGCTGCTGAGAAGCGCCGGCTGGAGGACGCCGAGAAGGCCAAAGTTGCCATCTGGGAGGACTAGATTTTGCTTCTTGATCCTCCTAGATTCAGGGGCTCTAGTATTCCCTCTCCTTGCAAGGAGGAATGGAAGGGCCGGAGAAGGAAGGTAGACTATTTCCCAAAACTCGCCAATTTTTACTTGCACATATTCACATAAAAAAAAATACACTACCATATGAGGTTCCTCTGCTTATTCAAGTAGACAGAATACAGTTATTGACTTTCTGTGCGACAACATACGAACATGTAGCCAGCTCACATCAGCTCTGGCCTGGCCCGACTTCGTCACTCACTCCTGAGCTTTGGCATGCTCCTCCTCGGCAGCCCTCTGTTTTCTCATAGTCTCCAGCACATTCTTAACCATAGGCCGAGCGCGGATTCTCTCAGCCCAAGCGGCGTAGTCGGGATACTTGGTGTCGACCTCCCACTTATCGTTCCACCCTTCGCCGATGAGTTTTCTGGCGAGGTAGTCCCACGGCATGAAGGAGATGTCGGCGTAGGTTCTACAGAGCACACAGCCCCATCATCGTCAGTTTTAATGCGCAGAATCATGGAAAGAGCTCTAGATGGGTAGTACATAGTGGACTCTTTTCTGGGGAAAGTGGATTTCTGGGTCGAAGTTGCTATTCATAGCAAAGGAGCAGAGATTCAGATGGGAAAAGGGGGTGATGGAGCCGGATACAATGGGGACTGGGAAAGGGGAAGCAGGGACAGGTGGGTATCTGTCTCTATCAAGTATCGACAACGTACGCTTTGTCTCCGACGAGATACTTCTTCCCCTTGAGAGCGCGATCGAGGACGGAGAGGACGCGGACGGTCTGCTCTTCGTACCGCTCCTTTGCGCTGGGGACGTCTTCGGGGTGGAAGAGCTTGAACCAGCCGAGCTGGCCAAAGTACGGGCCCTATATGGGTGAGGACACGGTGAGCTATTCGTCGCCATTTTGGGATCTATCCATCATACTCTGCTTAAGACAAAATGAATGGTGCATTACAAGAAGGGGAGGAGTTTATCATAAGAGTGAAACGAAGGACGCATTCAAGTTGATATAAGGGAGCTGAGGGGATCAGGACACACCTGTCCAGACACCTGGAAATGCAGCCACTGCTTCAAAAGGAACTTGTCCTCTCTCGACGCGAGGGACAGCGCGCCGGCGTCGTCGTACGTTTCGACGAGGTACTCAACGATGGCGCCCGACTCCCAGAGCGTGATGCCCGTGTTAGGGTCTTTGATGGCCGGGAGGCGGCCGTTTGGGTTGATGGAGAGGTAGGGTTCTTCCTTTACGACGGCGAGGTCGATGATGATCTGGGGTAAAAGTACCTCAGGTCAGAAAATGAGTGAATGTGTGTATAGTGGTCTTGTAAAGGATGGTTCTTCCGATTATCATGGCCGATTTGTTTGATTTCAGGGAGAGTTTGGTGTACTAGAACGGTGGAATGCTGAGAGAGAGAGAGAGAGAGAGAGAGAGAGAGAGAGAGAGGAGACGTTACATGTTCGTATGGGACCTTGAGCTCCTCGAGGATCATGACCACCTTTGACGGGTTGGGGGTGTAACCTGCGATAAAGAGACATTAGTATCGATCCTAGACTCATGGGGTAAGATGAAAATGTCAAATTCCAAAACATACTGTGGCCGTAGAGAACGATGGGCTTTGAGGCAATCATGATGACTTGTGCTACTCGAGATGTAGTGTCTGTACTATTTCCTTAGAGTTATTAGTTTTGATGTGTGTTAATGGTGATGGTTCTATCTGCCGATTCTGGGAGCGATATATTGAAGGATAGAATGGAGGATGTATTGCTATTTATCATTCTTCCCGCAGTAAGAGTCTGGCAGAGTGTTGAACATCACTTGGATACCCCTCGTGTCTATCTGTTCTCTCGCTTCGACGCTGCTCGGACATGCTTCCAAACCTTCTCATTCCCTTCACACATGATGCAATCGCCAGTCTCCTCGACACCATCCATGGAAGCTGCTCTAGAGCACCCTGCCGCGACCAAGCCCGCAAGCCGAAAAAAAACACACCAACATTCTCTCGCAAACATAGTTCCTCCTCATGTAATCATCACCAATCCCGAATCCTCATCTCTGCTGATCCCCTTCTTACAAAAGACTCTCCCGCGCGGCAGATGACTACAACCGAGTGATCTCGCCATCTTCTGAATTATAGTCAGCTTTGTCACGCTTGGAAATACTCCCCCCAAAAAGCACCTCACAAATCCTCCCTCCCTCTCCCCCATGCCGAGAAGGATCATTAGTACATCTTATGATACGCCACGTCGTGGCTCACGTATCACTACACACCCGGAAAATATGGGGCCTCTGTTCGGCCGCGCTCCGGACGAATGGTCCGGACAACCAAACCGCATGCCGAACAGCTTTGTTGCTGACGAACCCGCCCCCCGGACTACGGACAATTTTCGTATATACTGTCCGAATAACCAATCTCTCCGGTCGACTTTCCAACATCTCAACGCCGCCCCAACACTGCTGCTAAGTTTCCAGCTATTCCGTACAAACACTTATCTCAGATTATTCTCTCTCAACCTAGGATACCCAGCTACTCTACCAATTCAAAGTCCAATCCACGCTCAGAATGACGTCTCAAGACACAGATACATACACTCACGTCCTGAAGAAAGAGCAAAAAGACAAGGAACGATAAAAAGACGACGAACCACCGAATTTGCGGCTTACAGGTTCCTTTTCGAGAAAATAGCCCAAAACTTTGTTTCGAACCCGCAAGACGACACATCCCAGGATCAATGTTCCCCTCAAGCACGTGGCAAAGAAGGAAAAAGAAGCTTGATCGAATCGTCGGCCATGTTACCACACACACACCTTTCCATTTCACGAACCCGAAAAAGGCGATACCTTTATTCCCCCCCTGCCGCTTCACCAAACCCCTCCACAACCCGATGTTTTTCTATGCAAAAAAGGACTGAAGTTGCGAAGATTCCGGGGGCGGCGAATCATGCGCCTTGCAGCCCTCCGTTCGTCCCAGATTTGAAAGAGTCTCATCACCTGAATAGAACAAGAAAGTTTCTGGACTCCTCAACGGCAGAATGGGATAAGAAAAAAACAGAACAAAAAAAGAACCAGAGTCAGAACTCCGTAATGTGGGCAAAACCATTACTCAGGGATATAGAGCGCTCCTCATGAGATGACGTGAAACAATCAGGACACCCACGGAAAAGCCCAGCACACCCTTTTTTTCGACAGTTTAATGTGTGGGACACGTTGCCAATGAAGTCGGGAAGGCCATTCGCCTGAACTTGCCGGCTTGGCTGAAGATATTCCAGAAAGACCAGACCTGTTGTCCGTCGGAGTCCGGATGTTAGATGTTGGCCAACACCAGGAAGCTTTTGAAGGGTCAACCCCAAGACGACCGAGGGCACTATCCGATCAACTCACCACCCGTGCATTTTTGTTAAGATGCTAGTAAACATTTCGACGCAGCTTCCAGAAGCCGAAAATGCCCCTGTTTGAACACACGGAGAACATACCGGTCCCGGATATCATGAAACAGGTCTTTCTAACGATGTCGCCGAGGTGTATATGGCGATCTTAGGTACAGCATTGTTCATCCTCGGCCGTTTCCATGGCCCATGGAGCCAGGACGAATACCTCGACCGCATTGCCAGATTCAATTGACCACGTTTGTGGGTCCATTTCTCAACTGCTGTTGAGAAGTTTGTATAAGTTGCTGGTTAAAGAGTGGGCCGTTGTCGCAAAGTCGGACTTTGAAAAACTTCATCGGAGAATGTCCTGCATCACAGGCTGAAGTGCCTGGCTAAAACAGCAGACCAGGCAGCTGAGCGCCGAGCGGAGGCATGAAAGCTGGCCAAGCGCCGGCGAAAGGCACGGTGTCCACCAAAGTCGACGTGCATCGGGCCTTGTCTGCTTCGGGAATCTGATAAGAAAGTCTGGCAGGGGATTCCGACGAGAGTATCCATATCGCTGACGAGAGTATTCAAGTATAAGGCTTACTCGGATGAAGATCTTATCAGACAGCCCTTCAGTTGTGCCGCCTCAATGGCATGGCGCGCCTCCCCGAATCCGACTTCAAATACGATTACGGCGCTTGAGAATTACTGCCCTGGCCGGCCGAGAGCAACGACGCACGTGGAATGGCTGGAAGTAGCCCTGGCCACGCACTTATGATCCGACGACCTCGAAATTGTGAAAGCAAGGTCTATTCGCTGTTGAACATTGATCACACAGGTGCTTAATGGCTAGCCGGAGCGTTTGGTTGTTTGGTGAATGACCCATGTCTGTGTGTCTGGCCCTTCAAACTGGTCAGAGAAGATGAGACTTGATGCCTCCTTCTCCCACGTGTGCTCCCTGCTAATATCTGTTCCAAAGGGCCTGTGAACCGCCAGGCCATTGACGCTAGCCGATTGGGCAAGGCGCTCAGAGGATACTCATCTTGAGCCCAATCAGGGTCGATTTTCTGACGAAAGCGTGAATGAGACCAGGGTTGTCCTGTCATCAAGGCCAGCGGCCGATGCCCCTGCAACGCTTGAGAAGTATTTGGTCGGGCTTGACACGAAAACAGCCTGGAGAACTCATACGGCAGAGTTGCCGTGAAATGTGAAATACCGTCACGACACAGGAGCGTAGTCAGCCATTAAGCTTATGTTGGTATCAAATTCCTTTCCTTTGTCAAGGGGCTAGACTGGTGTTGAGAGAAAGAGTATTAGACATTGGCGTAGTTCAGAGGGTCCCAACTTGGAACTTCTTGTGCAACCTCGTACAACCGGTAGCTGGTAGCCTCATCATGTGGTATTGAGGTACAAATGGCGACCTGCGGCTTGATGGCTTCCGACTTCCAAGGCGAAGGTGCAGCCTCATATTGAGGTGAGAAGGGCCAAGAGCCAGGATGGGGCTGCAGCCAGGCTGGAATTCGAGGAGCGACGAAAGTGCCCAAAGCGTGTATAAGGTTTTCGTGGTCCGAATTCTGTGCGTCCGACTTGGATACAGTCAATTGCCGTGCTATTCATATACCCCACCCCCCGTGCTTCATGAGGAGAGTCTGGGCACCGTGTAACAGGCTAACAGCAGACAATAATTAGGGCCGGAAAACCGTCTCTTTGAAAGTCGTTTGGGAGGGTTGAGGGGGTGAGGCCTATGGCTTGTCGAGCAATTGAGTTGCCGAGTCCTGGCATGGTGGAACACTGCGACGTTGGAACGTGGCCAGTAGACCGCAGGTCAACTAGACGGGAAACCGGTCAAACGATGACAGAAGGTTTGTGACCTGTTGTATCTGCGCTCGCAAGCGCATCGTAACCGTAGCATCGCCGACGTTCTGGCCGCGTGCAGCTTCCAGGTTCCGCCTCGCCTGTGTACATTTGTGACTCGTGAGCGAGATGGGTTGCATTCCTCGGTGTGATGCGGGGCGGTGACCGAAGCAGTAGGTATGTAGTTGAGGATCAACCCGTACATGGCAAGCCAGCCGATGCTGGATGGGTAGATCTGCACAGTCAACTGGCAAAAAAAGAAGCCCGGACTCACGCCACAGACGCCTAGTCGGCGGGTAGAGGTTATCCGTCTTTTCTGCTCAAACTGTAGCTTCGGGATTAAATGACTGAATGCCACTTAGCTCGTCATTGATGGCGGTCATTTGCTCTTAGCCCGCCTCAGGTTGAGGCTTGATGATTCGTTGCAGCCAGAAAGAAGGAGATCGATCATTGCTGAGCCATGAAGCTTCATACCAGGGTTCGCCAAGTCACTACGCAAAGTCCATAATTAAAAAAAAGTCGGCATTTGCATCGCATGTTGCGAACTTGCGGATGAGACTGTTCCCTGTTTGTTTTTGTATGTAGTGAAGCGGGAACTTCATCCAATATCAATTGTCCAATCGTGCAGCGAAGGGATGGTCTATCGACAAACCAACGTCTGGAAATGTTGGCGGGCACGCGGGTCGGGATCAGACTGGGGGCGGTGGAGGGTCATTACTCGGGAGTGATGACTGAAACACTTGTTCCATTGCCTAGCCCCCTCTTCCGTTCAGTCTGCAAAAGACGGCGCTCGCTTGTCGACAGCGTCTGGGGCTGCCGGATGCGGAGACGTGTTGCCGGGCGCGGCTGAATCCTGCGTGACTTTCCTGGATGGACCGAATTTCTCGGGGCCCAAGAACATATAATGAGGGTCCAGACAGTATCGAGATCCGTATCCGTCCGTACCTTGAAGCTTATAGCATCTCCCGCTTCTGTTGGGGAATGGTGGAGAGAGAGAAAGAGCGAGCGGAAGTCATCCGGAGAGAAATAAATACTAATTGTTCGGGGCAGAATAAACCATTGAAAACCGAAGCACGGGGATAGTCAACACAAATAAGAGAATTCTGAGCTTGAGAGAAGAATGCAGCAGGATTCAAGACGTGTGATCTGCAATGTTGCCTACCTCACTAGTTGACGGACGCAAAGTAAGGCAAAGAAAGTGCGGATTCCGGTAATCTGGATTGTGGCAGGAGACGACATCCGGGTGCAGATACCGATCGGGTCGGGCGGGAATGGGAAAGTGAGAGGAGAGGGCAATACCTTCTCCTCCAGTCCATAGGCACTGAGGCAGTAGCAGATGATTCGGGAGCAGCCTGAAAGCATGAGGTGTTCCATTGCAAGTGCGAACCATGGGGCGGTAAGGGTAACAGCAATTTGATTTGAGGATGAAATTTTTCTGTTGTATTGCGGAACGAGGATGCCCTTCTCAGAGGCGGAACCTTGTCTGATGGACTCGCGTTGTCGGATGGACGGACACTTGGTGCAGGCTCAATTTGCCAAATGCCTGGTACCTACGGATAAGTATTCGTACGCGATACCTCACCGCAAAGCCCAAGTGCAAGACCAAGACCAAGACCAAGACCAAGACGGACCAAGACGTGGTGGGATGAGAGGCACGCACGTGGATCTTGATTCAAAAAGGTTGAGGCCAGGAGCGTGGCCCATTAAACTTTGCACTTTGCCTTTTGCTATATCTGTATCCGTAGGTACTCCTGTTAATAGCGTATGCCATGCCGTGCCTCAGCTTAGATGGACAAGCTGCCCCTTGCTCAAATTTCCAATTTCCAACAGCTTCATTATTTTCTTCCAAGTCTCTGATTGCCTGATGCCTTATTCTATGCCGTACATACCTCAGGCCCTCCCCAATGACCCCATCACTGCTCAAGCCCGGCTGCCTCGCATATTACGCACGATTGGGGGCCGCCTGGGGGAGATGTCAAATAATCAAAATTGATCAAAAGGGATGAGAACAAGCGCCAGCTCAGCCGGGATTGGCAAGAGCAACAAGGAGCAGAAAATATCCCGAAATGCCTGGAGAGATGAGAAGTCGGTACGTACCGTGAGCCGTAAATATCTGTGAGAGCTTGAGTTGGCCGGGGTCAACCAGGGTGTGCGCCCAATGAAAGTGATTTAAATGCCATGCATGCGGCAGAGGGAAGACACTAAAACGAGTGGAGCTGCCCGCTGGTCTGTCCTTAGTGGTACTGCCAGTAATACCTAAGGTACCCTAGGTAGGCTGTTACTCAAGTCGACAAGGACAGCTCCTGCCCGCTCTTTCCTCTGCTCTGCTCTTGCCCCAACAGCAAACCTGAGACTGCAAGTCCCTAGGTACCTGCCTCAATCACTTGCCAAGTATCTTTTCATGCTTACCTAAGATTACCTTACTTCACCTGCCTTATGAGGTAGATTGAAGGAAAGCCCGTCTCAACTCTCGAGGTCGAGAACTTGTCCACACTCCACAGGCGTGATATTCTGCCTTGCTCTCACGATGATAAGTCACTTGAGATGTTTACGCCTGCCGTTCGAGCAAGCTGTTCCTCATCACCCTCAACTCCCCGAACCTCGAAGCCCTGGTCCATCATCAGCAGCTCGTGCCCTGCACCTGAAGGTTTCCAAGGTTCTTCACCTAGTCCCAAACATCCCGTCCACCATCAAGTCACAAACGGCAGATGCCTCCATTCACCTCAATTACACCCACCCAGAAGCAGTCAACCGGCGTTTAACTGTGCTTCAAAAAGCCGAGCAAAGGACGTGGGTAACTATGTACCTAACCATATTGCCTTAGGTACATCCGTACCTGTCTGTTCTCCTCCCGCCGCACGCCGCAACCTCGCACGTCTCTTTCTATACACCATCAGTACTGCATACCTCTCCCGGCAACTCCCTGCTCGGCCTGTTCCCCCTCCGGCAGGCCAAGACCTGTCCAGGTCAATTGAAGAAGCTGTCCGCGGGTGGCATAGGCCGAGTCCGCCCCCTCCACACACACACACACACAATCTCTACATCCTCTCTCCCACATTCATATTCGTACATACACACTCACTCACAGCACAAGAGACAAGGCCCATATATCCCTGAGGTACCTAGGTATCCCGATCCATACACCACACGCGCACCCGCGCCCCGCCGCCCTGGCCTTGCCTTGCCAACTTTGCTGGGGCCTGCTGCACCACTCACCTACTTCGTAAGTCTGCGCTGGGAACGTGTCCCTGTCACCCATGCCGCCGCATACCTGAGGAGTGAGCACTGAGGATCGAGGGACCCCGACGGGGAGGGAGGGCGGGTGGTTGGTGTCTGGGCTGAATGGATCCCAGGTCTGATTGTCTGAGCTGACTGCGTGTGGGATTGGGGGACGTGTGTGTGTATGTGTGTGTGTGTGCCTTGCCTCGCCCATTTCTCCCCGTCTCTCTCTGGCTCTGGTCCTCACACTCTCACGTCTTGCAGTCAGTGCCTTAAGTACATCGTGAGGTCAGAGATAGCGGCAGAGGTATCCGTATCCGTAAATTCCAGTGCAGAGGTACCTGGTCATCGAGACCGCTGCTTCTCGCAACTCCACGAGTCCAGCCTGCCCGCCACTAGCATCAACTTTACACTTTCCCGCACAACAGAATTCCTTTTCCTTTTACCCACACCTGCTCTCCTCACTGGCCCTCGCCTCCCCTCCAACTCAGTTTCCAGTCTTCTGTCCAGCTTTTCTTTTTCCGATCTCCCTCACAGTTCACTCCCCTTCGTCACTTGACAGATCAGATCCGAACCGCCAGTACGGCCTGATCTCTTCTCTCATTGATTGATTCCCTGGGCCGAACGCGCTTTCTTGTCACACCCAGGCTGTCTACGGTCTACCTACATCACTGTCATCACCTTCCATTCCCAAACTACCGTCTCTCTCTGATCTTAGTCTTATAAGGCTCAGGTCTCTCCAGGCCTCCTCCCCATATTGCCATACCTTATACCCACCCACCCGGGGGCACCTCTCATACAGCACGCTCCTTCGCTGCCAAGGTACTCCCAAAGGTACCCAAAGGTGTCGCTCTCGGTACCAAAGGTACATCGGTGCTTACCTTAGCTTAGGCCCGTACTCAATTGCACTTACCCGCCCGCCTATCGAGGTCCTGGTGATACCCACATTTATTCCTCCGACACTGTCCTTGCCCGCCTTCCCGGTCGCACTCTCGTCTTCCGTCCTTCGCTACCCATCTCCCTCGACAGCTCCCGCCCATCCCCGATCTTCAGGGTCGTCGCTCATCATCCATCCATCCTCACTCCGTCCGATAAACAATCATAACAACTCACCGCTCTCGCTTTCGATCCTAGCCGTCGCTGCGTCCTCTCTCGAGGCCTTTTGATTCGAAACGCCTACCTTACCGCCGAGTCCTCCGCCGACCGAACGATCATCACTACCAATCGACGACGACGCCCTGCGATCCATCTCAGTCTCGCCATTAATTTTCACCCCGTCAGCCTTATCTGATACTACTATGGGCATTTAACGTGCGTCCATTCGGGATCTCACGCGCGGTTAAATCATTTCGACGGCTCCTTGAGCCCTGCAATCGAACATTTAACGCACCCAAATCCCATCGTTACTCCCATCGGCGGCTCAACCGAAGCCCCGGCCTCTTTCGAAAATGGGTGCCTGTATGAGCTCAAACAACGAGGAGGTGGAACAGAAAAAGAAGAGTCAGGCAATCGATCGACAGCTGGAAGAGGACTCGAAGAGGTTACGCCGGGAATGCAAGATTCTTCTGCTCGGTAGGTTTTGACACCAGAGTCCAATCCTACAGGATCTTGAGGTGGACCTAGCTTGCTGACAACCACGCAGGATCCGGAGAAAGTGGTAAATCCACGATAGTAAAGCAGATGAAGATTATCCATCTGAAAGGCTACTCCGAAGATGAATTGTACAACTACCGCCCGACCGTGTTCAAGAACCTGGTGGAATGCGCAAAAGCAGTGATCCAGGCCATGCGACAATTCGACATCGAGCCGGTAATCGAAGAGAACAAGGCGTATGCCACCTTCCTCATGGAATACACAGCCGAATCTGGCCCCCAAGCACATATCGATCCCCAGATTGGAATCGCCATCCAGTCAATATGGAGCGATCCCGCGAGGGAACAGCTCATGGAGAGGCAGACTGAGTTCTACTTGATGGATTCTGCAGAATAGTAAGTGTACCCAATTGGAATTAAGGTGCCAGTGCAAGAAGTGCTAATGAGATGTCATCAGCTTCTTCCAAGAGGTCATGCGGATCGTAGCACCAGACTACCTCCCGAACGAAATGGATGTTCTCAGAGCCAGAACGAAGACAACTGGTATCTACGAGACAAGATTTCAGATGGGTCAACTCAGCATACAGTGAGGCTTTGTGATCGACTGTGCGCGTACCTCACAATTACTGACGATGTCTACAGCATGTTCGATGTTGGCGGTCAAAGAAGCGAAAGAAAGAAGTGGATTCACTGTTTTGAAAATGTCACTTCAATTATCTTCTGCGTTGCCCTTAGCGAGTACGACCAAGTTTTGCTGGAGGAGAGCAGTCAGGTATGTCGTCCCTTGAAGCCATACCCCCCCCCCCCCTCTCCCTCGATGCTTTGCGCTAACGACCGCAGAACCGAATGATGGAAAGTCTACTGTTGTTTGACTCGGTGGTGAACTCAAGGTGGTTTATGCGCACCAGTATCATTTTGTTCCTGAACAAGGTGGATATCTTCAAGCAGAAGCTCGGACGTTCACCACTGGGCAATTACTTCCCAGACTACTCAGGCGGTAACGACGTCAACAAGGCAGCCAAGTATCTCCTCTGGAGGTTCAACCAGGTTAACCGAGCACACCTCAACCTGTATCCCCAGTAAGTGAAAGCGTCATTGTTTCGGTGGGCGGGGGCTAATCCAACCGCAGCCTGACTCAAGCAACCGACACATCCAACATCCGATTGGTGTTTGCGGCCGTCAAGGAGACGATCCTCAACAACGCTCTTAGGGACTCTGGCATCCTATAAACCGCCAGTCGCCTCGGCTACAAATTTTCCTTAATGTTTAGATTCATCTCCTCTGTTGCGGGTCAGCGTTTTATAGCATTGCCGGGCGTTGTGGGCGGCACCTCGTTTGGACGGCGTTCACTCTGGTTTATACGCTCGCTTGCGATACGACACGGGTGCGAGCGAATCGTCGGTTAGTGCCTCGACTCGAGAACAGCACGGCACGACAATTCCTTTTCCATTTGCATCACGGAACCAATTGCTTGAAGATGGACATTCGCAACCGGTTGCTGCCCGCCTACGCGAGATACGCCAGGTTGTTGTGGTGGAAGAGATGCCCATGTGAAAGCGTTTCTGGGACGAAAAGCACGCCATGGGTTGGAGTATGGTATGGGAAACGGGAAATTCAAAGATGATGTGATGAATTGGCCGTTCGTTTTCTTTTGTCTCTGTTTTGGGATGATGCTCGAAACTTGGGAAAGCGACAGCATCTACCCTGTTGGAAGCGGTAGCGTAAGGGCCTGATTGATAGCTGGAGAGAGTTGCGACAGCTAAATGAAGCACATCTCTATATGCGAACCATTCGTGTGCCAGGAACGTGCCAGTACGCTTTGTGCACGCAACTCATGGATGTTCAAAGAGCTCATTCCAGATTCTTAGCATGGATAGAGGGGAGGGGGGCGGGCTGGTCGCAGGAAACAACAGCGAGGATGAGGGAGATGGATCTCACGAGAGAGAGAAGAAGAAAACCCCCGCAAAACGCTGGCTTGAGGCTTCGCGATCGCGGTAGATGATGTTCTTTTCTTTTTCCGTTACTTGTACACTATATCGTCTTAATCAACGCAAGGCTGTGTATGCACTGCTGGAAGCGGTCGCATCTTTTTTTCTCGCTTTGTTTGTTTCGCTATGAATGATTTTGCTTGATGTGTTGAGATTTGGCATTGAAGCCTTGTGAGGGCAGGCCAGGGGTGTTGGGCTATGATGGCTACGAAAACCAAATGTGATATCCGGAGATGATCCGTAAATCTGTGATATCTTCAGTGGGCCTTAATAGCCGAGGATTAGATAATGTGTGTGTGTGAGAGAGAGAGAGAGAGAGAGAGACATGTTGTGCTGCGTGGGTAGAGACTAGGAATATCAGGTGATGTATTTTTTGTTGTAAACTTTTCTCTTCGGGGGTTGATGGGAATTTGGCAGCATGATAGATCATCTATTGCACTGCATTCCGACTGGGGAGGTGAGTGAGCTGGCCCCAGCTTTAGTACCCAAGCATTCAAGGTAAGGAAGGTAGTGTGTCAGTCCCAATCATGTCGTGCTCGCTTTTGATGTCTTGGTTCCGTTGGACGACAGGAAAGGTGGGGGGTGAGGAGAGAGCTGTCTGATGCATGTTGATGGAGACATGGCCCGTATCCGAAGAGGTTGGGGGGGTTGTTTATCAGACTTTTGAAGAATGGAGCTGAAGAACAAACCCACCTGAGGAATATACGGAGTATGGAGTACGGATACTGCCTACCTTACCTAGGTACCTAGGAAAACAGGAAGGAAGCGGTGGGGCTGACTGGGAAGAGAGTCGCAAACGGGATGTTCGGCGAGGTCGGAGAGGTTCTCGTCCTCTTCCCCCGTCATTGTTCATGATCCAACTGTTAAGTTATCTATCTACCCCGGGCGACGAAGTTGGCGCCGGTGTCGAGGAGGAGTCCTCTTGTTGTGGAACTCGGGGAGTGCCTAATGAGGGGGAGTCGGCTGGGGGTTGGTGAATCACCATGTTTCCCTCACTTACTAAGGCCAGATGGAAAAAAAAAAAAATCTACGGATACCTACGCCGTCCCGTCAAGCAACGTGCGAAGGAGCAGGAGATGCATTCGTAGGCCGGACAGCCGTGGTCGAGCTCACGGCGTTACCGGGGTGCTGGCATTCTTCGTGTGTCCCGCACTGCGCCCATCCGCACCCGGGAGGCGACTTGCAGCTGGAATGGCGGGAAGCGTCAAGGTAACGGATGCCGGCATGCCGTGGGCAACGAGAAGAACGTTGGTTGCTGGAGGGACAATTGGTATCAAGATATTGGGGGGAAAAATCCTGCCATCCGTGGGGCATTGGAGGAATTGGGCGGGATATGCTTATTTGCACGATGCGGTTTCCGGCAGGCTTGGGACGTCTTTCAGCTTGTGGCGAGTAGGTAGGTAGGTAGGTAAAATGAGTGAGTGGTTGAGTCAGCGGCACAAGGTATCATCATGAGAGCTGAGAGCAGGCTCAGACTCAGGTAAGGTGTATTTTAGTAGAAGTGCGCAACCTGGTGTGGATGCATCTTTTACTGGGTCCCCTTGAACCTTCTTTCCCTCCTTTTCGGATTGCCTGTTTCGGGGGTTGCGGTTTGGTTGGTCCCGTCACAATCGGACCATCTTCTCAGATCCTGATATCTCGACCTGCCTTGTTTTGTATCGTATAGATTCCCACCCTCTATGGCGCCGTTCTCTTCCCTTGGAGTCCAATCGTCGAGAGAAGTGATAGAGTAATGAATGTTGATACCAAGACATGGAAGGAGGCACGACATGTATCGGTCTGTGATGAACATTCCGGGGGACGCTGGCCCTGCCTTACCTTACCTTGGGCTACCTTCCCCACGTTCACCAGGTGTAAGGTAAGGTATGTAGGTATTTTGGTGTTAGTCGGCTGCCCATTGCTTTTCTCATGCACCGCAGCATCACTAGACCGGCGGCTGCCGCAGTCACGCCAAATGGTGTCTTTGGGGGCTGCATAAGCTTGATAAGGTTCCTGATAGGTCGCTGAGGTATCGGTAGTAATACGCCACATCAATTGGGCAATGGAGTGTTCACCGCGTCCTGACCGACATCTTCATCGCAGTAGGATGTGATGGGTTGGTTGGCCGATTTTGTTCCGTCTCATCAGTAGCATCATGATGTGCTGGGCCCCCGACAACACAGACCTTCCATGGAGAAGATCAGAAGAGCTACCTTATTCCCACTTGCTTTTAACTTCCGAGCCTCAGCTTTAACATCACGGATACTTGGGTAGGCTCGAGAAGTAAGCCAAGGTCTGCGACATTGTATAAACCGTTGTTGGGGTTGCGTTCTTGGGAACTCTTGCCCACTCACCGTGCGTCACACAAGTCACCCCGCATTGAATCGCAGCAGTGCGGATACCTTAGCTCGAGGCACCAGAAACAAACTGCTGCCCATCCAATGAATGATTCCTGTCGAGCTTCGCCTGCTGTCGACTGTCCACTGCTTTGAGGTTTCTCGCCAACCTTTTGCAATGCCGCAAGATGAGGTCATATCAGGTGGTTTTCTTCTTCCCCTGGCAGTGAGTTATCTATCTTTTCGGATTCTCTCTGTCCCATGGCACCCGGTTCAGAAACAGACCAGGGGGGGTGGCCCAGCATAAACCCAAACATGCTGACGGATGGGGGAACCGGACAGGGAAAATGGGGCTCAATAGCTCCAGAGCTCCATCGCGTCTTCACTGGTGTGTGCGGGTTGTCAGATCAGCCCCAATAAAAAAGTAGTCTGGCCTCTCTAGACCTCAACTCTCAGACCGTGGACCTTGGAACAATGCTGGATTTGTCTGGCACTTCTGGGGAGAACAGTGCCACATTTGTTGGCTCGGTACCTCCAGCGAGAGACTGGCGCATTCTGGGCAAGAAGATCAGGCAAATACCTGACAGCACCTCATGCGTAGGTACATCAACACATTACACTCTGTCCGCATATAGCAACCAGGCCATGCCACTCTCACTGCCCATGCCCCGGGCCCCATGTTCCATACCTCCCGTCTCCATCGCCATGTTAGAAGGTAGGTAGCAATTGGCAATCGCCAACCTCAGCAATCCATTGGGACTGACTGACTGCCTTTAAGTCCTTGCCTACCTAGGCACATTGCTACCTACCTACCCTGCAAAGCACAGCAAGTAGGCAGGTACTTTGTACAATGGATGGGAGAGCTGCTTCTGCTCCTGCTTCCCCTTCCCCTTTGTCCATCGGGTATGGTCGTCCGTTACATGCCATGCCCGAGGGGAAGTAGCTACCTTACTAGAGATGCTCCGTACCTACCTCACCTCGACTTACCCGTCTCTCTGTCTTCCTCTTAATAAGTGTCCCACCATCCCCCTCATCCTCTTCTTGACCTTTCGACCTCTCCTTCTACTTTACCCCTCCTCCCCCATCTTCCCCTCTCTTCTTCCAACTCGCAAGGCTCCCAGTGCACCTTGTAGGACTCCTCCCATCATACATTGGTAAGTAACCTCGCCTCTATCAAGCTTCGTTGGCACCGTAGAGCTATCGGTATCTCCTACATCGTCTCCGACGGCCCCTTTGCAGCCAACCTCACCTCGAGAACGCTATCGAACCTTCGGTTCTCCAGCAAAGCTCGTCCGCCAGCTTTGCCAACCTTTCAGCTGAGACGCTCTTCGTTGGCGTTGAGCTGAGTACGAATCCCGGCCGCGAGTGGTGTGGACTGAGCTTCAGGCACCGCCAAACACCCCGCTCTTCTCCCCACTAACATCCTGGGCCTGTCCTGTACGTCCCGTTCGCTCCGCCCGTCAAAACAGTCTGGACCTCCTCCTGATCCTCCGTCGCCTCCCCCTCGTTCCTCGCCCGTCACGTACGACCGAGTGGTGTTTCGATTTCCGCATCTTGTTCCTCGTATTCTCCGAGGAGGGGTTCTCTAGCATAGCTAACTGAACGTGTTTTGACAGTTCCCTAGACCAGTTCGAGGACTTGATCGAGCCAATTGGTTCCCCAGCTCATCACCACTTTATTCCATCGTACAACAGCTACTCAAAATGTCGGCAGCTACGGAAGAGCGTCTCCCTGTGCGGGAGCGTCGCCCCTCGACGAGCGCCCCCATTGTTGATATCCAGGGCTCTGTCGGCCCGGCCGGCATTTCGCGCCCCAAGCACAAGAGAACTTTCACCGGTTTCGGTGCTGGAGAGATCAAGAGCGTTGAGGGTGAGTTTGTCCTGTTTTCTCCATTCAATTGCATGACTTCCGGGGGAGGGGGGCAGACGCCATGTGCTCGCCAGCTTCCGAACGATGTGGGCGAGCGAGCTCTCGCGCAGCTCTCGTGGAGCTTGGAGGGGCAGCTACTCAGCCCGGGCCCAAGTACCCCGCACTGATCGTCGGGAGCTCCATCACGCCACACTAGGATCCAGTAGCTTCGTTTTCCCCTGCCACGCATCCTCACTTACACCAACACAACCAAATGCAATGCCAACATTGGACCACGAGCTAATGGCCTCTGAACAGCTTCCATCCCCGAGCCTCAGCGCGAGGCTTGGTCCAAAGCCCAAGGCGGCCCTTTCAAGACAAAGGATGAGTTCGAGAAGGAGGTCGTTCGCCACGTCGAGACCACTTTGGCTCGCAGCATGTTCAATTGCGACGAGACGGCGGCCTACTCCGCCGCCAGTTTGGCCTTCCGTGACCGTCTGGTCAAACAGTGGAACAAGACTCAGCAGCGCCAGACCACTGTGGACGGAAAGCGTGTCTACTACTTCTCTCTCGAGTTCCTTATGGGCCGTGCCCTCGACAATGCCATGTTGAACGTTGGTCTGAAGGACATTGCCAAGGGTGAGTTACAATGAAGCACCGAGTCATGTTTGGGTTGCGTCATGCTAATGTTGTGGTACAGCTGGTCTTGATGACCTTGGTTTCCGCATCGAGGACGTGATTGAGCAGGAGCATGACGCTGCTCTTGGAAACGGTGGCCTGGGTCGTTTGGCTGCTTGCTTCCTCGACAGTCTTGCATCTCTCAACTTCCCCGCCTGGGGCTATGGCTTGAGATACAGATACGGTATCTTCAAGCAGGAGATTATCGATGGCTACCAAGTTGAGGTGCCCGACTACTGGCTTGACTTCAACCCCTGGGAGTTCCCCCGTCACGATGTTACTGTCGATGTGAGTAGGCCAGAGGGAAATCGGTTTCGAACGAGTGCTGACAATCCTCAAGATCCAATTCTTCGGCCACGTTACGAAGTCAACAGACTCAAACGGCAAGACTATCGCCAGCTGGGAGGGTGGTGAGACGGTCACCGCCGTGGCATACGACGTCCCCATCCCGGGATACGCTACCCCTTCGACCAACAACTTGCGTTTGTGGTCCAGCAAGGCTGCCAGCGGAGAGTTCGATTTCCAAAAGTTCAACAATGGTGAGTACGAGAGCTCAGTGGCCGACCAGCAGCGCGCCGAGACGATTAGCGCGGTTCTGTATCCCAACGACAACCTTGAACGTGGAAAGGAGCTTCGTCTGAAGCAGCAGTACTTCTGGTGTGCTGCCTCTCTTTACGACATCGTCCGTCGCTTCAAGAAGTCCAAGCGCCCCTGGAGAGAGTTCCCCGACCAGGTCGCCATTCAGCTGAACGACACTCACCCTACTTTGGCGATTGTTGAGCTTCAGCGCATCCTGATTGATCTGGAGAAGCTTGAGTGGGATGAGGCATGGAACATTGTCACTGCCACCTTTGGCTACACCAACCACACAGTCTTGCCCGAGGCTCTGGAGAAGTGGCCCGTCGGTTTGGTCCAGCACTTGCTCCCTCGACACTTGCAGATTATCTACGACATCAACCTGTTCTTCCTTCAGAGCGTCGAGAAGATGTTCCCCAACGACCGCGAAATCCTCAGCAGGGTCTCGATCATAGAAGAGTCGCAGCCCAAGATGGTGCGCATGGCGTACCTGGCAATTGTCGGTTCTCACAAGGTCAACGGTGTAGCTGAGCTGCACTCTGATCTCATCAAGACCACCATTTTCAAGGATTTTGTCAACATCTACGGCCCTGACAAGTTCACCAACGTCACCAACGGCATTACCCCGAGACGTTGGTTGCACCAGGCCAACCCTCGCCTGTCTGATCTCATTGCGTCCAAGACTGGTGGCAACTACGACTTCCTGAAGGATCTGACAAAGTTGAACCAGCTTGAGCTCAGCGTCAACGACAAGGAGTTCCGCAAGGAATGGGCCGAGATCAAGTACGCCAACAAGGTCCGCCTCGCTAAGTACATCAAGACCACAACAGGCGTCAGCGTCAACCCTGCGGCGCTCTTTGACGTCCAAGTCAAGCGTATCCACGAGTACAAGCGTCAGCAGCTCAACATCTTTGGTGTCATCCACCGCTACCTCACCCTCAAGGCCATGTCGCCGGAGGACCGGAAGAAGGTTGCTCCCCGTGTTTCCATCTTTGGAGGAAAGGCGGCACCTGGCTACTGGATGGCCAAGCAAATCATTCACTTGGTCAACAGTGTTGGTTCAGTAGTCAACAATGACGAGGAAATCGGCGACCTGCTCAAGGTCATCTACCTGGAGGACTACAATGTCAGCAAGGCAGAGATGATCATTCCCGCGTCTGACCTGAGCGAGCACATCTCCACTGCCGGTACCGAGTAAGTGAACCACCGTCGTCAACGCCCGCAGCGTCCCGGCTAACGTGTTATGCAGGGCATCTGGTACGAGTAACATGAAGTTTGTTCTCAATGGCGGCTTGATTATCGGCACGTGCGACGGCGCCAACGTAAGTGAACCCGAGGGGATGGAACTGGCTGGACGATCGTTTCTAACACTAGCCTAGATTGAGATCACCCGTGAGATTGGCGAGAACAACATTTTCCTCTTTGGCAACCTTGCCGAGGATGTGGAAGATCTCCGCCACGCGCACAACTACGGAACCCACTCGATTGATGAGAACCTTGCAAAGGTCTTCTCTGCCATTGACAGTGGCAGATTCGGCTCCGTGTCTGACTTCCACGCGCTAGTCTCGGCCGTCCGTGACCACGGAGACTACTACTTGGTATCGGACGACTTCAACAGCTACATTGAGACGCATCACCTTGTCGATGAGGCGTACAAGAACCAAGAGGAGTGGATCACAAAGTCCATTACCAGTGTAGCTCGTATGGGCTTCTTCAGCAGTGATCGCTGCATCAACGAGTATGCCGAGGAGATCTGGAATGTCGAGCCTCTCAAGGTCGAGGACTAGGTAGACTAGACTATAGCGCTACAAAGACAAGACCCAGACGGCGTAAAGTGACCTAGACGGGGGATGGCTGGTCAGGCGTGTACGGAACCGAGCACCTATTGCACTATTGCACTCGAAACTCTCGAAGAAGGCGGGGCCTATAAGGAACGAACAGTGCTATATAATATCTTTCTTTTGTATAGTTTATGAGAATGCCCCAAGACTGGTGTCCGCAACGATTGAAACCATGCACACAGTAATGTATCGACTGGGTGTGAAGTGACCGCGCGTGTTATCTTACTATTTCCAGATGACTCAGCAATTGGTTGTTGTTTTTTGGAACGGCCTCGAACGGCGACCATTGTTGGAAACGGAGCAGGGTGACAAGGGCAATTGCAACGTGAACGTTTCGACAAGGGAAGTGGAAACAATGGGGCGCCAATTGAGCTTCACTGACGTCATTATGCGGCAATGTGGACGTCGCCCACAGTGACCAAGGGGAAAGAGGAAAAGGACGACAGGCCAGGATCTCTCTTCTTCTCCATACACGGTATTCCTCCAAGGAGTAGATTTTTCCTTGGGACGGATCGATTCCGGGTACTACTTCCAAGCTTCCGGCAAAAGGACGCGCGACTCCGCGTCCGCGAGAAAAGGGCGGTCAAGGATCATACCTAGAAGGAGGGAGGGGGGGGGGGGGGAGGGATGTAGAGAGTCAACTTTTCTTCCTTCCCAGACACTCATCGCTGATCAGCAGAGAAAAAGTGTTCTGGAACTTTGGAAGGGCTTCCCGTGCCCAGTCCAGGCCCGAAATAATTGTGCAGAGTCTTCTGGACTTGCTCGGTTCGGCACCCCGCGGGCAGATCAGCAGGCGAGTAGGCAGTGTGCGTGCTAGTTTCCTTGCGTGCTTGCATGCCTTTGCGAAACAATGGAAACAAGTTTAAAGAAGACATTTTGGCTGCGTGTTGCTTATGCGTGTATTCGAGAAAAAAAAAAGGTGTGTGCATTTGGGTTGGCCGACCGCCTGCCGGCCGGCGTACGTCTCCGTTTGGGGGCGTAAGACAGCACCGATCCGTTACGGCATGTCGGCAGCGAGTGGGATTGGTCCGGGGGACAACCTCCGGGGGAAGAAGGTCAGGTTTATATTGGGTTGAATGCTGTCGTCATCTTTGCAACTGTGGGAAAAGTCGAGACCCTGCTTTTCCTTTCCTGCTACTTTTTTTTTGTGGTGTAATACCAAGGGACCAACTCAAAACCAGCCCTGCTGGAGCCTGGGAGAGCAAAGACTGGAGGAGAGGTGCATAATGACATCAGAGGAACGACAGGAACGAATGCTGGCCCTGGTTAGGTCCCTGATTCCGGCCTTCCCCCCTTTATCCATCTGTCAAAACGGTACGAACCAGCCGGCATCGAAAAGACTTTTCACCTCGCCGAGTAAACCATGGTACGCCGAGTGCAGAGCCATGGCCTTCGGCAGAGCAGTACGCGTGCGGGATGTGATTTTGGCTTCATAGCCGCATTCTCATGTCGAGGAAATGATTCGTGCAAAGGAGTTATCTTATTAGTATGCGCTGATTCTGGTGTCGGAAGAGAATCGTCAGACGGCCACCTTGGGCATGTGGTTAATGGAGGAACCTCATGGCCTTTAGCGCTAGCTTCGCACCGGCCGGGAGCTTAGACAACATCGGCCGCTACGCCGGCTCCTGAGCTTGCCCTGGTGTTGAATGCTTCTCTAGATCACGGAACAGAAGCGTCGTTTGGAATAGTTTGACGAATCAGTGTGTTGACAGGTCCAAATAAACGGGATGATCTTCGATACACATGAATGAGTTCAGGGTCCAGAGGATGAAGGGTCCTTGGACCGTGTGCTTGTGTTCCCACCATTTCATCCTTTTCTGGTACACCTGCTGGCTGCATGAGGTAGGGCGAGAGTTGGAGGGTCTTTTTCGTACATTCTCCCGCCTCGCGCTGCACCACGCCGTTTTCTTCTTCTCTGCGGCTCAGATCAGCATCACCAAACGGATTACACACAGGTTGACCCCTGGAGGTTCCCGGCAGGAAGGGTCCAATTCGAGATCCATCGCAGCGAAGCCAGGGCACAATGAGCCAAAAGTTGTACGCATGTCACCCTCAGAGTTCCTGGGAAGCATCTGAGTCCCGGGTGGGATGGTGCTGCTTGTCATGATCTTACTCCATCATGACGGATCCGAAAGGTAATTATTGACTCGAAGGTGTCCACTCTGCAACCACACAAGCAAACCAATGTCGCCGCTATGCATCGTCGTACCTGAGCTGGCCGAGAATGGTAGCCGAATATTGTAAATCCACGTGTCGCGTCTGGTGAGTGCACGCTGTGGGCGATGAATTGCGAATGTGGTTCCGTTATCTCAATCGCCGAGGCAGTCTGGAGATCGAGAGCATGACTTGGTACAAGCATGTCAAAACCGGTTCTTGTCGAGCATCCCAGATTGTCATTGTTAATTCCGTCCCAATGGTGGTGAATCGAGATCTGGTACCACAATCAACTCGAAAAGGGCTTAGACTCATTTGTTGTTTTTCAGCGTCTCGTGAGCTGGGAGGTCCTGTTTGTATCGAGGAATATAAAGAGCATTAGTTATGCAGAGAGGTGTTACCCGTTCCCGTGCCGCAGAAGGGCTTGATGGGATCCATACCGTATTCTCTCCCTCGGGGCCCAATCAATGCGGCCGGACGTTTGTCCAGCTACAGCAGGTAATGCGCTGAATTGGGCATGTTCAGGCCAGTCTAGAACATGCGGCTACTGTAGTCGGGGAAGCCCCGTGACGGGAATTTTGGGCTACCGCAGTTGCTTTGCGGCGGTCACACGGATTCTATACCGCTGGGGAGGATAAGGAGGGGCGTATTATGTGCGCTGGGTGAGCTGTGCGACGGACCGTTTTCTCGATTCTCGATCTTCGCCTGCGAAGTCGATGTTGGGTGAGGGAGGAGACTGGGAGGGACTGGGACTATGGATCGAATAGCGTTATTGCCGGGGTGGTCTCTGGCTCCCTGCAAGACGGTGCGAAAGGTACGGCAAACGTGTTAGTGCTTGGGGAAGTCGTCGACGTTTCGGGGCACTAGAAACTCGGACAGTGAGCGGCTAGTATCCGATTGCACGCTAAGCTGACAGGATGGACTCGATGGGGAGAGCAGGGGCGGCTGTACTTGTGGTCTCTGGAGTTTGGATTAGCGGGACGGATCACAGACACACCCCCTCCCCAGCCCGCCAACGCGACACGACACAGGAAGGTTCCCATACCTACCCCAGCACCATCTCGATGCGATCTCAAAATGACGTCAGAGGTTGGGGGTGCTTTTTGTGGTGGTTTTGACACCTAGCCCCTCTGATGCGCCTGGCACCTGGGTACCGTACGGAGTAGTGCAGTGGGAGGGAGAGCTTTCGGATGGATGCGTTCGCCGCGATGTAGCCTGGGCTCCTCTATATGCATCCCGATATCAGATACGAATACATAGCTTGTCGGAACAGACCGCTAAGGAATCCACTGTCGAGGCTGGTCAAGGGAGGATGATGCTAGAGGTATGCGGGATGAATGATTATACCAGATTGCACATGTGCGCGCATGCACAAGCGGCGGAGGCATCGCGTTGCGGATGGCAAATCTGATCTGGCATGGGAATTGGTTGCGCACCTGAGGATTATGCTCCTGCGACAGAGTTCGAGCCTCCGTGAGAAGGAGGTATGGTGTCTTGAATCCATGATGCTGGTAATTCGACAGTTGCATCGACCGGTGGTGCAAGGTGCTTGGTCGTGCTTGGTGCAAGGGCATGATTGATGGGGAACGGGGGAGGAGAACACTGTAACTGAGGTAGGGGTGTCAGTAGAAAAATGGAAGAGAAGTTGGGGGCTAATTGGAACCGTTTTGAGGTTCACCGTATCTTGAGGCTGGGAGGCTCGTTGTCTGATGGCAAAATCCCCTGTGGTGTTTGGGTGAAGAGAGGAGCAAAACGGCAATTGCGCGATTTGGACGGGAAACGGCAAAAGTGCCTTTGAGAAAAACATGGCATTTTGGCAAGACAGGTGGGCAATCTCCCGTTGGCGTGCCTTCTGACTGCTCATGGGTGTCCTATGCTCCCGCAAGGGGCGCGGGAAGGTGAGGGTAAAGATTGGACCGTCGGGGAAGGAACCACGAACTACCTTAGTAGCTGCCAGTTGTGTTATCGCAGCCGCAGTGGCAACTTCAAGGCAGGCACGGCGGGCAGGCCAAGACCATCATCGTCGATCTGTTATTGCTGGACGTTCCCAGATATTCCACGATTGCACATCCGTACCTCAAGGTGGTACACTAAAACTCCATGCTGATACTTCACTATTGCTGGACGTTCCCAGATATTCCACGATTGCACATCCGTACCTCAAGGTGGTACACTAAAACTCCATGCTGATACTTCACCGTTGCCTTCCCTGCCGCGGGTTCACCGACCAGTTGTCCAACGAACGTTGTGATTTGCTGTCTCGCAACTGCCCTGCCGCTAGGATAAAACAAGCCAGACCATGCCGTCCGGTCTTGGGATTGAAAAGTTATGTGACCTGCGACCGGCTGGAGCGGTGCCTTGTCTAAATTCATCATTATCAGAAAACAGAGCTACCTAGGAACGTCTTCTCCTGTCCATGTTGCCTGTTCTGAGTTGCGCGTTGAACAAGATCTTGTTTTCCACGGCACGGTATTGTGGAAGGAAAGATTCCCAAGCTCGGCCCGTGGTGAGCTGAAAGTGAAATTGGCGGTGCCGCTGATGCTCAGGCCATTCCATGAAGCTCCTTTTGTGACAGGTCAGCCTTTGGTTGTCTCTCGGTCATTTTTGAGATATCTCGCAGCAATACTCCCGTCGTCTCATGTTATTACCAGCCGCTCTCAAAACAGCAATCCACAAAGACCGAGGCTCGCGGCAAGAGACAATATACGCAACCTCACACAATCATAGGTTCAGCCTCATCTTGACTTGTTTCTCCTCGAACCTACGAGATCGGATCGGAAAGCAAGTCTCTCTGCTTCTGGAGTATGAACTCACGAGTCATCCCGGACATTATGCTCCTCTCCGTCGTTGTTGCCGTTGCCGTCGTCTCATCTCAGTCTTGGTCAACTCCTTTTTACTTGGTCACCTGTGACTTGTTGGTTAGTCTGGTAATTGTGCACATTTCAGTACCTTACCTTAGTACCTGGCATAGTTGCCGTCCCCATCTAAACTGCCCTTCTGTCCAGTTAGACCTTCTGTAGTCTGTACACATACATATGTAGCCTGCTTATTACCTGACCTTGCCCGGGCCTTCCCATCCACTGTGCCCGTCTTGTACATGGAAGGCACCGTTACCGCCTGCAAGTTCTCGGTTCAACAGAGAAACACCCCTCCCCGCCAGTAACATTCATCCGTAACCCGCCTGCCTTGATACATTATTGGACAGGAAAACAGGGCCGGGGGTAGAGCAAGATACAGATACCCCTGTCTTGTCTTCACTCCGACGCTTACCGTGCAAGCTCTTCCGTCTTTCACGCTGCATTCAATGTCACTTCCAGAGCTACCTAGCCATTGACTCTCCGTCTTCTGGCCGTATTGTGCACACCCCTCTCCCCTATGTCTTTCCTACGCCAAATACCCATTCTCTTCCACTCACTCAATCGCGCCTTGGAGGAATTATTGAAAAGTACTTTCCCCCTTCAAGTATTGCTCCTGTGTACTGCTTAACTCTTCCCTTCCTCGCATTTCTATCCCGAGTCGATTCTGAGTATATATCTGTCTCTTACCCCCAAAGCTCACTTCCACATCCAAAGGTATTTCGAGAAGCAACACCAGAGCCACTTCCTGAAAGTCTCATACGCGTCCTTGCCTCCATCTATCGACAGGTGTTGTTGTGCATCCACCCTCCAGCGGCACCCTCAGCTTCACCGCAGCAGCGAACGAGAGACGAGAACGACGACCTGATCGACACTGGTGCGGATTTGCTACCTGCATTCCCCACGTGCGCCCGCCACTCTTGCGCCCATCACCACGGCCACCATTTGGTTTGAGCTCTCGCGCCCGGACTTGATCCCGAAGAGACTCAGGGAAAAAAAAGAGAGAGAGAAAGCGAACCGCTTTGGATAGACCAAAAGAAGAGGGAAATACTGCAAAAGATACAAAAAGATCATCGCCGAGAACTTCAACTCTGTAAGTGAGGAAGCCTCGTTACAGCATGCATGTCATTGCCCGGGGAATATTTTGAACATCCCCTACTGTTTCTCGTCATCATACTTCCCCCTTGCACCGAAAGTTCCCCCGTTCTTGTACTACAATGCTACCGCCTGCGCCGTCTACGGCATGGTTAATTGTGGAATTGGACGCCCTTTGCACCCAAAGTCGACAGCAACAGAAGGGCAAAAAACGGAATATGCATAGGCAAAGAAACGGCGAATGAAGAAGGAGGAGGAACAGAACATGGGCGGCCAGGATGGGGAGAAAAACCAGATTCTTGTCCCGCTATTGCTGTCGCCCCCTAGCTGCATTCGCTACCATTTACAGTACTCTGTGCTGCGTACTGCTTGCTTCCTTGCAAGAAAAGAAGTCTCGCTAATGCCGTTGCCACATTGTTCAGGTTGCTCCGGATCCCATACCACGTAAGGTATCCCAGAAAAGGCCCAGAAGCAGAAGCAAAAGGAGAAGGAGACGCAGCAGCAGGTACCTGAAGGCAATCCAGTCGTACGTACGAAGTACCCCAACGACAGCGGAGGACAAAACGGAGAAAGAGACGTGCGCTCACTCGCTGCCCACGCTTCCACCTACCCCGCTGCCCTTTTTGCAACTCACACGCCCTCACGCCCACACATCCCACGCCCACCGTCCCACGTCCCACGTCCCATACGGCCACAGTCCACCGTCTACCGTCTACGACCAGCCAGCGGGCGACCTTCTCCTCCCAGCCCAAGAATCCACGTCCCAGAACCAGGCCTAAGACCAGGACCGCCCCGCCGAACAGCCACCCCTCCAGCGCGCAACAAATCCTTGAGCTCGCTCCCCCGCCGTCGCTGCATCTCTTTCAAATCCAGCCGACTCCCACTCTCTTGTTGCCTTTCCATACACGCGCCAGACCAGACGGAAAGCTGCCCATCGCACACCTCACATACTGCAAAACCTCTCCTTCGAATTCCCTCACCTCGTCCAAATTCGAGCTGATCATCGAGCCTGTCTCTCGCTCATCACAGCAGAACCGTCAGCAGAAGCATAATTTGACCCGTCGATCTCCCGGCTGTCGTCTTTTTACTCCACCACCCCTCATCACTCTTTAATCCTCCCCGCCGCACGACGACCAATTTCCATCCTCCTCCCCGATCGGTCTCCCTCTCTCTCTTCCTCCCCCCTCCAGCCGCTCAATCCGAAAACCCAATCCTCTTCGATCAGGTAGATCGACCATCACACGAAAATGGCCGAATTCGTTAGAGCACAAATTTTCGGTACTACCTTTGAGATCACCTCGAGGTACTCGGACTTGCAACCCGTTGGTATGGGAGCCTTCGGTCTCGTTTGGTTAGTCTGAGAAAATACCATCCATCGCAACGAGCGCTCGTTGCGACCATCTATCCGTGCTGGCTGACACGTCTTCTTCCCTTGCAGCTCCGCTCGTGACCAACTTACCAACCAGAATGTTGCCGTCAAGAAGATTATGAAGCCCTTCAGCACTCCCGTTCTCGCCAAGCGAACATACCGTGAGCTGAAGCTGCTCAAGCACTTGAGACATGAGAACGTACGTTTGAGCCCGCTTTTGCCTGCCTCTCTTCATAATCAGCCTAGTCGACGTGCGCTGATATCCACCTAGGTCATCTCTCTTAGCGATATCTTCATTTCTCCTCTCGAGGATATCTACTTCGTCACAGAGCTTCTCGGCACCGACTTGCACAGACTGCTCACCTCCAGACCTCTCGAAAAGCAGTTCATTCAGTATTTCCTTTACCAGATCATGGTAAGCCCCGCCCCCTCACCGGAATCTTCTCCGACACCCGAATTGACATGATTTACAGCGCGGCCTGAAATACGTCCACTCTGCTGGTGTAGTCCACCGTGATTTGAAGCCCAGCAACATTCTCGTCAACGAGAACTGCGACTTGAAGATTTGCGACTTCGGTCTCGCCCGTATTCAAGACCCCCAGATGACTGGCTACGTCTCGACGAGATATTACCGCGCTCCCGAGATCATGCTCACATGGCAAAAGTACGACGTTGAGGTCGACATCTGGAGTGCGGGATGCATTTTCGCCGAGATGTTGGAGGGCAAGCCTCTGTTCCCCGGCAAGGACCACGTCAACCAGTTCTCCATTATCACCGAGCTCCTCGGTACTCCTCCCGACGATGTCATCAACGGCATTGCCAGTGAAAACGTGAGTTGATGCAGAGCCGAAGCGATGATTACTTTGCCTACTGACACGGACCCAGACCCTCCGATTCGTCAAGTCCCTGCCCAAGCGCGAAAGGCAACCCTTGAAGAACAAGTTCAAGAACGCTGACCCCTCCGCAATTGATCTCTTGGAGAGAATGCTGGTCTTTGATCCCAAGAAGCGGATAACGGCGACTGAGGCGCTCTCGCACGACTACCTTGCTCCCTACCACGACCCCTCTGACGAGCCTGTCGCCGAGGAGAAGTTCGATTGGAGTTTCAACGATGCTGATTTACCCGTAGACACGTGGAAGATCATGATGTAAGCCACTATCATTTGAAGTTTCCATGAAGTACTTGCTAACAAAGTACTCTTTGCAGGTACTCCGAGATACTCGACTACCACAACGTGGATGCGTCTGCGCAACAGATGGAAGAGCAGTTTAACGCACAATAGATGAGGGAGTTCAGGGGCGGAGCGAGGATAAATAGGAGAAGGGGGGCTATGATACCACGCAAAACCAGAACGGCACGTGTTTCCAGTACATTCGCACGCAATCATGGTGTTCGGAAGAGGGGATCGGTTATTGTAACGTTGACAATGCAAAGGGCCAACAGTATACGCGATATAAAGGAATGGCATGCATCTTGGAGGTGTTTTTCTCTTTTTCATCATCTTGTTCCAACAAATGTTTCCTTTTCCTGGGTCTCCAGGTTCTGTTAGAATAAAGTCCGCGGCATAGGGCATAGCGACAAGCTGACAATGGGCTTCGAGGCCCCGATTACGAGGACTTGCTTTACCAATCAGGATGACGGCCGCTCTCCGGGACGCTTGAATATGGGATGCCCTTTGCAAACTGGAGGTATGGATGAATTTCGGGCGTAATAGCAGAAAATGCCTCGGCAGATCGCAACTGAAGAGAACGAAAAGAAAGAAAAAAATCATAAGAAATCCTTCAGAGGATAGCCAGGGCTTGTGATACCTCTACCTAACGACAACCAAAGCGACCCAAACGAATGATGATCCCAAGAGGGTACCACTGATACCTACCTTACCTGGAGACGATTGTGGCTTGAGGTGTGGTTGAGTCCTAGGTACGTACAGACAACCGCCCCGGGATGTGTGGCTTACCATTTTGCCTCAGCCACATGATACAAGAGTGTGGCTGCCATTTTGCCACAATTCGCTGCAGTTAGGATGGTCACACGGAGCGGAACTCTATCTCGAAAAGTTTCACTGTGACATTTGTGCTGACTGCAAGGAAAATCATTTCATGATAGTCAGAAGAAGGAGACATAGGTAAGTGACACCTAAGGTGAGATTCAAGGGGCGGGCGGGCGGCACACTCCGCGCGGTGAGAAGGTGGTGGGGGATGGTGATTTGACAGGAGAGAGGAGGAGGAGGAGAAATCCCATCTCATGCAATGCAGGACACGCTGGCGGTGCTTGAGGTTAAGGTGAGATGAGGTTTGGGGCTTTCGGTAGGGAGGGAAGGGTTGACGTGGTGTTTTTGCCTCTCCGACTTTTTGGTCGCTTTCGCCGAGGTAGTCGGTCGTGGACGGGGAGTGTTCACCGGTAGGAGACTAGGAGTTGACTCCGGTTTCTTTTCAGTCGAGTACCTAGGTAGTAGGCATTTATGGGTGGCTTTTGCGATGTTGCTGGGGCAAAAAAGGTTTATTGATTTACAGGCTCAAAGTTTGGTTTCTTTGGTACCTTGTTCACACCACCTTTCTCTCACCATTTATCTGTCGTGTTTGAAGAGGTTCACTTGAGGTAATACCGGTACACCACACACGTAGTTCAAAGTGAAGTCGCCTTGAGAAGGGGTAGCACGGGAACCGAAGTAGCGGGAAGAAGCAAAGTTGTGAGTCGTGAAATCGTGATCGATTGACTGATGGGACGTGCCATGGAGACGTGGTCGGTGCTTTTTCCCTTCGGTGCATGGTTGACGTGTCTGTGGTGGACCACACGACCGGACCACAGACGTCGATGTCCGGCCCTTGGCGCTAAGCTGGTTAGGGGATGGGGGAGGTTTTGAGACGGATGTTGAAAGTCTGGTAGATAACGAGTGTCTACACGGCCTGCTTGGCTACTTTCTTCTTGGTGAGAAACAGTTTGTTGTTGTTGTCGTGGTTTATCTGTTGTGACAAGCAAGGACTGACGATGATATTCACTAAGAGCGAGGGGTGTTGGATGTCTCTGCGATGCTAAGGCTTGTGAGTTTCCCAACCAGACTCTGTGGCTCTAACATAATGCCAAAGAACGATTCAAGATGGCAATCAACTTTTAATCAGTATATACTTGTCACGATGCTGAGTGCAGATGTATGGGTGTGCGTGACAGCGTGCATTTCCAGAAAGTAACGTATCTTGCTTCGTACACTTGGACATTTGTTCTCGAACCAGGGGGCACGCGGGGTTACCGTAGTCGCCTTTTTTCCTTGAGCCCGTGTTCTTGCTTATTTTCTTTTCCCCTCCTCCCCCCCATTGTTCTCGAACATCGCTGGAACCTCGAACCCCTGAACCTGTCGTGCTTTCTTTCAATGTGGGACGAGTCGTTCGTTTTTAATTGCAGCCCATCCCCGACAATTGACTTGCCTGGACCTCTGATACACATTTAGCTCTATTTTAAGGGGTCCCGTGTCCGCATGAGAGCGTTCTCATAAAACGCGGGCAGAAAATCAAAACAGAGAAGCCAGATGAGCAAATGAGAATCGAAGGGGCAGGACGGCAAGGAAATTACAATGAGAGTGGAAAGACTGGACTGGAAGTAGTAATAAAGTATTTTACTATACTTTTTTGCCGTAGTGCATTAGCACTAATTCCAACAACTCATCCACAATGCCCACTCTCCCGAACCCAGTCTCATTTTGAACCATTGCCCGCCTCCGGTCCAATACAAAGCCTACCGCGAACCCACACCGCGAACAACCGTGCTGTGTGGTGGGCGAGCCATTCGAGTCTCTCTATCCCCTCAGCTCTCGGGTTCCCATCTTCCTTAACTTTTACCCTCCTCCGCCCGTCGGTCTGCCACTCACGCCCTCCTTTGCCTTCAGCTGTCCTCGCCCCAAGAAAGGAGGCGGCGAATTGTCCCTTTCTGGGCTATTGATGCCATTCGACACTTCGTGCTAGCAAGGCCTTCTCCACCGACCGCTAGGTTCTTACGGCTGCTACCAAACGTCCCTATTCCCAGTACCCCAATTCGCCAGTGCAAGTACGAGGCGGCGGTCGAATCACCGAGGCAAACTGCACAGCGGTGCAACCCGATTTTCCCAGCTCATAGTCTCACGTACGCCCCCATTCGCGCACCCGCGACCGCGCTTCTTTCGAGAGGGACGAACCCGTCACCGCTTTCTGCGAGTTCTGCTTGGCGACGCCGGCAGGTAGCTTGCCGGTCGATTCTCGAGGAGGGACGAAGAGACTAGGCGGTATAGAAAGCAGACGCCCTGTCTTTCCCTACATAATTCCACGGCCCAGGGAGAGAGTCACACTTCTCTTGACGACCAATTCTTCGTATAGAGGACGATAACCGAAACCCGCCAATTGCTCTCTTGGAGACTTGTGTAGATCAGCTTTCCCGGCAGCTTGTCTCACCCTAGCACCCTTTTGAGTGGACGGGGAAATCTCGATACTACGTCAGAACAGAAACCCGCAACCCCTCCTCGACTTTTCTGGGGGTCGAATTAGGTAGTTTACCACAAAGACGACTTTCGCGCGCCCGCCCCGAGAGATCTCAACGTCAACACAAAGACCTCCCATCCCGAGGCTTTGCCAGCGAAGCGGCAACCAGTACCCCGAAAAGGATTGACCCACGCAAGCAAACGGTGGACGAGACGTGCGACGCACACGAGGAGGACAAGTGAAGGAAGAGAAAGAATCAGGACCCAGAACCGAGGAAATACATGGCAATGTCGTAGGAGTGGCCTGATTGCGCCAAAGAAGTCGAATTACAAACACAGATTGGGGGATTCGCGAAGGAATTGGGCGGTTTTCTGAAGTAACCCAGACCTGGTTTCTTACACAAACACCAGTTTCGACGCATGTGCACCCCTCGTCGGTGAAAGGCATCACCCAGAAGAGAGGCAGACACGATAAAAAGGAGGGAAACATGGATACTCCCGAGGTAGCGACGCCGACGTCTGGCGCCGCTACGCCCTTGACGGTACCCTCAACGCCGGCCAAGCCAGACTTCATTCCGCTGGTCACGGTTGTCGACTTCCACCATGCCCGCGGACCCGAAGTTGAGATGTGGTTTGGCGCGGCGGAGGGCACAGATCCGGCAGTCGAGTATGACTGGGGGCTGCTGCCTTTCATGGCGTTGAGCGATGGTGCGCACTTGTGAGTATCGACCTGTGTCCACTGTGACGCCGATGGTGACCGGGAGCTCTGCCTCGGAGCCCAGCTGCTATCTACGTCTCAGAGCTGGACCAGAAGCTAACGACTCGGACCAGATCAAGCGAGGATTTCTCCTACTTTACGCTCCTTCGTCCGGCCACCGCCACAGGGCCTGCGACGTCCCTGTTCGGCATATCCTGTACACGGCAGCTCGATGCCTCGCAGCTCCTGAACCGGCCCGCCGACGTCACGCGCTCGACGGTGCAGAAAGCCGTCGTCGTCATCGCCGACACGCCGCAGCACTTTGGCATGATGCGCGAGCGTCTCAGCGTCGTCACGCAGGCCTGGTTCGCGCAGCGCGAGTTCACCGACACGGAGATCCTCCGCCGCTTCCAGGAGAGTCTGGCCGAGGAGAAGGAGCGCGGGTTCTTGACGGAGGAGGAGAGCCGCGATCAGTACCTCGGCATGAGCTTGCGTGAGCTGGTGCACGAGTTCAAGTCGCAGACGCTGATGCTGTTCAAATGCTGTTTGCTGCAGCCAAAGGTGAGTTTCCTCCTGGTCAAGTGGTAGATTGCTGGAAGCTGACCGATGAGCATAGATGCTTTTTTTCGGATCACGATGTGAAAGGTTATGCATGATGCAGTTTTCTCTTATTTCTCTGATACCCGGACTTATCCGTAATCTCGTTGACTGCGCCGACCCGGAGCTGAACAACTACGAGAAGAGGTTGGCGCGGCCTACGAGCTTGCGGACCAGCGATCGCAACTCTTTGCTCACTTACATGGGCTTGCCCCTGCAGATTTTCGGCAAGGTATGTTTGTGGTTGCCATGTTAAGGGCTCATGAACTGACAACATCAACAGGGTAGTTTGTTTGGTCCATACACTCCTCTGCAGCAACTTGACATACTCGCCGACTTCGGCACCAAGTCATACATTGTGGGCAGCACGAATTCCCTCCTCTTGCAGCAGAGGGACCGGTACAGCGATATTCTAATTAATCTTGACGAGCACACCGTCAATGTTTAGTTTGTTTGGTCCATACACTCCTCTGCAGCAACTTGACATACTCGCCGACTTCGGCACCAAGTCATACATTGTGGGCAGCACGAATTCCCTCCTCTTGCAGCAGAGGGACCGGTACAGCGATATTCTAATTAATCTTGACGAGCACACCGTCAATGTTACATCCTCCTCCCTCAAGAACGCACTGGCTCTGTCAGCTGCCGACCGCCGTTGGATCGACTACATTACCCAAGTAGTTAATGACACTTGGGACGAAGCCAACCCCCAGCGTCCCAACACTATGGGCTACGTGGGCAGCGAGGAGTTCATCCGCCTCCAGTTCGAAGAGTACATATTATCTCTCGTCTCTTCGGTGAAATACCGCAACCACCTCCATGCGCACCCGAACAACCCGCGTGCGCTCCTCCCGCATATTGAAGGCGACCCTTCCCTCGACTACGGAAACGAATTTATCGAATACTGGTCCCGCACCGAAAACCACCGCATCTGGAACGGCAACACGGATTCCCACCTCTTTGACGTCGTCGAGCCGCGGCACCCCTGCGCCGGCGGTCTTACGATTGATGACGTGCAGCGCCGCATCGCTCAGCAGGTCCAGGATATGCACCTGGACGAGCGTCTCGCCGTCGGCAAGGAAGTCCTCGGACGCAACTTTGCCGTGGGCAAGGAGAAGGCGTCCAACATGTTCAACAAATTCTACTCCGACCTGGAAGCGCTCCGCGAGGCGCAGAGGAAAAGGGCCGAGGAGCAGCGCCTGGCTCAGGAGGCTGCTGCCGCGGAGGCCGAAAAGGCCGGTGCTCCCGCCGCCTCTGCTGCGGCGACGGAGGGGGCAGCAGCCGCGAAAGCGCCGGGCAATTCCGGCAACAAGGCTAGTTCGTACGTGAGTTCGTGGGTCACCTGGGCGGGCGAGAAGCGCAAGGCCGGATGGGGTGGAGGCAGCGGCAGCGGGAACAGCACTGTGACGTCCCCGACTACGAGTACCAGCGGAGGGTACGGCTGGGGCCGCGGATGGGGCAAGTCCAAGACGGACGCCAGCAAGGCTGGGAACGGCGACAGGGACTCTGCTTCAATCTCGGGCTCGCGGGTGTCGACTTCGTCTGCGGGCACGGAGATCAATGATAAGAGGCCGCATGGCGAGAAGCATGATTTCCAGCCGCTGACGCAGGGGTCGTATACGGAGTCGATTCTCTCGACGGGGTCGATTGATTCGGAGACGCCGGCGGGTCACACGAGACCAGAGTCGAAGGATGGGACTGTGCCGCCCACAGCGGTAGGGGCTTCCAAAACGACTGGTGAGGCCGATGGCAAGTTGAATGGTGGGGAGAGCAGTGCTATTCGGACAGTGGCTTCTGAGACCGATGGAGAGGAGAAGAAGGGAGGAGGTTCTGCCACCGCGGCGCCGAGCACTCTGCCGACCAAGGCGCAACAGCCGCCACAGCAGGAGAGCGACGACGAGGAGGACGAAGTGGAGGAATCCAGGGCGACGGCAGCTGCTGCGGAGGCTGCGGCTGAAGCGGCCAAGGCTTGGGGTGATGATCGCCCATGAGGAGGAACCGCACACCTATGAAGAAAAAGAATGAAAGCATAAGGAGTATCAGCAGGCCGAGATGATAATGGGGAATGATTGGGACATGGGGGCGTGGAGAAATATCAACTACAGCACAACACACACACACAAATTCCTGCAGGGAAAAAAAAGAAATCATCACAGTACAGAGTGTGTACAGAAGTATCAAGCATAGCGAAGCATTTGTTGGAAAGGGGGGGGTCCCGATGCCAGGGTCGGATTGGAAATCTGGCGCGCGCATGAAGAACGTCAACCTGGTTATCTTGGTTTTGTCACCAAACCTGTAGCTTTTAATCATTATATATTTTTTTACATGCAGAAGAGATTGAGAAAGTTCGATTAACGGCCTTTGATGGGTTTTAGGGGGGCGCTACTTGGGATTTGACCGATGTACTACGGTTGGGGTGTGTTGGAGGGAGATGGCTGGGGGGCGAGGAGGGGATGGTACAGATCGGAATGGATGAACTCAATGAGAAAGAATGCGGTTCATAATGATGTGTGATTGCGTTCTGTTTCAATTCGTGACTTGAGCGTACATGAGGCGGGGTGTCTCGGGACACTTTGTCCTCTCCTTGCGTCTATTAATGAGATGTAAGTCTTGGTCCGGGAAACTTTCGTGCCTCGCGCTAGAAACAATGATGACCTACAAAGTGCCACGGGGATTCGCCGAGGTCTGACGGGGACTTACTTATCTGTAGTCAACGGGGAGTGCTATAAAAGCTTTGTCAATGGCAAGGCTGATATCAGGGCCGCAAATCGCGATCCGGAAAGCTTCTGCGCGAGGGCGGTCAACTTGCATTTTGCCGTCCAGTCGAGTCTCAGGCTTAGATGCTGTTCCAGAGCGCACTCATTTCATAAGAAGGAGAAGTTCAGGAGACGAGGTAGTTGTTACACGCTCTAGCCTTTCTATACTCTTGGCACATGGAAGAGTATTAGTCTCGGAATATATTGGGGATGCTTAACGCTGAGTAGAGGGTTTGTTGGCCCGAGGTGGAGTTGCTAAACATAGAAGCAAGGTAAACTGATATCACCGCGAGGCACAGGAAGATTATAGAGACGTCTCAAGCTATGGAGAACCATCTCCAGTCTTAGCCGTCTTCGAGAACAAAGGATCCCTGCTGATGCCATGCGCCTGGTGTGAGACATTGCTTTGTTACTTTTACTTGATTATATACTCGTGGCGGCGGTAAGGGCTGGAGGTGCCTGCTTCGTCGACTGTATATAAGTCGACCTATGCGCGCCTGTCAAACTTGCTAAGTCATGACCAGGTAATCCAAGAGAAGAGCTCTGGGAATTCACGCTTTTCTGTCTTGCTCCGATGGACTTTTCCTTTCTACTCATCTTGCGAAATGGGAAATGAGTAATATCCATCAAGTGCTATCTAGAAATCTTGCCAGTTATCAGAACGGAGAAGTGGAATCTGGTTCTACGCGTGCAGCTTCCTCCGTGGCAAAATATTCATACCCGAATAAATCCCGTCTACCCAACTCTACGAAACGGCAGGTCTCGTCGGTCATTGTTCCTGATCGCTTCGTCAGACAGCCTGCAGATTCGTCACTTAAACCATGGGGAACCATTACGCTACGGGTACGGGACCGTCCCTCCTCGACAGGCTTGTCGTTTGACCAAATTTCAAAGATTGTTTCTGCGAGGTCGCTCTTTATAGTGGTACAGTTTCTGGAATTGTTTGAAGATGGGGTACCTACCAGGTCAAAGTCTCATGTTCTCTTTCCTCGACATTGATCTCCTAATCTCTTCTCCCTTCCTTATCTTCCACTTCCGCTGACCGTGAGGTGACAGATATCGCCCTTTACCGAGGCCGAAGAGAAGTTGCAATGAGTAGAACGTTTCATAGTGTCAGCTTCCAATTTCACAGACGGGTGTGGCAAAGACGTAAGCTGGAGATGAAGATATCCTTGCTTGAGCAAAGTGCCGAGGAGTTTTGTCCATGTCTATAGATAAGGAAGGGGTAGCCGTCGCGATTTGAACTCTGAGTATATTTCAATATTCGATCGAGAAAGCTTCCGCCTGGCTGGCAAGGACTTACTCCAGTCTAAGTAGGAACGATGCTTCCAAGAGATCCATCCCACTTGTCTAAGCTCTGAACCTATCAAGATCAGAGATAGGGCGAGTATATCGTAGATGCGTTGTCAAGCCTTAAGTTTCTCAAACCCAAGGCTCACATGGATTATTGATCACAGGATTTGAGACAAGGTACGCAAAGCAGGGCGTCTTTTCTCGGTGACGCCAAATGGCCATTTCATCTTTCAATCGTTACTGGGTATTGAAAACTCCTAAAAACAAATCCAGAAAGGTATCGTCATTCAAAGAAACAAACAAAAGAAAACCTCCACCGCATCGCCAAATCACAAAAGTCGTCCGATTCAACCCAAGCACCTATCCTTCCCCTTCACACAACCGAAGGCCGCGGCCCAGACGAGACCATGACGTGCCCAACGCTCGACTGCCTCGACGCCTTCCTGCCGGAAGAGAACCGCTCAAAGAAGCCCGCCGTCCCGGACTTCCTCCGCTCCCCGCTCGAGATGCTCGACCTGTCCGAGACCTCGCGGATCGAGGCGGCGTCGATAAAGGTCTGCGGGAAGATGCCCCAGACGCCCTTTGCGTTGGTGCCGGACCAGCACCAGTGATCTTGCCATGCCCCTAGATCTCTCGTGTAAGCCGACTGAAGATACACGCCATGGAAACACATAACCAGGAAAATGAAGGAAAAGAAAGGGGAAGAGAAGGAGAAGAAGAAGAAAAAAAGACTCACAGCTGATATTGGTGATCCTCTCCCCCTGATCAAACTTCAACCAATCCCCACCATCCTTCGGCCTGGGCGCAAACTTCCACCTCGCCACAGCCGAGATGTTACTCGCCGTGTCCGCGCGGATCTCCGCCTTGGGCGGCGCCTCCAACTTGAGCACATCCAGCGGCGCGGACCCGAAATTCCCCTCGTGCCACCCCATCACCCACTCCCCGTTATACTTCGCCGGGAACTCCACCCCGCTCAACCTCGCCCCGTTAGCCAGCTCGAACCCGGGCGTGTTGTCGTACAGCAGCCGCATCCCGTACATCCTCTTGACCGTCTGCGTCGCCGTCGCGGTCGGCAGCTGCGCGAGCTCGAGCTGGCGGCCCTCGATGCGCGAGGGCCGCGGCGGGGCGCGGAAGTGCAGGTCGTAGTTGTTGCGCAGGTGGAGCGGCACCTCCCCTCCGCCCGTCGTTTCCGAGGTCTCCACGACGGTGATGCCGGGTACTTGGGGCAGGGGGCGCGGGTGCCGGGCGAGGTGCTCGAAGAGCTTCTTCTGGCTGAAGAAGACTGTGGCGTCGCACTCTTCGAGGGTGCGCTGGGCGTGGACGCAGAAGACGCAGCCGTAGAGGAACTCGTCTGCGCGTTTGGTGGCGACGTGGGATTTCTGGAGGAAGCGAGGGCGGTAGGAGATTTTGTTGGAGGTGTGGTTTGCTTCCTCTGGAGGTTGTCACTGTGTTAGTTCACCTATCCCTTGGATCAAGTCAGATATCAAGATGTAGTGTTGAGTACGTACCGGCGTTGTTGACGTCGTTCTCGACCTGTTTGAAGTCGAGCTCGTAGGAGCAGCTCGAGCATTTGGCGACTTCGTGAGCACCAGAGAATCCCTGGTAATGAAAGTCAACACCGGTATACTACAAAGAGAAAAGGGGTGGACGCTGGCTACTCACCGGTTTCTTAACCTTCTTCACGCCGAGACCTCCGCGCGTAACCTCCTTCGCACCCTCGCAGAAGCCTTTATATAAATAAAACGAGCTGCTCAACCCGATATTACAATCCTTTGGCCGGGACGAGACCTGAAGCGCCGCCTCCCTCCCCTGCGAAGAAGACGACTCCGACTCGACGGGAATGAGCCCCTCGCCGTCGCTCATGACCAGCGGCACCTTCTCGATGCCCTCGTGGACGCCGGGCGGAAAGTTGGGCGGGATGATGGGCGGTCTCGACGTCGGGCTGAGCCGGCCCCCGTCATGGGCCGAGGACGTGGAGGCGCGGTGCTCCGTCATGGAGGGGCTGATGGCGCCCGAGTTCCTCCTGCCGCCACCGCCGTCGAATACGGAATCGTGGAGGGATTCCTGGGAGCGCTGCCGTGAGGCGTGCGAGTACATGGAGCTGGTCTGCGAGTGCCGGTGGGGCCGCGGGGAGTGACCTCCGTTCACGTTCCGCGGCGTCTGCGTCTGGTCTTCCGTGACGATACCCAGTGTCGTCGACGAAGCTCGGCCTCGCGAGACGAGAGGGTGATTTCTATCCGTCATCGATACCGGGGATCGCGTGAGGTCCTGCGGGCTCATTTGGTGGTACCGGTCTTCTTCCGAGAGGACGCGGTCGGTGGGGATCTCGAGCCGGTGATCTGAGCCGTGCGAGAGTCTGCTCATGTTCTTCGGGCTACCCGGCTCAGAGATGGGCGAGCTCATGGAGACGGGCGGACGGCGCTCAATGTTCATCTCACCCATTGGTCCCTCCAGTCCCGTCTCGATCATGGGGCTTGCTCCTATACTCCACGGGTTTGTCGGTGGAGGAGGCGGCGGTTGTAGCTCGATTACCTCCTCCCTGACTCTTGACTCTGGCTCAGGTGGTGCGTGTTGCTCTTCATATGGCTGGAAATGATGTCCCTCGTGGGACGTAGGCAGACTTCCGTGGCCTTGGTCTTGGGTCTCTAGCGTCCAGCGAATCCTTGGTCAGCTGCATGATTTTCCATCTTTGATTTCATGGGGGCAATGGCTATAGTTACCGTGTGTAGCCGGTGGCGATGTCGCGATAATTGGAATGGGAGGCTGCTCCCGCGGCGCCGGCTCCAACCTCATCCTCTTCAAGATCTCTCCCGTCCGGAGGCCGGCCCTCTTGCAGAGCTCCCGTAGCTCGACATACTTTTCCTTTTCATACGTGTCTGCATCGATTACGTCTTCAAAGTCCCATATCATGTCAGTCATCTGGGACCTGTAGTCGGCGATCTCGTCTACATGGATAACACGAAGTTAGTTAACACCGTCACCATATGTAAGAAGAAGAAATAAGGAAACGGAGATCATCATACTATCATCTTTGAGCGCATCTATAAAGTTGACGCCAGACTCCTCCAAGTGGCGCAAGCACAGCGGCTCAATAATCTTGAGGATGCGCTCGGCGCCCTTGACCAGCTTCTGGCTCTCGGAGAGCATGTCCCGGTCGTCGCCCGCGTTCCCGAGCGCAACGGTCCCCTTCTCCACGACCTCCTCAAAGGGCCCTGTCACCAAGTCCTTCACGACGTCCATGGTCGGCAAAAGGGGGCCCGTAAGTCCTTTGACGGTCGGTGGCCGTCTGGTCTCGGTCTCCCGGCGGCGGGGTTTTAGGTGGAGTCGTCGGTCTGGTTGGTTAAAGGTACACGATGGGCTAAGCCAGCGCGACAAGCTGGCAGAGGGTCATCCGAATAGTAAGTTTAGTTCTGAACTTGCGCAATCGCCAAGGGTTTTTTGGGGGTTCACAATCACAGAACCTTTGCAGAATAGATCTTGGCAGAAAATGTGAGAAAAAGAGAAGGGAGAAGAGAGAGGAAATGCAAAGAGGATGGCAGGTTAGGATAGGACAAGGCTGTAGGAAAACTACTAAGCTGAGCTGAGCAGATCAATTAGTCGGCTTCGCTCAGAGTCACCACCACAAAAACAGGGCCAGCTCCAGGCCGCAGGATAGATGGGCATGGTATGGCACACAAGGACGGGACGGGATTGGAGATGGGCGGCTGGCGGGCAAGGTAGGCAGATGCAGGGCGCACCGCATGTCAGACTCTCTCTCCCGAGACACGAAGCGCGCCTCTGAGCCGTCCGTCAATCTGTCACTTGAGAGATAGAGAGAGCGAGGCACAAGAGGACCGGTAGCCAACGGGCGTGGCTTGCTTCTCGGAACGCCTCCGCACTTCCAGTCCCAGTTCAGGTCTGGAGAGTTGACATGAGTGACAAGTAGGCAAGGCGGTGCGGTGCAGTTGCGCCCACCTTTGCAAGCGAATGCAGGTGAACCTCGCCCCGGTATCAGGCTAGTCTCGCGAGGAGATCGACATGGCGGGCGATGAAAAGAGTGTCGACATGTCTGCTGCATGTTCCAACGTGGAGGAGGGGTGTGGAGGAGAAGCGCCAAAAGGTGGAGGAGGAGGCGTTCTGGCGTCTTGGATCCGAGGTAGGGCTGCTGAGCTGTCGCTGCTAGCCTTCAGAACTCCCCCAGGCAGACCCGTTTGGCTTCATCGGCGTGGCACATTCCTCAAGCTGGCTCCGCGATTGGTGTTGCTCAAGCGAAAGGAATGTCGCGGGCGTGACGGAGTTTGCTGGTGAAGTATTGAGGGAAGAGGGACGTTTGGTAGGGGGTTGTAAGCGATCAAGTCCACAATGTCGGTACGTACTATCACTAAATAAGCAAAGAAGTCAAGGTAGCACTGGTAGGTAGCCTGTAGGTACTCACGTACTGCGGTAGGCTCATCAGATGAACGCTGCAGCCACGAGGTCCAACACAGCTAGCGCAGAGGCGCAGTTCAATACAAGCCCATCGACGTAACCTCTTAGAGTAAAGAGGCTCTAACAAGCATTTGGATCATTGCACGAGTCGACGCCCAGTTGTTTAAGCCTCCCGATCTGCCTCGCCCGGTGCGCAGTTTGTTTTAAGTGGTCATCTGCCCTCTCATTATGAGGCATTACTGAGTTAAGTGAGGTAGATAGCATACCTTATCTCAACTTCCCCGTCGGTCACCTATTGTGGCCACCGACTACCGCAACACAGTTGCTCCATCTTTCTTCACCGAACACATGAACATGCAAGGGGTTGGCTGCCTAACTCTTATTTTGACCGAAACAAACGCCCGATTACAGACAGCAAATAACCCGCAGCTTTTCGGAATACCCCGATTAAATATTTTCGCTAGCAATACACGCCAGAACAGGCATAACTCATATTCTCGTCAATAAGGGGTTGTGTGTATACTTTGTTTCTTATCCACCGATCCGTCCTTTCATCAACTGTTAATGGCGGACCTCTACGCTTTAGTTGTATTTCCGGAGATGCTCTGATGATCTCATGTCAGAAGGTGGCAGTGACGGTTCAAGTATACAGTGACTTACCTGAGAAATTAGATTGCGTCCAATCTGGATGGTCTCGGCCATGCCACGTTGGCGAAGCCAGAACCTGTTAAACCATCAGCTTAAATCTTCGACGTCAAGGGCTCGAACATCAACTTACGCTTCCTCGGCGCCTCCGTGGCCTTGAGTCGAGATCCTGCGAGCCTCATCCTCAAGAGCCTGCATGGTGATCATCTCCGTCTTCTCGATACCCGGAGTGGCAGCCTGGTCCGAAACGCCTTGGCCGAGGTTCTCCTCGAGCAGTCTCTTCTTCATCATGAAACGTTCCTTCTTCTCCCTCTGCAACCCGGGGCTATCCAGCTTCTTCATAACGAGGCGAACGACGAACTGAGCGCCAAAGTAGAAGTGTTCCGAGAGGAGGATGCTGAGGAGGAGACCCCATGCCTGAATACTTCCAGGGGTGCCGCGAGGTCCATCGCCCTTGCCAGCGGATCTGCACAGGAATACAATCGAGGCGCTGGTGATGCTACCCAACCAAGACAAGAAGCCCAGGGCGTTGAGCCAGGGCCCGATCGAGTCGGCGCGCCATGGAATCGGCCGTCTGCTGCTAATGGCAATCTTGACAGCGTCCGATCTCATCTCGACCCAGTTGTTTACGAGGAAGCAGCAAGCTGTCAAGGGCCAGGCCACGGAGAAGAGAGAGAGGTAACCGAACTGGATGACCATCTCTCTGTAGTCTCCAGTAACATCGTAGGTCTCAAGCTCAGCTTCGTTCCTCACCCGCTCCAAGAAGGCGGCCTCTTCCGGCTGGTCCTTGATCTTGGCGGCGCTGTCTTCCTTGGACATCTTTGACTGCACCTCCCTGACCTCCTGGAACACCTGACGCTTGACGTACGGTACAATGACCTCGGTGGCAAAGTTGACGACCTGGGCGGTGACGGTGAAATAGAACATTTGCTTGCTGATTCTCTCGGGGTTGATGGAAAACTCCTGAGTCTGGAAGTTGACGTCCTTGGGGGTGATCTTCTGCGCAGTCGTCCGCCAGAAGTCGAGGTAAGGAGTGAGATGGTCGCCGAAGGGCAGGTAGACAAAGGTGGTGAAGAACAAGGCCATGTAGGAGGTCAGAAAGTTGAGAACGAACTCCTTCTGAACCAGGGCTGCATGGTGTGCGTCAATTGTTTCGTAGTTTTCCATCTCGGTCAGTCTCGTCGCGAACTTTGTGAGCACGGTAGAGAAGGTGGGAGTCATGACAACCAGAATGACGGTTGGGAGGAAGGCCAAGTAGGATTGGAAAGGCCCGTTGTACACTTCGTTGATGAAGATTTCCAGCGAGTTGCAGGTCACGATTAGCGTGCCTAGCACCACGATGCACGCTGCCGCGAAGGGGATCTGGAGAAGCTGCGTCTGCAGACGCTTGATGGGCGAGTAAATCTTGACAGGCTCTCCGGTGATGGGGTCCTCGGCCTGACGCTCAAACTCGAACTGCGGCCGAGGGTGCTGGATGTTGGAGACGCCGCGAACGCCCCACTGCACGGCGAGGTCGACTTCCCTCTGCTTCCAGAACTCGAAGAAGATGACGGACCACAGGCAACTGACGAGAGCATAGAGCCAGGAGAACTGGCCAAGGAACATCCAAGCACCAAAGCCGGCGGCGGCGGGGACGACGAGGAACTTGAAGTAGGTCTGCATAAAGGCAAAGTAGAAGGCGACGCTCTCGCCGAACTTATCGCGAATCTCATCGAGGTCGTTCTCGTCCGTCTGTCCCTTTGTGCTCACCCTCTTGATCCACTGGCGGTTGAAGGAGTGGTTGTGGAGGGGGAAGATGCTGGCGACGTGCTTCCACTTGCCGGACTCGGGGGTGATGCCGGCTCCACCCTCGTTCTTGGGCTTCACCATGAGCAGGTAGACGAGACGCAGGCGCTCGGCGTCAGAGACTGGCTCGTCACGGAGAGCCTGGGAGAGGTCCTTGTCGGCAGTGTTGGTTCGAGCGCCCTGTAGCCAGTCTTGCAGTCTGGATCGGTAGACCTGGTCGGCGAGGAACTTGTCGGCGATCTTGATAAAGACGAGGACGGAGCTCTTGTCGCCTCTCCGGACCTCGGTGGTCAGGCCGACATGGGTCAAGGCTTCGATTAGCTGGACGAAGGAAGCTTCGGCACTGGCGCGGTCTGAATGAAGTAATGGGTCAGTTTTCGTAGTGATGAGCAGAGGCAAAAGGGGGACTCACCCTCTTGCGGGATCTTGTAGTTGATGACATAGTCGACGCCAAAGTTGGTGTCTAGACCCTTGGTCTTCTCATCGCTGTAAAGGTCGCGAAGAGTCGCCATGGCTGCTGCGGGCCGCGAGATCGTCCCAAGAGATCAGTCGTCGGGAGCTCGAGCACGGATGGTATGTGTGCAGGTTAGGAGGTCTGGATTGTAGAGATGGGATGCACTTTGAGACAAGATATGAGAGCTATCCAGATGCTCGAGATTGACGGGATCACGATAAGGGAAAAGGTAGTAGGGTTCGCGATGGTCTTAAAGCCAAGGGCGAGAATGTTAGCCAAGTGGCTGAAAGTAATGACGGTGATGTCTCGCTTGGCAGGTTTTTTAGATGAACCGAAGGAGAGAGAGGAGCTTGGGCATTTGGCTGGCTGGCGGGACTGAGGGAACCGTCACGTCACCGCGCAGGGCCCCGACTTGGCCGGGGAGCTCAATTTTCAGGGAACAAGCTCTAGCCCCTCAATACCTCTACGAAGTACCTGGTGCCCACCAGTCGATCCCACCACCGCTACACCAAACATGGATTGGCGCTGCCGTGTCGCTGGGAAAGGTCCAGTGGTGTTGTACTTCGTAGGCTTGTAACACCGTAGCAGTGACACTGGTGGGGCGTGGCTCGTGCTGCCCCGGCCTTCCCCTCCACCACTCCCCTCCCCCCCCTCTGGCCCCCAGCATAGCTGAACAACCGCCGTGCCAGGTGCCGGCCGGCCCACCTCACTGTGGACATGGCGACATGCACTTACTGATTGACTTCTGACGGGTGGATTGTCATTGGATTGCACATGTGCTGGCTGGTGCTGTCATCGGTGGGGTTTCAGCTTTGGCAGCTGCTTGGAGCTCCCTCTGCCCCATGTGAAGATCCGTCCGGCCAACCTCAACACCACTTCACCTCACCTCACCTCATCTCACCGTATCTCACCTCAATTCATATCACCAATCTCACTCACCTCGCACAGCAGCTCCCATGGAAGTCGCATAACCCCTGCGTCCCGTTACTCGATACCCCCACGAACAGGGACACCGACGGACACAATCTACAAATGACTCTCCTCACAGCCCTCGGCCTCCGCCGCAAAAATGATTGGGAACCCCTAACCCTCATCGACGCCATACTTCTCTCACCCCTAAACCTCCTCGTCTCAATCATCTACAGCATAATCCTCTTCCTTCGTGGCCGACCCTTCACCCCGCCCCGCGACAAGCCCGCCATCCGCATCGTCTGCCTCTCCGACACCCACGACCGTACAGACGTCGACATCCCCCCGGGGGACCTCCTCATCCACGCCGGCGACCTCACCAACGCCGGTACCGTCGCCGACATCCAGGCCCAGCTCGACTGGCTCGCCGCTCAGCCTCATCAGCACAAGATCCTCGTATGCGGCAACCACGATAGCTTCTTCGACCCCAGCGCCCGCCTGCCCGAAGACCGCGGCAAGAGCCTCGATTTCAAGGGGATCCGCTACCTCATCCGCGATGCCGTCACGCTGGAATTCAAGGGTGGCCGTCATTTGAAGATCTACGGTGCCCCTGATATCCCGACCTGCGGCGGCTCAGAAATGGCTTTCCAATATGATTGTTCATCACCGCCCTGGACCAACACGGTTCCAATTGACACTGACATTTTGATCACTCACACCCCACCAGTAAGTCTCATCTCATCTCATCTTACCTCATTTCACTTCATCTCATCCTCTCCACCTGCGAAAACTTCCTCATCTAACACAAATCAAAAGAAAACCCACCTAGACCTCAACCTAGGCTGTCCAGCCCTCCTCCAAGAAGTCTGGCGCGTCCGCCCCAAACTCCACGTCTTCGGCCATGTGCACTGGGGCCACGGCCGCCAGACCGTCCACTTTGACGACTGCCAGCGCGCCTACGAGGCCCTCATGTCTCGCCCGCCCCGAGGTCTCTTCCGCGACCTCTTCCCCCACTCTGGCTGGCGGGACGCTCTCGCCGTCCTGGGCTACGGCATCCACGGCGTCGTCTGGAAGTGGCTCATGGTCGGGCCCGGCGGCAACACCAGCAGTCTCATGGTCAACGCCGCGCAAATGTACGGCAACACGGGGCGGCTGGGGAATCCGGTGGAAGTAGTGGACCTGTGATAAAACAAAGAGTAAGATAATGACTTAATATCATAAAGTTTTTGTATGACTATAACTACGTATAATGTAGTGAGGCGATGCGCCCGTTGCGCTGGTGTGGTATCATGGCGATGTCTATGCTAATGAACGTGGTGGAGCAAAAACCAACGAAAGAAACCAAAGAGAAAGATAGAAAGAAGTAAGAAAGAGAGAGACCAAATGCGCCGCCAATATGCACCGGGAACCAGCCCACCGATTCGTACCGTCTTTTCGACGTCAAGCCCCTGGGACCACTTCATCAGAAAAACATCAACGCGAATCGTACAACCGCAATAGCGACCCCCAACCCAACAGCCCACCCAAAGTTCACCTCCGCCACGGACGCCGCCGCACTAACAGACACCATCGACGGAGTGGGTCTCCCGGTCACAGGCGGGGTCGCCGCCGCACCCGTCACCGATCCAGTGGGCCAATACCCCGTCGACGTCCCGACACCGGCCCCGGCTCCGGTGCCCGGCACCGCAAGCACCAAAAACGGCACCGTCAGTGTCACACGGTCCGCGCCGTCGGCACCACACCCGGCGCACGAAGCCACCGTCGTCGTCATCGGTACGCTCACGGCCGCGGGCTGCATCCCGTCACCGCCGCAGTACTTGTTGCAACCCGGTACCAGGATCGTGGTACAATGCTCCGCGGGCGTCAGGCGCGCCGCGTCGGTGGCGCAGACGGTGGTGTATGTCACCGTCGTGACGAGCGTCGATGTGGACGGGGTATGGGGTTCCGGGTCGCCCAGGGGCGGGGCGTTGGGGGGTACTTCGTCCGTGAGGCGGGCGTAAACTGACAAGAGGTAGGTGGAGGGCGCGGCGCGGCGGTGGAGGTGGAGGTGCATGAGGCGGCGATGGGGGTTCGAGGAGAAGGACGGCGGGAGGGTGTCGCGCTTTGGCTTTGTGGCCGGGGTGCTTGTGGTGCCGCCGCAGAGCTGGGTGTTGTTTCCTGGACAGGGGCTGTTGCAGAGGGCGCGGTCTGTTGTTGCTCTGGTGTCTGGGTCGAGGTCGTCTGCGCAGAAGCATTCGCTGGGAAGGGGACGTGTTAGTGAGAGAGGTTTTATATGAGAAGAGGGTTCGGGACGTTACCTTTCGCGGACACCGGCGTATTTCCCAGGTCTGCAGAGATCAATACACTTGCCGAGCGTCATATCCGCCGCCGAGGCCTTGAGCAAGAAGCTCTGGAACCCGGTCCCGGAGCCGAAGCAGCCGAGGTACGCGTACTCCCCGATCGTCGCCGGCTCGCGCCCTGGGACTACGGGGTCCGTCGAGGGGCTGGGGGGTGCCGTGGCGGTCGGTCCCACGACGGTGGACAGGACGACGGACGAGACTTGGGAGGCCTGCATTGTGGCGGTGGACACGATGACGGTACCGTTTTGCGTGAAACTCGTCACGATAGTGGCAGGGTTCGGTACCGTAGTGTAGATTGTCGATGTGGTCTGGACCGTTGTCGTTGTCGTCGGCTCGGACGGGCTGGCGGTGGTGTTCGTGGCGAGGCCTTGTTCGTAGACGTCGATGTAGTTGACTTCCCAGTACCTGATTTTCGGTTTCTTGTCAGAATCCTAACGTCCATTCTTGAGGGGTTCAATGACTTACGCGTTTGCGAATGCGGTAGGGTTGTTTGCCACGTACTCAACGCACGTCGGCGCCCGCTGATTACAGGTATCCCCGTCCTTGCCCCAGATGTTGGCAGCATAATCACCGCAGAAGTTCTATATCTCATAGTCAGCGTAATCTGCCACGTACCTACACAACTTCGCGAAACATACCGTCTGAATCACAATACTCATATCCTTAAAGTATGTGTCTACATCACACGACGACGTCCCAAACAGCGCAGACGGCAGGCCCCAACCGGACGGATCCGGGTTCTTGGCAATAATATCATCGGGGATGCTCTGTCGCGGCCAGTGCCAGATACTGATGGCCTCCGAGGTCCACTCAAGCGCGTAGACGCCGCCGCCGACGGCGTTGAAGGCGTCTCCGTAGGTGTGCGTGTCCGAGGCTGGTGGAAGGTAGTTGCAGCCGGCGTTGTTGGTGGTCTAATTTTTGGTGTATTGTCAGCAAGGCAGAACACAGTCACACGTCACCAAACGATGAATCGAAATGGGGCCGGGGGCTCCATTGAGGAGACTACATACACCTGGGCTTTCGCAGTCGAGGAGGAGAGGTTGGCCGGCGGCGGCGGGAGAGTCTGGGATACGGCATCCTGATGTACTAGATTCATCGCGTTAAACCAGACTTTTAGATAAGGCATGAAAGAGTGACAAGACTCACGTGTGTCCGGAAAGGATGTTCTTCGTAGCCTGGTTCGCGCCCTCGATGATGTCAATTTCTCCGCTTGTAGGCCAGTCCGGTCCATACATCCAGACTATCCAGATTCATTGTCAGCCAGTGAGCCCAGAAAGGTGATTTGATACACCTTCAACGAGTCCGACTCCTCTCAAAACTCGGCAAAGATGAAAACCACCCAAGAAGAACGAACTTACACGCAGGCCACAACCCACAAACCGATGGCGGCATGTGCGCGAAATCGCCGATAAACAGGCCATGGTTATACTGTCTCTTGCTCTCCAGCCTCAAACTCGGCCGTCCGTCGCTGAGGCCGTACGTGTTCTTGTTGTCCACGCCCAGCGTCACGGCCTGCGTGTCCGGGTCGATGAAGTAGAGGCCCTTTGCGAGGGCGTCAGGCTGGCTTTGGTACCTATCTTTGCCGTCAATTCATTCATGTCCAACTCTGCTCAAAGAAACAAACGGGCTTGAGGCCGATGTCTGTGAGTTAGGTAGGAAAGACGTACCTTACGAAGCCGTTGGATGGGTCGGCATAGTTGATAAAGTTGAAGTCTGAAATCAGGTTCGCGCCGAAGTACGACTGCGATAAGCTGTACGCCATGTTGGCTTCTCTTTCTCTTCTTCTCCTAATGTTCCTTTACACCCTCTTTCGTGTCTTCTGCACGATTTTTGCTGTCCTTACTGTCGCGTTACCGGATTGAAGAGAGTGTATAAGTGACCGCCCTAAGACTTGAATAGAGCGAGAGAGGTCGGGTGCGTCAGCGATCGATGATCGAAAACCGATGGGCATACACACGTCAACGAGAGACTCTGGTTGATTCAGATAAACGGAGAGAGAGATAGAGAGAAGGAGAGCGAGAGAGCAAACGCCACGACTCAGTTTCGATGATCGAACAGAAACCAGATGTCATGAGACCCTTCAGAGAGAGGGGTGTAGTTTCCTTATAACCCTTTGCTCGTCAACGTCTCCCTTGCGACTGATCCAGGTACAGAATCACCAAAAGATGCGAACCTCGACGAATGGATTCACAAGTCTGCCCTCCTCCACGTGAGGACCACACCACCATCATCGCAGCCCTCACGTCCGGCCAGGAATGCCACTGCTCGAACCGCCGTCTGGCCAAGGGCCTGTCCGAGGACCCAAGCCTTGGGGATGCTCGAGATCCATCTCCCTCCCAGCCTCCTCAAAGCAGGCCCATTTAGAACAGGTGACGTTTGCTTCTCCACAAAGCGCGGCTCCTCAGAGCCTCAGAGGAGAGCGTGAGTTCAACAGGCTACACCTAATCGGAGAGACAGAGAACTAAAAAGGACAAGAAAGCTAGACCGGTCTGGTGGGAGTCGACAGAGAATCCAATACGCAGATAATCCATTTCGAGAAACCCAACCGCGCGGTATCCACTCCAAAAAAGAGAAAAGCAGAGCACGCAGAGCAAGTTTGACGAGAGAAAGAAGGGAAACAAGAGGAATGCAAGCATCGCTAGCTTCGCTCAAAAAGTCGCCTTCCTCTTACCCATCCATAAACCCTCCGAGCGTAGCAGACTCGGCAGACCGAGACATCCTGACGGCGAGACAGGAGGCGCGCCGCCCAGGCAAAAAAGAAGTGGAAGCAAAACCCTCCCAAGATGAGAAGACCAACCAACAGTGAGTGAAAAACGTGAAACCCAATAGAGAAGTAGTATCGAATGCCAGATCATTAAGAAAGGGATCGGGGGCGTGGGGCCGGACCACCGCCCCGATGTGAGACATCCTCCCCTCCATTCCAATCGGTGGAGGTATTCCTAGTCTCGCATTCTTCAAGTCCGACCCTTGCTTCCACCGGGTTTCCACCTCCAAAGTTCTCAGAGCCAGAAAAGAAAAGACAAAAAAAAAAAAAGAGCACAGATGCTCTAGATCTTGAGTGGGTATATTATTCATATGGTGGATATAGCATACAAGCGGAAACAAAAAAGGACAAAGTTCGTGACCCAAACGCCATGGCCTTTTTCGGCGTATGCCCACCACCTTTAAGCGATCCCTCTCGTCAACGCTCACCACCGACTCTTTCTCGTCGTCGGTAAATTACTGACCCAAATTCTCTCAGTCGTACTAGTCTTACACCATGATCCTCCTCAGCCCCTCCGTGCCTCCCAGGACGCGTCGGCCAGTGACGGCACACCGCCCCTGTCCGCTCTCCCACTTGCCCTCCTTGTCTCCCATGAACTCTTCCTGCATCGGATGCAAGCCCTCCACCCAGCGGTGAATACACGTGTAGCAATACACAATTCCCGTCTGACACGCCGTCGGCGTGACGATGGGATCCTCGCAAATAGGGCACAACGCCGAGTCCACGGGCGCAGTCACCGTGTAGATGGGCAACAGCGAAGGCGTCGCGATAGGCGCCGTCTCAGCAGCCGGGACAGCCGCGTCCGCCGCAGACTCGTCGCCGCCGCTGACGGCCTTCTCCTTGCCCTTGCCCGTCTCGGCAGCACCTGCTCTTCCAGCTCCGCCCTTGCCGGCCCCCAAACCCGAGACCACAGGGGGCGGGAGATCCAGCGTCTCGGACGCCTTGCGCGACAGCTGCTTGGCAAAGTCGGACGCGTGCCACCACTCGAGGAACTTGAGCGCAAAGATGCTCATGGGCAGCAGCAGGGACAGGCTGGACAGCAGACGCGGGCCCATCTCGCGCGGGGAGAAGAGGGATCTCCACCCGGGCGGCGCGCCGGCCTTGCCGTTCGCCTTGCCGCCGCCGCTCGTGAGCGCGTCAATGGCCTGGTAATCGGCGCCCGTCATCCTCCTCATGCGGGTGCCGATGAGCCACAGGAACGGGTTGTGGTACTTGCTGTTGTCAAACAGGTAGGCGAGGTTGAACGACAGCAGCGCAAAGTAGTAGGCCGCGTTGACGCTCGGGTAGATGTTGCGCAGGAACCAGCGGTAGTAGTGCAGGAAGCGCTGCTTCAGCGTCGGGTTGGGCGGCATCTGGGTGTAGGCGGCGCCTAGGAGCGCCCGCGGCGCGTTCACCTCGTACCCCTCGTCGAGCTTCCTCTGCAGGTAGGGGACGCCGACGGCGACGGCGAGGTTCATCCATATGTCCTTGGTGCCGAGCTTGAGGGTGTCGCGGACGACGGCGGGCGCGGAGGCGCTGGCGCGCGGGATCTCGGCGTGCAGGGCCTTTTCGCGCTTCAGGCCGTAAAAGTTCTCGGTGAAGCTGCCGCCGCGGGTCTTTAGGTAGTGGCGCTCGACGAGGAGCATGAGCAGGGCGTAGAGCTCGTCAAAGGAGTTGAGGGCGCGCAGGAGGTAGCGCGGGTACCGTTGGGTGGCGATGGTGAGGAGGTATCGGATGGTGGGCGGGAGGAGTGAGTTGAGCTGCTGTTCAGAGATGAGCTCGAAGAGGGAGGGTTTCTGGTCGTCGAAGGAGCCCCGGAGGGCGGTCATGAACTCCATGGTGGGCGAGGGCGGGCGGGCATCGGGGTTGATGTGATGACGATACCGTCAATGGTTTCTTGCTGCGAGTGCGCGGATGCAAAAGAGTGAGTTGCGCTGTTATCTGGGCATGGCGATGACGGATCAGGTGTCGTCGGGTGGGTTGGTGATAATGGAAGGCTGCAGATCTCCGTACAGGTAAGGTGGTTTATCTTATCGTCGGCGGTTGGTTTGTCAGAAGTTGGAGGTTGGACGTACCGAAAGGGATTTGCCGAGGCAGTTCCACTAGCGTGCCGAAGATAGGGACCAAGAACCCGGGGAAGCCAGCGGGGCCAGTTTGCTGTGGAAATGGAAGGGTACCTGAGAAAAGGTACCCATTCGGACCCCCAACCGAACTCAATTGAATTATAGCATCAACAACTCAATCATTCTCACTTTAGACGGCCACTCGTTCATAGATTGCCTGTCTATTCAGTTCCAGCCTTCTGGTTGATTATTTGTGGCCTAGTACCCCATCGATACCCTCACTCAATTCAGCTTTCTTCCTACAGATAGAGCCAGACTCGTTGTCAGCGACAGACAACACTCACTTTCTCATCTCACTCTCACTCTCACCCTAAACTCACACGACGACGCTTCATTCACAATGGGCATCCCATCCCAGTTCAAGTCCGTCTTCGAAGCCAAGGCAGGCGAAGAGCGCATACAAGCCTGGCTCAACCTAGACAAGGACGACGCGGGCAACTTCAAATTCGGCGTACGTCCCCTTCTCATCACATCTCACCCCAAGTAAAACACAACCATCTAACACAAAGACGTCCAGAACTGGATGGGCGCCCTCATCCCCTCCATATCCCTCCTCTCCACCTCCCTCACCCCCACCCCGCGCGCCACCTTCGCCTTCACCGTCCTCCCGGAGCACTGCAACCGCGCCGGCAACCTCCACGGCGGCGCCGCCGCCACCCTCTTCGACTCCCTCACCACCATGCCCCTGGCCCTCGTCAACGACAAGCCGGGCTACTGGCAGTTCCTCGGCGTCTCCCGTACCATCAACTGCAGCTACCTCCGCCCGGCCCCCAACGGCGAGGAGTGCCTCGTCGAGTGCGAGATCGTCCAGATCGGCCGCACGCTGTGCCAGCTCAGGGGCACCCTCACGAGGCGGAGCGACGGGGTGGTGCTCGCCACGTGCGAGCATCACAAGTTTAATACCGATCCGCCGGCGAGCAAGTTGTGATGGGCCGGCCTTGCTTCTGTCTTTCTTTTTTTTTTCATATGAATGCGAGTGTACGGAGTATGGATGAGAAGAGATGTCGAGTGAGACTCACGATATCTATTACCCACGCGGTATACATATACAGCTGTAGACGTCACACATAAGCTAGAACAAATACACAAAGCCCAAAGAAACACCAGATACGCTAGCCATCCCATCCCATCCTATCTCACTGCTCTATAAGATGATGCCCACCAAGCACAAGGTCCATAAGCTCGGAATCCGGCGCCGCCAACGCCGCCAAATCCTCCACCAGCTCCTCATCATCAATCTCGCCCCCGTCATCGTCGTCGTCCTCCCCCCACTCCCCGACCACAAAGTCCTCGTCGTCGTCCTCGTTGCTAGCCAGCTCCGCGTCAAAGTCCATGATGGGCAGGAAATCGTGAATGTCAATCTTCTTGTCATCGCCGTCCTTGGGGTTCGGGGCCCGGTCTGAGACCTTGAAGTAGGCGCTGGGTCCGCAGGGGCCGTGGGGGTCGTAGTCTCTATTAGTCTCAGAGATTAGCATTAAATTCTCTCTCTCGTTCAGAACCAATCCCCCCCCTCCTCTTCTTGGTCGATACTAGTAAGGGGGCTGGAAGAAAGAAAGGGGACGTAACGTACGTATCGAACCAGTGTCCCATGACACCGCGAGCCGACCCGACACCACCAACCTGGATCCCCTCGCTCCGCCACCGCGCGTGGCCGTTGAAGACGGAGAACGTCGTCCACCTCACCTCGCCCTCCTTGGTCATCCGAACCGTGCCTTCGGTAGCTAATTAGAATCAGTCGAAATTTAACAAAAAAAACCACAACGAAGGAAGAAAACCTCCCATCGTGCAGCCAGGGCCTTTCATCCAAAGAAAAAGAGACGAGAAAAACTCACCACGAAGTTGCGAATGCGCATTCTCATCCCACGAATCATCAACCGACCGCGACAACCCATGAAAATGCACAACAGGCAGCTCCTTCCCGTCATCCTCCCCCGGCGGCTGCACATCAACAACATACATCTTCATCAATATAATCCTCGTCGCCTCCCCAACGTCCAGCGGCGGCCGCGGCACCTCGATCGGCGGCGGCTCCTCTCCGATCGGGAAATTATAGTGGAAGAAGTCGTTATAGTCGATGAAACAAACCACCCTTAACCACGTGCCCGCGACGCCGTACGGGTCCTCCAGATCCAGGTCCCGGATCCCCCTCCCCGGCGAGGGCACGTAACTCCCCGACCACGAGCCCGCAAACGGCTTCTCCCAGAGGTTGGAGAACACTTTCGCGGTGAGACGCTGCGACCTGATGTTGCTCCCCAGCACGATCATGATGGCCTCCATCTTTTCCCAGTCCACCCGCCCCGAGTCGTCGTCGCGGAAGGGCCCCCATTTCGTGCGCGTCGTGTACTGGCGCATGTCGTAGACCTTGCACGCGGCGTAGGGGTATACCCGCGAGGACCGCGTGCGGCCAAAGTTGAAGATGGGGCGGCCGTAAAGGCAGTGGAGCTTTGCGCTCTGTTGGTGGATGTCGTCGGCGGTCGGGTCCGCCGGCCGGGAGGAAGAGGCGGATGACGCCGACGAGGACGACGACTGCCGGCGGCGGCTGCTGCTCGTCGGGCGTGCTGCGTCGCCGCGCGCGCGTTCAAAGATGCGAGAGCGACACAAGAAGGCCACCCGCGCGGGCTCGTCGCGGAAGAAGTTGGCTAGGGCGGCGGCGTTGCGGGAGACGGCGTGGGTGCCGGTGTCGTTTTGCGTCTCGCCTGTCGGGGAGGCATGTTGTAGCAGCCTGTTGGCGACGTCTGATACGAAGGGGAGGAGGTCGCGGGACTAGTTAGAGAGCGCAGATGAGAATGGGTTCATGATATCCCATATGCCTTTACGATAGTGAAGGGAGGTAAGGGAATCTCTCTCACCTTTTCGTCGACACTATCCCCGGCGCAAACGAGACCGAGTCTCACGAAATCGTGCAGTTCCCTCTCCCAATCCAGCCCAGTCTGCGCAGGTGTGTCCTATTGCGAATTAGACCATTTCCTCCCAATGCGACGCAAGACAAAGATGACTGCGGGACGGGGGGTTTGTTCCATACAAGAGCATTCAAATACACGTCCTTGCAAAGCTTCTGGTTGCCCTTGACGTAGGAGTGCAAGAACCGACACGTGCGGGGCAGACGTCCGAGGTCGCGGGGCTCGAGGCCCGAAAAGATGTGATGGAGGATCTCTGCCGGCAGCAGGTTGATATGCAGCTGCTGTTGATGCTGCTGCTGCGGCTGCGACATCTTGAGCGACGACGATGGATACGGCGACGCCCTGTCGGATTCAAGCATCTGAAGGGCAAGCTTATCGTGCACGCGGCGATTGCGATCTTATGCGTGTTGTGTATTCACAGCTCAGAGACGGATGTGTCGTTGAGAAATAGACAAGTGGTTTGGGGAACAAGCTTCAGAACGAGGGGGCCGAGTCAACGAGTCACGACGAGAGGAAACAATTTCTTGGGGTAGGTAGCAAGGTAAGTGATGAAAGGTGGGAAGAATCGAGCAAGGTAAGGCAGGACAAGGTAGGTAGACAAACAGCGGATCGGAAGCTTAAACTTACGTCGTCCACCCGGGTTGGTCAAACCAACCCACGAAAACCTCCTACGCGGCGGGAACCTGGAACCACATGCAGCGAGCGTTCGTGCGGGGATAACTGTAGCGTGTACGGAGTACGGCGTTTGGAGTAGGTGCCTATCCGAATCCAAGGGCGAGCGTGTGTGGGTACCGCCTGCGATCCGTGAAGCTCCCCCCGCGCCTGGAGTTCTGCACTTTGGTTAACCCCGGAGGGTAGGGGTGTGTAAGCTTCCGGCGTATCAGCGCGGTGGAGAATGACGGACGCTGTGTGTTATGCAGACAAAAGTGTTATCGCCTTTCGAGATTGGTTCGTCGAAGCCCTGGCGAATAGCTCTCTCGATTGAGTTTGCCTTACGGATACCTACCTCTGGTAACACAGCATTTCCTCGGGTTTCCGACTGTCCCGTCCCCCAAAGTATTCTCTTGGAATGTCAATACCCCCTCTCCATGGAGCCCTATCAAAAAGAGTCACCAGGAGTCAGTATAAGTCATCATGACGTAAGGCTAGGTGGGAAAGATCACTAATTACCTTACTTACCTAAGACAATGATCAAAAGGCGCTATCAGAGTTCACCCCTTAGCCCCGCACTCAACGGAGCCGTAAAGTGGATCCGTTCGGCTCCGGGTTCCGGAGGTCTAATGTCCAAAGCAACGGAAGCGGAGTATGTGATCCACAAAATTTCAACTCGCCAATGTCGCCGGTTTTCTCTTGGCAGACGGCTCTCTTTCACAGCGCCGAGCTTGCATCAGGAATCATTCAGAGCTACTCTCCGACGCAAAGAAAGTCACCGGCAATTCCCGAGCTACATGGTCTCGGATAGGTAGGATTCCCAGTCCCTCGGATGTCCAACGTTCCGCGTCCTTACCTAGGTCTGTTTTCTCTTTTGACAGCAGGTCGTCTACCGCGGCCTGGAAAAGCTATGGTGCCGACATGTATCGGATATTGAAATGGAACCTGGCATGTGGTCAGGCAAGATTATATTCATCAGTGTACTCTCTCCGACACCCTACTTTTTCCGTCTCAGCGCTAATGCTGAAATGCTACGAATAATCCATCGCGATGCGGTAAGGCGCGCGCATCATGGGGGTATAGATACAGTACAACACACAAAAAGGAAAGAAAATGCTCAAGCTGAATGTCCACGCTGGCTCCCATTTATTCGATCTCATCGTCTGGGGCCGTCATCCTCGTGTCATGTCATCGCAAGAAGTGGTATAATATTTCAAAGTCGATCCCCCCCAGTCGTCAATAAGTCGTGCCATTACCATGTGTAAGTCGTAATTAGAATGGCTTGAATGCAGTTTGGTCGTAATTTCGCTACTCGCCAGTTACATCGTGGTAGCCCCAGCATTCAGCTGGAGACAATTACTGAGCAGATTGGCACCCTCATGTAACAGCTCCCACCGGGTGGTTTCGAATGAGTCTTTGAGAACGAGCAGCATAGCCGTGTTTTCGTTGATGCCCTTCATGGCCTTGAGCTCGTCTGGTGAGGACGCGCCCCCATATTTCAAAAGATATTCGCGCATTTGTCGCAACTGTTCCTGCTTGGATGTCGGGGGCGGAACATCGGGGCAGGGACCTTCGAGGGCGAATCCGTAACACCAAACAACAAGGGCAGCAAAGTATAGAACCCAAGGTCTGTTGAGGAGTACGTCGTCTCGCGCAGTGTACGGCTCATCGTACTTGAAGCCGTTGGGCTGATGTGCGTAGCCGCCATCGGGTATGAGAACAGAGCTGATGAACTTGAGGGCATAAAAGGTTGCGTCGCGAGCCTTGGCGGTTGGTGCCCAAATGTCCTTCATTCTTCGTTGAGCACTATTGAGATCTTGCTGCCCAATAGCTCGCCCGAGAAGCCGCTTTGCCCTGGCAAAGATTTGACAGTCGACGATGTCAACGTGCATTGCCATATGTGCAAGATGATGCAGTACGGTACGGCTCTCGAAAACGACGTTGGCGTCATTCTTCTTCGCCGAGTCGTAGCGGTATGGGTCAGAAGAGCCTTCTGTTCTTGTAAGGGACTTGTCGAAATCTTCCTTCCAAGCATCAAAGGCCCTGGTCAGTGTTCCCCGCCATTTGTCTCTGCCGCCCAGTGCCTGAGACACGCCACCGCCAAGAACATTGACCTGAAGATCTCTTTGATTCATATGCCAACTAACGCTGAGCAGACCGGCCATGAGGACCATGCGACCAAATGGATTGGTCTGCACGCCTTGGCCACTGAGCGTTCGTTTGAGACCCTCCAGAAAAGAGATGGGTTTCACACCGTTGGACAGTAGATTAGACTCGACTCTGCCAACTTCCGCACCGCTCGTGGCTTTCCACAAGGCCTCGTCGCATGGCAGAGGCAGCCTCATTTCGTGCGTGACCATAACCGTAGAGTGGCCAAACATGGTAGCATGGATAGAGTCAATGACAAAAGCAGCAAACGCAGCTCGTCGTGTCGACTCGTTAGTGATCCAGTGATTCCACCACTCGTCTGCGGTGTGGGCCATGCCGGATGCTGACGAATGGCGTGAGCTATTTGTCTTGTCATCTCGAGGGTTTGGTGGCGAGTCGAGAGATGATTTGCCAATGAGAGACCTTCCACGGCGCATCAGGGTGATTGTGGTTGCGTGGTGGATGTGGGCTCGCTCGTGCAGCTCTCTGGTCGAGTACATCTTTTCATACAGCTCAAGGAGCAGAAGTGTCTGGAATAGCCACAGCTTTGCCGGCGGCCTAAAGTTCGGGTCCATGAAAATTTCCCATCTCAGGTGCCAGGCTAGGAAGTTGGACAGCTGAGCACCCGCCTTTGTGACCTTCTGGCCGTGTGTTTTGTCGAGGCATGCCGCACCAATTGTCATCATTGCTAGAAGAAGCAAATTAGGCGTCCGGTCGGGCGAGAATGTCGGCTTGTGAAGGATAGGAATCTGGTCACTGAAATGAACCCAGTACGAGCCAATGTAAGCCTGCATCATCCGCTTGCTAAGCATGTGATCGCCATCGCTGCGGTCACCCTCCAAAATGCTTTCACGTTGTCGCATCGCCGGAGCCTCATCGTTATCGTGGAACCTTTGGTTAATGAAGTCATAAATCTCTTGGCTCTTCTCCTCAGAGATTGTGGCCTCTGGAAGATTCTGGTCAAGCAGGTTATTGACAGCCATGACTTGATGAGGCCCCGAGGGAAAGTATCCCATAGGAACGCCGTCTGTTCCCACATAGGGGACACTATAAGGGTTCTGATACTCGCCGTAGCTGCAAAAATATTAGTGAAGTTCGTGGCCAAACGAAGGTCAAAACCAACTTGCTAACATACCCGGGAGCCACCATCTGGCCCATGGGTGAGCCTTCACCTCCTTGTTGCGTGTTGAAGAGGTAGGCAACGAAATCTTCTGGGATCGTCACATATGGCGATTTACTCAAGATGCTGTCGCTGCCAAAAACGGGGATCGTCCCAGGCATAGACATCTGATCAAGGAGCATCATCTCGCCTGACTGCTGGGGGTGACCCTGCTCACTGTACTCGGCCGAAGTGGTCGGTGCATATGTTTGGCCCTCGCGGGGCGCATTACCCGCGCCGTTGGAGAAGTCGGAGGGCGGCAAGTTGAATTGCGGAAAGTTTTGCTGAGTTGTGTACGGTGCAGACTGAGGGGTGTTATGCGGCTGGGTGTGGTAGCCGTGTGGATTGGCAACCGGGGACATGTAAGACCCGTTGGTCTGTCCAACCGGCTTTGGGCCGCTCGGAGACTGTTGCGGGGGGCGATGCGCCTGAACGCCTCCGTACCCGTTGTCGTGATGCATGTAGCCGTCCATTCCACCAGGGTGCACACCTATTGGGTATCCCGGCGGGGTGTTGGTTGCCTGAATGAACGGACTACCAGACATATCTTTGGGCGACTGATACTGCATTTGGGCTTGCCGCATGTTGGCGAAGCCCGTTCCCGGCCGACTAATCTCGGGCGAAGCAGACCCAGGCAGCGGGAAAGGTGGGCGATCCGTGGTAGGGGAAATATGGCTCATCATCGAGTCCTTACGGTTCAGGGCGGACCCCTTGGCTGTGTGACGGTCTCTATGGCGGTTACACAAATCAAGCCGAACAAAAGTGCGACTGCAATCAGGAAAGTCGCAAGCATAAATCTGCTTGGGCGTGTGGTTGAGCTGGTGACGGTACCTGAAAAGTTGTTAGTCATGTGGGATATGAACTGTACACGGCATCACTTACAAGTGCTCGGCTCTGGAGTAGCTCTTTCCACAGCCCTCTTGAGGACATTCGAACTTTTTGTCCAAGCCTTTGCGACTCCTCCGTCTTTTTCTAGCAGGACCACCGTCCGAGTTGGAGGAGCCGGCTTTTCCTTCGTCTCCATCATCGTCCATGATATCGGCATCCTTGTCTTCGGAGACCTCCCGCAGTCTTCCCCTCCCGCTTTCGTGTTCCTGCTTGATGAAGTGCTGCGGACTCGTTCGCGGCTCGTGATTTGTCGCCATTGTCGCAGGCCCAGCAGAGGGCAGCGAGGTAGAGGATTTGAAGCTAGCTGGATGTGCGGGTAAAACGGAAGTCATGATTTTTCAGATGGCAGCTTCGTGAGATAGGCGTCGGAAAATCCGAGGTTGTTGGCGGCGCGGGTCCTGTTACGATGTAACGGACCAAGACTCGGAGACACCAGCTTCGTTGCGCTCAAAGTTTATTGTCGCAACGGTGGTACTTGAGATCTCGTTTTGCAAAGCCTAAAAGGGGCGGTCGAGACTCTTCGTTGTCAAGTGGCGCGACTTTGATGGTCCAGCTGGACCAGTGGTGCTGGGCGTCTCGTGATCTTCAGTTTTCGTAATATACAAGCTGCGCGCGCAAAATCGCACTCGAGTTTTCTAGGTTGGCCTCTCCAAAGCCAATTGGAGAGGATTTTCAAAACATGACTGGGAGGAAGTAACACCGGCCAGCAGAGGTAACGGTAGCGGCAACGGCGTGGCAAGAGGGTAGAGTGCGATGCGTGAGGGAAAAGTCGCGGTTGAGAGCGCAGTCCTCGAGGACAGTGAGATGCTGCTTCAGTTGAGGTACCGAGACCCTTGAGGCGAGATCAGGCAAGGCAAGGTAAGCAGCTGGGAATGGTTAGCAGGTGGATGTCGGTGGAGATGGTAGTATTAATGACGGGTCTGCCGCCTGTTGCGGTAAAATGGACGAGCGCTGGACTGCATGACAGAGCGAAAGAGAGGGGAGGGGGTGGGTGTCAAAAAAACAAAATAAGAGACGGCAAGGTTGGAGGTTGCGGATGGGAGTGGACCGGGGCCGAAGGGCTGTGGAGATGTGGACTAAAGGGCGATAGAGATGGACCATAGCGTTGCGACCTAGGGGGTGGGCGTGTAACAACCAGGAGCCGGGTCTGGCGCCATCGACTCTCTGTTCCTCAGATCTTTCTCTCGTGCTCTCGTGCTCTCTCTCTCTCCCTCTCTCCCTATTTCCTGGGGGAGGCGTCGCCGCCGTTCCAGTCGCACAAGCTGTCGTCCGGGGCGGTCCAGCCTCTAAGAAGCAAGACAGGGAACCTTGTGTGAAAGGATGGCGGGAGACGGGACGACGAGATGGTGTTGTATCGGGTACGGGATCTGCTGATGGAAGTGGAGATGGACTGTAGTGGCTGTGGTGCAAGATCAAGTACCTGGAGCTTCGGGGTACATTGGCACCGAACGGCGGCGGCCCCTTGAGTGCGAAGTAAACCGAAGCGAACCGTTGCTGTCCGTCAGTGGCATTCCCCAGCTAACCTGAGGTTAAGGTAGGTACCTCAAACTCAAGGAAAACGGCGACCGATTGCACGTCGGGGAGCGCCGCTGGGCAGACAGATCGGTGTTCAGCGCTTGTGACGACTACAGCAGTAGCTGCGGCTGCAATAGTAGCCGATGGAGCTTGGCCGTATGTCATCCGGCTGAGGCATCATCGTCCCGAGTAATCCGTGTTAAGCTCGATTTGTGGCCCTAAGCGATGTACGGTCTCCGGCACTGGAAGCTGGATGGACGTAGGTAGACGTGGACGTGGCGAATTGTCGTTCCTGATCCGCGGCGGCATGTCTGGCGGGTACCAGGTGGGATTGTCTCTCAAATCCCCGGGGGGTTGGATTCGAAATGCCGGGAGACATGGCAAGGAACGGGAAGAGAACAGAAGGAAATATGGAGGGCGGGAAGGAGGTGACGGATGGTGGAGAGACATATGAATAGAGAGAGGGAGAACGAGACAGACAAAATGGATTGGAATGCCTCACCTGAAGAAGATTTCACCTCGCCAAGTTGATGGATGCAAGGGCTCCCGCTGGATAGTGAACGGCAGTGCAGTACGACGCAAAGCCAAACGAAGGGTGGTGGTAGTTGAACGGGACGCGAGGCGTCTGCAGACACTGGCGTTTGTGTTGCTAATGTCGAGACAGGCAGAGAGAGCGCGAGAGTGAGAGAGAGAGATGGGGGGTGGCACGGAAAGGCAGGAAACAATGTCGTCTTTCTTCTCGAAGCTCGGATGGCAGGGCAGAAAGAAAGATGTTTGCTGCCGCTGAAGATTCGGGCCTTGTGGAGGTGTCGAATGGAGTGGGTGGTGGTGAGTGGGTGGTGTTTGTGCTTGGTGCTTGGTGCTTGGTGCTTGGTGCTTGGTGCTTGGTGCTTGGTGCTGATGCTGATGCTGATGCTGATGCTGGTCCACCGCGTTAGTAGTTCACTCCGTATGGATACTTCGTACGCAGCAATGGCGGCAAAGTCCTGGGGAAGTGGGTTGAATTGGGAAAAACAAAAAAAGAAGCGTTTGACCATCTGGGCAGATGGATCGAGAGCGCAGAGTGGGAGTGTGGGGGGTCTTATGCCACCTCCCACTCCCACTCCCCCTTCTCGTCAGTCTTGCCTCTCGATTCTCCAAGCATCCAAGGTAAGGTAAGCTTCCCCTCTCTCTCTCTCTGCTTCCATTCTGTGCAGTGCAGGGCAGGGCAGGGCAGCCAGGCAGGCAAGAGTGTGCGGGTTCTCTCTTCCACCCCCCGTGCCCCCCTTTTTCTCCCCTCCACCCTTCCAGACAAACCTGGCCATCATCGGTGAACCCAGGGTGTAGCCAAGGTGTGAGGCCCGCCGGCGATGCGATGCGATGCGATGCGCGCAGAACGCAGAAAGATGCCCTTGACCAAGCAGCTACTAAGCTGTGCACTCCCATAGGAGCACACATACCTACCTCAGTACATAGGTACCTCAGTACATACCTACACGGTAGGGCCGTAGCATGCCAAAAAAGGTGTGGTGGGCCACGCCATGGAGGAGGGGTCCTTCATTAGTGCGCCTTCCTGCGCAGTATACTCCGTGACTCCGTACATAGTCACATAGAGTATCCGTAGAGTACATACATGTAAGTAATTATGAACATGCCATGTTGCGGTTTGGAATGCTCCTTGACTTTGGGTGACTCCCCTTTTGAGACCCTTCCTTGGCACAGTCTACAGAATGGTCTTTGAGGGTGCACTCGGAGAGGGGGGAGGGGGAAACTGGAAAGATGATGCGGCCAGGCACTCCCATCGTATATCCGTACATGCAATAATTGCCATGGTACCTCGCCTCTGGCAGGATAGACGCGCCGAGGGAACGGCCATCTCTGAAAGTGTGCTGCAGGGCAATATCGGAACTTGAACAAGGGCAACAGGCCGTGTAAGCAGAAGGGGGTATCCGGCTGGTCTTCGGTACCGTTCGCGAGAACCCGACAAAAAAAAGTTGACAAGTGACCACCTGTGCATGTGCGTTCCTGCGCCTCGTCATTTACCCTCATGGAAGAAAAGCGTGCGGTATCCGTCCGAGGCAGCCGCACCATGCTTCCCTACGTTTCTGTATAGGTACACGGAGAGAGAGAGGTAGAAAAAGAGCAATGAGCCCAGAAGCCTGGTTGGCCGCAAAATTCCGCTCCAACAGCCGTCGCTATAGTCGTAGCCGAGGAAAATGTAACTGGACATGCTCAAGACTGCCGACCACCGCTGGGTCTGGCTGCAATCCGTGGATGCGTTTCGTCGGGTGGGAAATCGGACACCTCTGACCTGCTTTTTTTCTACCTTAAGGGAGCCGAGATCGATCTGGTTGGCGTGGATAACGAAAAGACTAAGCCGTAAGTATATCGGGTCAGGAACCCCCCAACTCACCACATCGCTCGCCTCATCTTCTTTGGTCGACGGATATCGGTCGGCAAGCCGCCATGCTGAGCCAAGGTGAAGGAAGAATCAGTGACGTTTTGCTCTCACAACAGCTCCACATGGTTCCGAATAGCGAGGCAACGGAGCGGGTCATTCAAGCTGAGAGGGTGCTCTCATGACATTTCCAGGCGGTGGTCTCTGTCGTCGTACGACCGTCAACTGGATGAGCACAGCAAACACAGACTGGTCCCTTCCAGCTAGAGGGTCCCCGCCTAGAGACCCCCAAAGATCCCCCGAGTTCTCCTCGCTCGCCTTACGACAAGCATGCCCATGCCGTCCGTGACTGGCGTGGCTAGCTTCTGCAGGGATGGCCGGTGTGAGACTCGAGTCCCCTTCGTAGCTCACTTGAAGAAGACGAGACGTGTGGGGATGGGCACGGTCTGGAGCTTGGACGGTGGACTTCACTCTTCTGGGACGCCATACCCCGGCCTATCGACATGGTTGCGTGGATCGGCCGCCAGTGTCACCTAAGACTTCTCGAGCTTCTCTTTGGGGGTTATTGCTGCCAGCCTTTGCCAACCAGCATCTGCGTTATTTGGCGGTTAGCTACCCACAGACGACACTTTCAAAATTCCCACCGAGACCGTTCTCATTAGTGTAATTGCCCACGTAATTTGCTTCATGACCCTTTGCCGCGCTGTGGTGCCTCGGCGTCAACGGTGCTAAGAGCTGCAAGATTGCTCCCCTCGAGGGCGGTGTTGTGTTGACAGAAAGTGAGACAATGTGAGAGAAGTACAAAGGACACCACCCTGAGCGTTGAGGAAGATGCAGAAGTGAGCCAGAGTTGCGCCACAAAACCAGCACAAATTTGCTGTAAATTGCCTGTCAATCACCTGTCACCGTTAATCTCACACGTGGTTATTTTCGTGGCAGGTCGCACCAAACCTACCAAACTACCCGGCTATCGCGTCTAAGTTGTCGCTGTCAAACCGAAGCTGCAGCACTCACTGATAAAGCTCGAAACGGGCCATGTTGTGGCACTTCAAGCTAGCCGCCCATCATACGCGTACGAATTCACCCAAAGACGAATGCCATGTCGTTGTCGATCTTGTGCCAGTCATCAACCCCACGCTCTGAGGCTGAGATGCGTGAGGCACATCAGGAACAAATACCGCATTCTCGGGTGGGGCGTGGGTGAATCCTCCAAGTCGGCATAGTCTCGAAATTGAAGCAGACGGATACGTTCAAAAGAGTATTTCCGGAGTCTCAGCCGGTACGTCGGCCATCCCCGTTGATGCACTCTTCATACCTTGGCTCTTCTCATCTCGTAATGGGTTCCCAATCTGGTATAGACCCTGAAATCGGAAAGGCAGCACACGACCCTTCTTGGTCGGGGCACTGGCACTCCAAGTCTGCTCGTGGGCAGCTATCCACGCCCGTCTTCCATCGATGCCGGTAGTCAAATGAGCTCAAGTCGCATTGCTTTGGTCAACAAATTAGCGGCAACTGGTTGGGAATAGCTGTTCGACTCGGAAACGATGGATCTTCGGACTCGCCACCCTGGTACCCTGCACCGCGATAGTGCTTCGTAGCTGCGCAGGACGCTGTTTCTTTTCCCGCTGGTCGTCACGCAGCCATACAACTCGTTTCAAATGGCGACGACCCAGCTGGATTTCGAATCGCCTCTCTTTAGGCAGGTTATGATGCCATCTGACATGGACTATCGAGTCTCAGGAAGAGAAGGAGACCAAGGAAATTTGACGTTCAAGCTGCCAACTAGATGATGTCGATAATACTCCGTAGCCGTCATCTATAACTGTACTCTTCAGCCTAGGGCCGAGGCGACTCGCAGAAAGTTGTGGTGGAGGTGGTTGCAGGGATATTTAGCTGATCGTCGGTCAGCGCCTGTTGGAGGAAAACCACAGACAGTCGGCTCCACTCACGGTGAACTTCAGCAGGGACATGGGCTCCTTCGCAAGCTGGCCGTGGGCCCTCAAGGGTGAGGTCAACAACTAAATGATCTCCCTGGCAAGCCACAGTTCGGAAGTATATCGAGCTGACAGCAAAGTTGATGGCTTTCGTGTTGGTCTTGGAATTGCGGTTCCTTGGACGATTTGTATGGTCATGCCATCAACTCTTCTTTTCGGATGAATATCATTGGTAGGTATTTGTGGCGCCTACGGCGGGCAAAAGGTCGTGAGGGTTCAGGTCTCTCATCGAAAGCGTGCCACTTGCGCATGTCCTTGCGAATTGGAGCCGTGGCCAGGTTTAACACCTGACCAATCCGCACGCTGATGCACATTCGAATGAGGATGCCCGATCATGCATCGTTTGGGTAGCCAGCCCCCCTTCTCGCGGCCGTTGGCAGGACCATGGCGTCAGTCAAATGAATAGACGAAATTTCGAGGCCTCAAAGCAGACGATATTCCCTCATGTCTGGCCTGCGTACTCCATAGTTAGTTTCGATATTAGTTGAGGAATAGAGCAGATAGCACGCCGTGGGGCTCTCAAGTCTGGCGTCGAAAGAAAGTTTGGGGGTCTCTTGGTCCACCTGCGTCTCGACGCGGGATGACCCTCGTGTGTATAGATTCAATTACGTGCGAGATGGCAACCCAAGCTACTGGGCCAGCCACACCTAGTGTTTCGTACAGCGTGGGGGATAGAAACCCAGACACGGTCGTGTCTGGCAAATCTCGCGGGCCGTATGGTGACTCGGGTATCTGTATGGCCGGGAGCCCTGGAGGTCTCGAGATGCCCTGGCTCGATCAGGAGGCCAAGAATGAAGGAGAAGCTCCCTTGGTGCTCGCGGATGCGGCCGATACCTATGTTCGTGCAGCCAAGAGTCGTCCTCCCTCGGTGTGGGGAAATTGGGGTTGAGTTTGTGAGAGGGGATTGTCCCGTGCAAGTAGACGTCAAGCCTTGGGCGCACAACGTCCTTCAATTTTCGAGCTCTGCTAAAATAAGTACTGCATTCTATGATTTTGGTTTGCGGCGGGTGGAAGCTTTCATAATCGAAAGCTTGATTTATTGCCCCTGCCTGGATTGGCAAGTTGTCAATCTAAGCCCGTGTTTTGTATACTGACAGGTGGCACGCATTGCTTCCAGTGTTCGCATATCTTAAGTCGCAGCTGCTGATATTGCCTCGAGATTGGGTACATCGGTAAACGGTGTTTGGCTTCCGAGAGTCTGAATTAGTAGGATCTGTTGTGTTCAATGTAAGGACTGGACAACGGGAATAGGTAGCCGTCTGGAGTTGGAGAGCGCGGAAAAAGGTGAGGGGCCGACGGAACCTCCACCCTCGAGGGAGGGTCCACCACTGCGCTATCCCAATTAGGCTGGAGCTGAAAATTTGCTCCGGAGCCGATGGGTATATGCGCCTTAGGTAAGCAGGCTGAATGTCGGGGATCGCTTTTCGAGCAGCGAATTTGTGTACGTACCGATGTCGCACCACATTAACGCCAGCACCCGGGCCCAACTTTTCCAGGCACAACCTTCCGTCTCGTGCCTCTACAGCTGTTCAGCGCTCGCTGCTCAGAGTTCGCGCCAGACCCCGAATTCCGCCATGCCGCCAGTGGCCGCCCCGCAGCTCGCTCCTCGACGCAGGCAGGGCCCTGGGCAACCTGCCAGCAACCAACAGAGGCACCGCCGGCTGTTTGCCGCCATGACGTGAGAAAAAATCCCCTTCTCGCCCACACCACGCATCCACGCACGCTTCCACTCTCCCGCCCCGGCCCTGCCTCTCTTCCCCCCTCACCACACCTCACCATTTTCTTCCCAGTCTCCGTTCTCGAGTACGATGTGATACCTGGGCACGCCTCTCTCTTCCATTCCCTGCGACCTGTACCAAACCAGCTACGACAGTCTCGGCAAATCCTTATTTCATCCCTACTACCGTCATGGCACCCAAATCTTCCAAGGTCGCTCACGACGACACCAAGCCCGAGAATACAATCACCAAAGAGAAGCACACGTCTGGTTCTGGTAGTCACTCGAATGGCAAGCTTCGCCGTGTAGCTAGCTCGACGGGCTCTCAATTGCGAGAAGTCACGAATGCCAACGCTTCTGCTGATGCTCCCGCTCCGGCCAAGGAGACTGCCCAAAATCCTGGCGTAAGAATACACCTCATCCCTTCGACCTCGCTGTACCCACGCAGGCATCTCAGCCTTGTAAAACTGCCGGCTAACTTCGTCGTTCCCAGATTCAATGGAAAACCTTTGAGCGAGACACACTCCATGCGTACCGTCGCGAACACCACCTCAACACTCCTACCTCCTTCTCCTGCTCGTACCGTCAATTGGTCCTTTCGCGACCCGGTGGCATTGGCCTACACTCCCCAACGATGGCCCGGAAGAAGGAGAATAGAAGGCAGAGCAAAGAGCAACTAGCGATGACGGTACGGAAACACTTCAATGGTGTTGGCATACAAGAAAACGATGTCATCGTCGACTTTATTCACAAAGTCAGGAGCCAGGCCATAACCAAGGGCGACCGCCACAGAAGAGCGAATTCGAAATCGCACGACACTTGAAGACCTTAATGATGGAACGATTACTATTTGGGAAATACACGCATCGAAAGAAGTTGGTTGACGGGTGTCTTTGTGTGTCACCGGAGCATAGAGCCACGCCGGCCGTTTGGGCGATTTCGGACTGCATAATGATACCTCACCATGGGCAGGAAACGCCCCATGACGATAGACGACAAAGGCAAGACCCTTTGTCTCAATTTTTCTTACATAGTTATGATCTATTACAGTAATGGAATACGGAGTTTTGGATCGGAAGAGTCTTCAGAAATCTACATTGAGTCTTGACATTGGCGCCTTAATCCCCCCCGGCTGCTCCTCCGAGTCCCGGCGCACCATAGGCTTTCATGCACGCACAACGCGCATCCCCCAGAAGTAGCCGCGAATTTCCACCTGCGGGCTGTGGGGCCAGTTCGCGAGCCACTTAAAGCCATCCCAAATTGCTGACGTGAAGCTTGAGGTGCAGCAGTTACCCCCATTTTACCTACCCAAATTACCCCCGGTTCCCTGCACTCACCCGCGCCTTTCCTGCTGCAGGTGCCTGAGGCAATCACCGACTTTCGGCTTAGCATCGGGCCAAAAAAAAGTTGATATCATCCCGTCTTGCAATGGCATCGAAGGGCAAAGAATTTGCGGGAGAGTTCCACTTGGACGTTGATGCTTTTTCCGCATCCCCGGGCCAATTTAACCCCCTAAAATCTACGACGTACTGCTTCAGATGAATCGACAAGCTTCACAATGAATGCAAGCATTCTTACCAAGGCAGCGGCACCTGGCCGTCTGCTGTCCAGCCGTATTTCCAGGCAATCCAAGCTCAAGGATTCGGTCTGCAAACGCGCCCAAATCCACACCGTCACTTGTACCGTTAGACCCACGAAGCCTCTAGCTTCCCGGGTGACATCTCAAGCTCCCTCATCCAAACGTGTAAGTAATACTGCTTGCTAAAGTGTCTAGACAGCTTGCTGAGTGTTTACTTTTCAAGGCATTCCATGCGACATCCACCAACCTCGCACCGAGCGACCCCTACAAGACCCTAGGTGTTGACAAATCAGCATCTGCGGGCGACATCAAGAAGGCATACTACGGCCTGGCGAAGAAATACCATCCCGACACCAACAAAGATGCCGGAGCGAAGGAGAAGTTTGGCGAGATCCAGAGCGCATACGAAATCCTGTCCGACCCCAAGAAGAAGCAGCAATTCGACCAGTACGGCGCTGCCGGCTTCGACCCCAGCGGCGGCGGCGGCGACCCGTTCGGAGGCGCTGGAAACCCGTTCGGCGGCGGATTCGGAGGACAGGGCGGCTTCGGCGGCGCGGGCGGCTTCAACTTTGACGACATCTTCTCCGCGTTCACGGGCGGCCAAGGGTTTGGACGCCGCGGCGGCGGCGGGGGAGGCGGACGGAACCCCTTCCAGCAGGAGATCCTGGTGGGCGACAACATTGAGGTGCAGTCGAGCATATCCTTCATGGAGGCGGCCAAGGGCACGAGCAAGACCATCACGGTGACGCCCCTGACGGAGTGCGGGACGTGTACGGGCAGCGGACTCAAGCAGGGCACCAAGCGGTCGGCGTGCAAGTCGTGCAACGGGACGGGCACGCGGGTGCACTTCATGAACGGCGGGTTCCAGATGGCGTCGACGTGCGGCAGCTGCGGCGGCACGGGCACGACGATCCCCCGCGGGTCGGAGTGCAGGTCGTGCGCCGGCAACGGCGTCGTGCGGGAGCGCAAGACCATCACGGTCGACATCCCCGCGGGCATCGAGGACGGGATGCGTCTGCGCGTCGACGGCGCGGGCGACGCGCCCGTGACGGGCAAGAACGCCGAGGCGGGCATGCGGACGCAAAAGGGCGACCTCTACGTCTTTGTGCGCGTCGCGACGGATCCCAAGTTCCGCCGCGCCGGGTCGGATATCCTGTACACGGCCAGCATCCCCATCACGACGGCGATGCTCGGCGGCGAGGTCACGGTGCCGACGCTCGACGGGCAGGTCAACGTCAAGGTGGCGACGGGCACCAACACGGGCGACAAGCTGACGCTGTCCGGAATGGGCATGAAGAAGCTCAACGGCAGGCGGGGCGGCTCCGGCGACCTCAAGGTGGAGTTCCGGGTGAACATGCCAAAGTACCTGAGCGCGAACCAGCGCACGCTGGTGGAGATGCTGGCGAACGAGATGGGAGACAAGACGGCGCGGAAGATTATGAACGTCACTCCCCAGGGGTGAGTCCTTTTTCCTGCGCGAGAACACGAGCGAACCAGTCGACACCGGGCTTTCCTGCTTCTTCTTTCCTCTCTACCTCACGTTGTCCTAAACCTAGGACACACCTCGACACCCGTTTGTACTAATTCCCGAAAGTAGAACCCAACCAGCATCCCCTGATGACTCCGAGACTCACAAGAACGAGGGCTTCCTCAAATCCATGTGGCACACCCTGACGAACCACCCGGCCCACCAGAAGCCCGGTGAAGACGGTGCGGCACCAACGGATAAGAAGACGGACGAGAAGAAGGACGAGTCCAAGAAGGACTCTTGAGCTCTCGGTGGTTCATCTCGAGCTAGAGGGTGTCTTTACTGTCCTCCGTCCTTGTACCATATCTCGGGCCTCCTTGCGCGGGCCTTGGCGGGTGTAGACGCGAACTTATAGAAGAGCGGAAAAGTGTTGGAGGATCTTGCATGGCAGGTGTTAAAACAAGGTTTTTATCTCTGGGTTTCTGGCTTCTTTGTGCTCCCCGACCTTCAGAAGGGGTGAAGGAGATTGCCAGCCCATTTCGTTTGGTTTATGGAGGAAGCCTCATTGCTTTACTCGATTGTATTATTCACATGACTAAGAAAAAAGTGTACACTGTAGTATAGACCATAGGAGAGAGAGAAGAGATGGGAGGAGGGGAGAAGAGGGGAGGAAAGAAGGGATAAGCCAGCTCCCCGCGGAGGCCACTCACCTCAGATTATTTACAAAGGACCACACCCAATCAATGAAGACAATATTTAACAACTTTTGTCTCGACTATGTTCGCTGGCGTGAATTGCGGCCGGAGAAATGGGGAATCCGAGAAGGTCGCCATGTCGTGACGCGGGGCGCTTAGAGATCTAGACGATGAGACGCATGGGATTCATGTGAGCGCCGCGATGCCCACCTAACATTCAGGGTCTGGCTGGTTGGTTTCGGCCGCAGAAACGGCATTTTGCCGCGCACCAGGAGACTGAAAGCAACGGGTGGCTGTTGAGGGAGAAATGCCACAAAGGAATGGAAAGACGGGGATCCTTGCAAGGAGCGGGCCGTTCGGGCCTGGCACCTGGTCCTGGCTCGGGTCCCTGAAAGTGGGGCCACCAAGCGCCGGCCGCCGGCGACCAATGGGAGGCCCGGCTGGAGGGGTAGCTAGAGGTCCGGATATTGGGTGGCCCGTCACCTGCATGAAGGTCGGAGCCAATGTGGTTGCGGAAGCGTGGGTTGTCGAAGTTTGGGTGAAGTTTGCTTGTGGGTGTTAGTGGGATTGCGGATGGACTCTCCTGATATTGAAGGGGCATCGCATTGTTGATGGTTAAGTTGCTTTCTCTTCCGTCGAGCATCTGTAGCGCATTTGCAGGTTCTTGCTCGGTTGAGGTAAAGAAGTGTGGGTGAATTCGTTCCGCCCACTTGTAATGGTCAAGTCATCTCTGTCGGTAAAGAAGAGAATTGCTGACATGCAGCAGGGTCGGAACGTACATGTAAGCAACGATGGGACCGTGATGAGCGGAGGGTGCGGTCTGGCCAAGGTGGAACTGAACGGAACCACATGGATATCACGAGACAGCCATGCCAAAGCTAGCTGGGTCGAGCTGTTTCTCGGAGCAGACTATGGGGGGTGGAGTGAGGCCGCATGCGAGAGACGGAGAAGAGTTGCATTGGGCAACGTCTCACTGTGATCCCGCCAGAGATGAGGGATAGGCCACCTGGGCATGTCGACGCGATAGGCGAGGTAACCTGATCAACGGTGAGGTGATTGGGACCCGGACCACAAGTAGATTTGAGGTCTCATCGTGTTGATGTTACTTTGTGATACTGGCACCGGAGAGTCGGGATAGGCGCGTTTAGCTAGATGTAGATAGATGCCCGATCGAGGGTCGGTTGAGGGCGCCTGGCTACGGCTGAATTGTCTGGTGGACTGACGGATCATGGGGAGCTGCCACTATTCGCCCTGCATAGGTGCCGTCACTTGGGTTGAAGCAATGGAAGTGTAAGGAGTTGCCTAAAGAAAAGTCACGAAAGAGGTAGCTGGAATCTTCACAGTTCACTTGTGAGTCAAGTGCGACGGACAGGTTCGGACCCTCGTCTAGGCCCCCGCCAAAAAGCCAGGAACATCCCCGGCTCGTGGTGGACAATTCTCACTGCCTGGCGGCTACGTAAGACAGCCCAACGCATCTTCACCCAGTATTCGTGAGGTACACGTTATGCGCCAACGTCAACACCACTCACACGAGGCTAAGCCGAGCAGTGCAACAAGAGTACGGCGACGAATAAAGACGGCGCAGACTTTTACTTGTCTCCAATCTCCGAGGCCTGGGCGCTTCGTCAACCAAGCATATATCCCCAACAGTCCGGAACCGCCACCGCCAGAGGCGCAACCTGGGGTGTTTAGGTGTTTGAAGACGAAAACGAGACGCCTGACGACGCCGAGCCATCTCGGACAAGACGAAAGCTGCCCCGCCGTTCCCAAGAAGCTCCTCCTTAGGCCCTCTGTCTAAATTACCGACAGTCCCTCATCTCGCCAGGTCCCCCAGCATTATGACCTCACAGGAACACGAGTCTGGTACATTCCTTTACAAGCAATAGCCAGAGAGAAAGAAAAAAGAAAGAGGGAAACAACGATATTGTTGCCGCCTTTGCAGGACAATTTGTTGCCAGCTTCCGTACTACCACACCAACGTCCTTCAGTCAATCTGCATCTCATCTTGAACAGGCACCAAAACTTAAGGCCGGCCGCAGACCAGCAACCCACTCGACCACAGCCAGCGCCATCAGCGTCGCCGAGAGCAACTACCCGACCACGGCGGGCATCCTTCCCCATCAACCAGCAGTCAGCGGCACCACAAACCGGGTCTCCTCTCCGTCCACCAGCAACCGAGCACACGTAAGGTGCATACACTACCTACTCTCGTCGGGTACCTGACCTGGCCTGACTTACTACCGATTAAGGTACCTTAGGTTGACAGAGGAAGTACGTACTCACGATTGAGCTTGGGTGCACTGACTCTCGACTGCCCCCGACTGAGCTGCCACCATTCTGGGCTCCTTCAATCGTCGCTGCCCGCCCCCACCCCGCACTCCGCCCGCCACGGCAAGACAGACAGCAACCAGCAACCTGCCCAGCGACCTGACCGGAGAGCTGCATCCGTCCACCTCCAGCCCGTCGCTTTTTCTTCCCAAGGCCACCTCTGAAGAGGCCCCGTATGCCACCCAATCATCAAGACATTTGAACGAGGCTGCCCATCACAGCAAACCACCCCTCCGACTGCGATTCACTGTCCCCCCGCGACATCCCCGCGATTCCCCCGGGCCGAAACCTCGTCTCCGGAGCTGGCCTCGTCGCCCTCTTTCAAAATGACGCAGTCGCCCATGATCTCCTCGCCTCTCAAGGCCACAAACGAAATCGACTGGGTTACCCCGCTGAAGGACTACATCAGAGATACATACGGCGATGATCCTGAACGCTATGCCGAGGAGTGCGCCACCCTCAATCGTCTGCGACAGGACGTGAGGGGCGCCGGCAAGGACAGCACCTCAGGTCGCGATATGCTCTACAGATACTACGGCCAGCTCGAGCTTCTCGACTTGCGCTTTCCTGTCGATGAGCAACACATCAAGATCTCCTTCACCTGGTACCTCTTCCGCTGCCCCTGCTGCGTTTCGCGGCCCAAAGCGCCGTTAGACCATACTGACCCCTAGTGCTTTGCAGGTTCGATGCCTTTACACATAAATCGACGGCCCAATATTCGCTCGCCTTCGAAAAGGCTTCCATAATATTCAACATCTCCGCCGTCCTATCATGTCACGCTGCCCACCAAACAAGATCCGAGGAGTCAGGCCTCAAGGCCGCGTACCACTCCTTCCAAGCCTCCGCCGGCATGTTCACTTACATCAACGAGAACTTTCTCCACGCACCTTCGTCCGACCTTAGCCGCGAAACTGTCAAGACTCTCATTTCAATCATGTTGGCACAGGCTCAAGAGGTTTTCCTAGAGAAACAAGTGGCGGATCAGAAGAAGGTGGCCTTGCTGGCCAAGCTCTCCAGCCAAGCAGCGTACTTGTACGGGCAGGCTGTTGAAGGTGTCCAGGACAATTTTAACAGAGCCATCTTCGAGAAAGTCTGGCTTCTCATGGTTCAGGTAAGGATTTCTGGCACAATGACTTCCATCACTTCTATCAGGGGTGGTTCGCAGCCATATGCTGTGGCTTTGCTAACAGACGTAGGTCAAATTCAATCTCCTGAGCTCCATGTCGCAATACTACCAGGCCCTCGCCGATGACGAAGCTGGTCAGCATGGAACTGCTGTCGCGAGACTTCAAGCTGCAGAAACCCAGGGCAAGGAGGCAAGCCGCATCGCCGCCAATTTCCCAAGCTCAGTACCCCCGAGCTCGAACCTCGGCGCCGAGACTGGTGGGCTTTTGGTCGAGTTTAGTAAACGGCATCTGTCGACCGTCCAGGACAAACTCAAAGAATTCAGCAAGGATAACGATTTCATCTACCATCAAACCGTACCCGCGGAGGCCAGCCTTGCACCCGTCCCGAAGCTTCCTGCGTCAAAACCAATCCCTGTCAGCGAGCTCTATGCCGGCCAAGATATCCAGCGCATTACCGGACCCGACCTTTTCTCCAAGATTGTGCCCCTGGCTGTGACGGAATCGGCCAGTCTTTACGATGAGGAAAAGGCCAAGTTGATCAGAGCTGAGACGGAACGAGTGGACACGGCGAACAGTGAAATGGCAGCAAGTCTGGACTACTTGAGACTTCCCGGCGCTTTGCAGGTTCTGAAAGGTGGTTTCGATCAAGAAATCATGCCGGATGAAGAGTTCAGGACTTGGTGTGAGGATGTTGCGGGGCATGAAGATCCCGCCGCCATTTTCGATATCTTGAGATCCGACAAGGATATCATTGTGAACACACTGGATAAGAACACGAAACAACTGGATATGGAAGAAAGTGTGTGCGAGAAGATGCGATCCAAATACGAAAACGAATGGACCCAGCAACCGAGTTCGAGATTAACATCAACTCTGCGAAGCGATATCAGGAACTACCGAGAAGCGTTGGAAGAGGCAGCGAGAAGCGACAATCAATTGGCGGCAAAATTACGGCAAAATGAAGTCGAATTCGAGGAGATGAGGGCGGCAGCCTCCCACGGAAGTATCGAGTCCCTGTTTCAACATGCCGTCAGCAAGGTGCGCGGAAAATCGAGCAATGTTACGAGTCCTTTGGGCAACGAGCCAAACCTGCTGGATGTCGACTTTGACGAAGGGGGCCCGAGTGTCGTTGACCAAATTCACAAAGTGGAAGAGATTATGAAGAAGTTGAACCTGATCAAAAGAGAACGCAACCAAGTGTTGAAAGACCTCAAGGAAAAGGTTTGTCCCTTGAAGTCCTTGCAGAAAGCCGAACAATGCACTAATATCCGTAGGTTCACAACGACGACATCTCGGAAATTCTGATTTTGAACAAAAAGTCAATAACCAATTACGAGAACCAACTCTTCCAGTCAGAGTTGGAAAAGTTCCGGCCATACCAGAACAGATTGCTACAGGCAAATCACAAGCAGTCCGCCTTGATGAAGGACTTGACAACCAGCTTCAACACACTGCTGCAGGACAAGCGGGTCCGTTCGGAGCAGAGCAAGTACGAGACAGTGCAACGCCAAAGGACATCGGTCATGAACAAGTACAAGCGGGCGTATCAGGAGTTCCTCGATCTAGAGGCTGGTCTTCAAGGTGCCAAGACTTGGTATGCCGAGATGAAGGAGACCGTACAAAGCCTTGAGAAGAACGTCGATACGTTCGTCAACAACAGGCGGTCTGAGGGGGCTCAGCTTCTCAACAGCATTGAGCAGGAGCGATCAACCCGTAAAGACGCACATGCTGAGCTGGAGCGCGAGCGTCTGAGGGGTTTGATGGAGCGTATGTCCATGGAGCCTCCTGCGCCGTCACCCAAGCCTGCCTCGAACCGGCCAACGCCGTCGCCTTTGAACTTCGCCAACAACTCGACTCCGCGATACCCCCAGACCAACTTTTCGGGTCAATACCAAGTCCCTCAGTCTCCGCCTCCGAACCAGCAGCAGTACCCGAGCTTCGCCGCCCCTCCCACCTCGCAGTCTTACACGCCTCAGCCGGCGAATACATACGGCCAGCCAGCATACAATCCGAGTCAGTACGGCCGCACTCCCGGCCCAACATCACCGCCTCCCCACCAGTCCACTTTCGGCCCAACTGTCTTGCGAGGCCCGGCTTCGCCCCCGCCAACGCAGACCTCATTCAATCAGAACCAGCAGTACGGCAGTTTCCCTAACCCACAGCAACAACAGCAACAAATGCCTGCCGGGTTCGTTCCGCCGCCTCCGCCTCCTGGTCCTCCACCATTGGGCCCTCAGCAGACTTTCTACGGCCAGCAAGATTACCAACAGCAGCAGCAGCAACAACAAAACTATCCGCAGCAAAACCCACAAAGTGCCTACCCTTCTAGTGCGCACCCAAGGTCAGCTCAACCTCAACAGAACAGTGATCCTTGGGCGGGATTGAACAACTGGAAATAAGAGTGGCTGGGAATGACGAGTCGAAACTTAGAGACGTTGATAACACTTCAAGTGGTGGTAGCTTTTGCGTGAAGCACGCAACTGAGAGTTAGGTAGCTGCTTAACATCTAAGGCGAGTGAGTGTTGGTTGCAGGCAGGATGGTACCACAAAATCAATGGTTCGAATAGGCCTAGGGCGTGATGAGGCTTGCCAGTAGGCACAACAGACTAGCAAGACATCTTGAGAGGGGAAAAGCCGAATGACAGTGGTGAGCGGCTTATACATAGACCAAACAACCAACCACGATTGCATAAAGACTATCCCGTTTATTCATGTGAAGGACTACGCAGATAAGGTAGTCTGAGGTATGATCCCATCGCCTCAAGCTCCTGGAATGGTATACGCCCAGCCCACGCTTTGGGTTAAACTCTCGATTAGCATCAATCACTAGAAATGCCAAAAACAAAAGAGTTCACCCCCCGGTGGCGAATGGGGACTACATCTCTGGTGCTCATGCTGGGACTCGAACGCGGGACCTCTGAGCCTTCACCGATTAGGCTGTTCGTGGACTTCAACCACTCCGCCAACCAGCCAGTTTTGACCTGACCCCCGAGGGGGCGCCTGCTGGCTGGTGACGGGAATGGATTTGAGGGGGTATATATGGGATTGTTGTGTGTTCAGGGGAAGGTGCGGTCGGTGAGGTGCCTTCCTGCGAGTGAGGTGATGTGGCTCGCGATGGGTGGATGGGCAGAGTGGTGATTCAGCAACTCTTCTATACGTCTAGAAGAGGTCTTGATAGTGGTGGATTGCTTGAGAGGCGGTAGGAGACTGCGAAGTTAAAGTCTGATGGCCCTTTCCTACTACAAGCTTTCATATCTATCCCATAATATATCGCTCTTGTTTACTTCGTAGCCACAACCCCAGCCGCTTCGTCGTCGGACTCTCGATTCTCAGACTTTATCGCAGGCGGAAACTTCGGCGTCCCATTCGCGTCCGTACCCCAGCCGCCGTACCCGGTCTCGGCCATCATACCACCCAGACCCGACGGGCTGCCGGCCGTGATGCTCCCCGCCGCCCTGTTCCCGCCCACGCCGGGACGATCGGCCGCCCACCCGTTTAAAGCGTCTTTGCTCATGCCCGTGTACTTTAGGACGTCGGCGTCTGAGATTTCTCCTCTTTTGGAGTCTTGGAATCTGCGGTAGAGAGATTTTTTGGGGCTGGGGTTGGGCTGGGATTCGGTTGTGGGGTCGGTGTTGAGGAGAGGTTTGGTGCTGTCGGTTTTGGAGAGGCGAGGGAACATGACGAACTGAGTTGGGTGAGGATTTTGGCTGACTTTTGGGGCAGGAACTTGGTGTGAGTGAGAGGGTGGTAGATAACACGTTGAGTGGTGAGAGGTAGCTAAAAGAAGAGGTTGTGGATTCAAGCTATAGATGTCTACCTTACTGATTTGTTGGAAACCGGTGCAGTTGCTGCTACTTATGCATCTGGTGAGTCCTCTTGAGCCTCTGACACATGAGAATTGGATTGCATCGATCTAACCAGTTGTAGGATATTGAACCGTTGCCTCACACGACCCCACCCAAATAAGATGTTCACCTGCCCAAAGAAGCTTATTTTCTGGGAGATAACCCTTGAAGTGGTTGCAAGCGTAGTCCGTATAAGTCTACGAACTGTGCAAGGGTATGATCACTCATTCACCATCAAAAGGTGAAGTCAAACTGGACTCACGGGTACGGTAACCCAAACTGAATCTGCAATATTTCTTGACTCGTATTGCGTTCACATAGATGGAGACCAGGACATACAACTTAGAGAGCTTGCATACCTAAGATGACTTGTGATGATATTCACCCTTGCCTACCTAGAAATTGACCGTGTTTCACCTGTTCCTGTGTGAACATGTTTATCCACGAACTCATGACTTGGATATGGTTAGGCAGCTAATGATCCTGGGAAAAGCGAGCATATACTAAGACCACGAAGAGAGTCTGGGTTGCTCCGAGTGGTTTCCAGATCTGGGTTGCATGGGGGCTGGTGACCCTGTTGAGACCCTCAAAAGGACCGATGGCTACGAGAATCGGTTGATATAATCCACAACCTTATATGCGGTCCAATTGGGACCTCTCGTGTAAAGGGTTGGTCGTTGGTTGTTGGTTGCTCGCCGCTGGTCGTTGTTCTTCAACGAAGTCTTGGCGCTAGACTACAAAAGAGCCTGGAACTGGATCTTGGTATCAATGGTCAGCAGACTCGATTCCAATTTCCATTATGACTAACACCAGGCCAGACCGCATGTAAGTTTCTGGAAACGGGCACAGCCGGTCCAGAGGCCACTTGAGCAAAGTCTCATAATGTCCGAGGAACTGTGATTGAGTCCTGAGTTGAAATATTGCGAGGCTTTTCCAGCCCGACCCTGACCGTAGCCTGCAGTTCGCGATAATTCATTTGAAGAAATAGAGGTTTTACACAGTGGTATCATCTATATAAAATGCGTGATACGAATGCTACGGCTGTGCTCTCTGCTCCAACTCTTCCTGCCTCAAGTGCTTCTTATCATAGTCATGCCCTCACGTATCTACTTACTCATACTCACTGGTATCTTATAACACAGATCTCTCAGGTCTACCTTCCTATCAACAGGCAAAGTCCCGTTGAAGAGTACAGAGTTGAATCTACTGATTGGGAGTTCATTGTAGATACGACTGTGACGAAGACCTCCATTACTAGCTAACCTAACTTGGTTTCCCCCGCTAGACTTTCATCACGAAAATGTTTTAAGTCCAAGCCTTGGTAAATGCAGCGCCTGAAATCCCAGTGAGATTCAATATACCGCCCACAAACCAACTCGACACGGTCTTGCGTGCGATGGAGTGCGTCCAGCAGTCATCTCCCCTCTGCGCGCCTTTCATAATGGTCCCGCTCAGCATCTAAATCATGCTGATCCAACTCTTCGTACTCCATGTCGGCCGTAGTATCTGTATCGGGTGGCAAATCCCTTGGGAGTACACCGAGGTTGATCAATACTTGCCTCTCCACGTGGCGCTCCTGTATTAGATACGCTGCCACACCCATATCGCGTCGCCGTTGCTGATATCTGATTCTTTGCCTCATTGCTCCGTCGATACTTTGGCGTCGCTCTCTCCTTATTGTCCGGATCTCCTCTTCCTTTCTCCTGGGCCGTACAAAGTCCAGCTGAGTTAAATCCGCCTTTGCTTCTTCGATAAGGAACTTGATCATGTCAAGAGGCGACCAAGACCAGCCAGCCCCGAGAATTACAGCAGCCAGAATACTACCATATTCTCCGAACTCCAGATACGCATTAACGTCAGCGCCGTGTTCAATCAGTAACCGAGCACAGTCTACGTCTCCCCTCGTTACAGCAACTGCCAATGGACTACCATATGTTCCAAACCTCAAATCTGCCTTAGCATCAGCGCCGTGTTCAATCAGTAACCGAACACAGCCAATGTCTCTTGTCGATACCGCAACTGCCAATGGACTACCATATTCTCCGAACTCCAGATATGCATTAACGTCAGCGCCGTGTTCAATCAGTAACCGATTACAGTCCACGTCTCCCCTCGTTATAGCAACTACCAATGGACTACCACATGTTCCAGCCCTCGAATCTGCATTGGTATTAGCGCCGTGTTCAATCAGTAACCGAGCACATTCAACGTCTCTCATTCATAAAGCAGCTGCCAAGGGACTGACATGGCTACCAGCTTCCGGCGTGGCGTTGACATCGGCTTTGTGCTCTAGGAGAAGGCGAATACATTCGGGCTCCCCACCGCATATAGCAGCAATCAAAGGGCAGCCATAATCCCCGTATCTGAACTGGTCGTTGACATTTGCACCGTTTTCCAGAAGAAAGCGAGCACTTTCAACACGGCCACGGGATACGGCAGTAGCCAGAGGGCTTCCATAGCTGTCATTGAGGTTCTCCGGATTGACATTTGCTCCCTTGCCAATCAGGACTTTCATGGTGTCGATATCGTCATCAACAGCAGCAATCGACAGGGCACAACCGTAATAGCAATACCACGGAGGACCGGGATCATCGGGATTACACCTCATGTTGGGGTCCAGACCTGCGTTCAGCAGAATAGTGCAGTACTCAGATCCGATTCCCGCTGCGCAACAAGCCAGAGTTGCGCGTTTGGAGAAGAAGTCCATGTTTGCACCGTTCTTGAGCAGCAGCTTCATGACATCAATCTTTCGCTGTTCTACTGATATCAACAGTGGGGGGCCAACGGCTCCGTCGCGAACAAACCCGTTGATGTCGCATCCCCGACTGATTAGAAATTGACAGAGGTCGTAGTGGCCAAAATAGGTGGCAATTTGCAGCAGGCTCATATCTCTCTCGTTCACTAACGAGGGAAGGTCGAGGCCTTTGTGCCACCACTCAGGCAGGAGCCGATGAAGACCCATTGCCACAACGCCAAAGGCGAAGTTGGTATTTGGCATGCTCCGACTCCATGTAAATTCGTAGTGGTGCCGATGACAAGGTTCCATGACGCGGTTGCAAAATACCTGATACTCCCTGGAAGAATGCGGAGGGCGATCTTCACCCAGGAATCGTTTCAAAGCAAGGGCCACGTCTTCAACTCTGTCATCGTTTTCTGGAAGGTCGTGGATGTGTGTGAGCCAGTTCAGGTGAATGTACCGTTGAAGTGGATGCCGAGGATCTAAAGGCTGGTCAAGGTCCACGTATCCTCCCCTCCTCATCCAGTGGGCTAATCTTGAGCCTGATCTATCCTGGAGCGTTCCTGAGTTGGGGTCCACATCTGAGGGTGGCCAGATAGAGGGGTAAGCTGCGCAGCAATCCCTCAAGCAGTTGATCAAGAAAATTGCTACCTCCGCTGGCGCGTCTTTGACCCATGGCTCTTCCTTCTTATCTTCAAAGTATTCTCTGACTGATGCATGGGCAAACCTCCAGACATTGAGGTCTGGGTCCCTCACGATCAAATGTCGGCAGACAGTCTCCAACATTTTCTCGGTGAGATCTGACTTGTCGAGAGCCTTCATACCGTCTCCATGCATCTGTTCGCTTTCCACTCGAATGGCTGGCAGCAATCTGCGACTGTTGAACGGCTGGCGGGCGCACATGACCCATCTTACCGCTCGCTGCAGCATGAAACGCTCAAAGCTCTCAGGTTCGTGTTTATCATAGATCTCGTCGTAGGCTTTAGTCAGAGTTTTGGGAAGTTTCCCAAGTCTGGCTATGACACTGCTATTGGTCTCGAACTCCTTGAGCTGCTCCCATTGCAGGTAAGTCCATCGGAACCTAATTTGTGTCAGTCAGCTTGAGTAGCCGAGGATATCGTATGAGCTAGAACTCACATTCCCGCGCTCTTCTCCACAAGCTTCTTTTTAACAACCTGCTTAGTTTCAAGGCTCCAATCTACGCTGAAGTTGTCCACCTCTGTATTGACAAACTTCTCGATGTCTCCCTGATTATCAGAAGTGTTGATTGTGATCGTTGCCCTTGGCTCTTGGAATGACCTCAGATGGTCACTAATATCGTGCTCGGGACGGCTGGCGATGAATATTTTCAAACAACTATTGGTTTTCTCCACTAGACGCTTGAAAAGCTGAACGACTTGCCGTCTCGTGTCTTTCTTGCACTCATCCAAGGCGTCGAGTAAAAGAACAGTTCGAGGGTAACTGTTTATCATCTCTACCAACGCTGTCTCGCATTCTTGGAGCGTGATATCGCTTTGGATTTGTTTCCTCTGGTATAGGTTGAATAAGGTCTCATGAATGCTCTCAGGATGACCGGTCACCTCGCCTAGTTGTCGGATGTAGCTTCGGAGAATGGAATGAATGCTTTGCCGACTCTGATCAGAGCTATTGCAGTAGAAAAAGGCGAGACCCAGGCTGTGCCCACTGTGAAATTGGAGTTTGTCGTGAATCCGACAATGATCAATTACTTTCGAAGATAGGAACGATTTTCCCGTACCGACTGCAGAACAGAACCGCGGTCAGTTGGTTACTACACACAACAGCCCTCGGGCCTGAATACTTACTATCGCCTCGCAACCAGAACACCGGAGTGCTATCAGAGTCTTCCCATTCAAGGAATTTAGAATGGCTGACCAACCATTCGCATGTGCCCTTGGTTCTTTTTTCGACCTTTTCGTTATGATGAGATCCGACTGGAATTACACTGACGTATTCCATAGCCTTGTCTCTTTCTTGCTTATCAAGCACCTGAAGAATATCCATGACATTCTTGTCGGTACGCTTGATTGGTTCTTCAAGACTCTCAAGCAATCTTCGGTGCTCATCATCTGCTGTAGCCTTACAAGGACGAGTCGCAAGCTCCAGTTCCTGCTCAAGTGCTCTCACTGCTGATAGCCGGTTTTCGCCATAACCGGGGTCAACGAGCGCGTCGAAGAATCGGCGCAAATTGCCATGCTCCATTTCTTCGTAGACAAAAGCAAGAAACTCCAAGCATTCTGCGTATACTTCAACCAACTTCGTCACCAAATCTTCCTGATAAGGCGGCCTAGGCGATATGGAGTTCCCAATGTAGACCTTCTCGTACACTCTACCGCGCCTCACGAGGCAGAGGACTATGTCGGTGCATCCCATAATAGCCACAAGATCCTCACGCTCAGATACGTGGGCCTGAAAGATCATTAGATCATAGTGTTGGCAAGAGTATATTCATGCTTTGCTGCAATACATACCGCCAGAAGCACCTTGATAGCCGACCACACGACGTTAGAGGGCGCAGGGGCAAAGTTGATGGCAATATTTCCAATCGCAGTCACCACAGGGATAACTTTATTCGCATAATCCCTCCACAGAATCTCCCGGTCGCCGGATTTGATCTTCAACGACTCTTGCTTGTGTTTCAATTCGCTTGCTCGAACGAACTCCGCCAACTCACTTGCAGGATTCTGGGCATTGTCCGGTGGAGGAAGACTGGCAATCCATGCCTGAGTTTTCACGTCCACCTTCTTGCATGCTTCCTGCCATAAATCAATGGCTGGAGTAGAGCCGTTCATTGCAGATGGTCCCGGAACGTTGGAAGCAGGAAGGAGTGAAGGGTCATCCGCATTACTAGTAGATGATGTCGCGCGTGAGACGCTTAGTACTGAATCATGACGTCCGACCTTGGGGCCTGTAGGCTCAGGCTTTCCAACATCAGCCGGTTTTGACGCTGGTAGGACGTCAAGGCCAGTCGCAGAAGACCCAGAAACGTCATGGCACGGCTTCTCTCGTCTCTTGAAGCAAGAGCATAAGGCAGAGAGGCAACCGCCGTCGGATTGGCGGGAGTCGGTCATACCGCAGTGAAGGATGCCTCTTTACAAGTCACAAGTTTGGAAAGAAGCAATTCAGAAGGAGGATGTGTTGATAGAAAAACGACAGGACGAAAAGAATGCATGGTCAGATACTAACCCCTTTACTCCGTTCCCCCCTCAAGTCGAAGTTCCTGCAGCTGTCCGTTTCTAATTTTTCATGCAGCCTGGGTTGCATCTACTAGGTATGTTGCTCATGGAATATCTAGGTGTGACGGGCTACGTCCTCTTCAAGGCCCTATCAAAAGTTCGAACGAGCCGCTCAGGCCCCAACGGTCAAGGCCTGCATCTGCAGTTGGACTCGAATAGGTTGCACTGATTGGGCCTTAAGTTGAGGTGTCCAACAGAACCCCGCAACCTTTGAAGTTCGGGCTAGGTATTATGCCCCCCCAACCCCCTCCCAGCGAATGAGGCCTTGGATATAGTTTCTCTATCTTCAGCTCTCGCTTGCTTGCCACGCGGTGTCAAGAATACAGGGTATTGCAGAGAACACCAACACCCGGCTCTGTAATCTTGCCATCGCGGTGGTTGCATCTGAGATCTGACCGCTTTCCGCTGTGGGCAGAATCAAGTTGAAAATGTACTGTGGGATGGCCCTGCAGAGTACCCTCGGCCCATGGGCTGATAGCCTGACATGTACGAATCCTTTTCCTGGAAAATATGACAAGCCAGATGGCATGTTTTAAAAGTCGGCTTTTTTCAGTGAAAATATTTGTGGTTATGGATGTCACTAGGTATGGATTGTATCTTATAATTCATTAGTCGGTAAGGTCGGCTGTCTTTGCTACACTTGAATATTTCTCCTGGGGTTAGATCAACATCTACTCGTGCTCCAAACCGCAGGCTTTTTAACAAAGTATTACAATATGTGGCAAACAAGCCATGATTAAGACCTACCATAATGCAATCTAGATGAACCGAAAAAGTGTACGTCGTATATACATAATCAGTCACCATGTCAGCAATGCCCGGATGCAAGCTGCTTCCGAGCCGAACGGTTGACTGATTGAATGGTTTCGAAACGTTTGTATTTGCAACTAGGTCGATGTATTCTATGAAATGTTGTTCATGATCTCATTATAGCACTGCATGGTTGATCGACACCGAGAGTCTGGTTCTTCCGGAGTTTTAAAGGTTCCGCGCTCTACCTTACAGAAAGGTAAGCAGTTTGGGCGGGCTAGGAAGCGATCTTCAGGCGACCGCACAGTAAGCGGCGTACGGGTTCTTGAGGTCTGTTCTTTGCCGTTGTCAGGCTGCCGAAGGACTTGCCGCAAGGTCATCCCGTGGTCTTGGCTCGCTTTTCATCCCATGTCAAGCCACCTCGACCAAGCCAACATCGTGCGTTGCCTGCAAAATGGCCATCGAGTTTCTGTTGTAACATGAACTTCCCAAATAAAGACGAGGACAAATATGCCTCGTGTCTTCCCATGGGGAAACTTTCGCCTGTATCACGGGAGGCAAGGATTTCGGAATGAACTGGTTTCTCGGAATTTGCATACGTACAGAACATTGGATATGAATACAAATACCGGTGTATTAGATCCGCATTCGAGACCAAGGTTGACAGTTTCGCGACAAGAACCTTTCTCAGACAAAGTGAGACGTTTTGTTGAGAATTACAACGGATCAGCTTTGATCATCCGATTCATCCTAGCCACTTATCATGGACGAGAAATCCGTTTTGAGAAGCCGCGAGAGGAGCTTTTACAAGCTTGATCTCACCAGTAATCTTCCTCCTGGAACTGATAGCATAAGTCAATTTGAAGCTCATCCACGGCAACCAAGGCCACCGGCAGAACCCAAAAGGCCGGTCCCAGAATGGCCACCAGAGACAGAGAGGACAGGGAAGTGGATATCGGCGTATCTCGACCAGGTTGGTGACAACGGAAGCAACAACAAGATCCAAATATGCTGGTACTAATTCGTTGACGTGCCATAGCTCGACCCAGAAACCGAGTACGACCGCATCATCCAGACCTCAACCTTCTTCACCGGCTCCAGCTTCGCCATCGCCATGGGCTACACCTCGACCCTCATCCTCTTAACTCAGACGCCTGCAGGCGCCTCAGCGGTCCACAGCACCGGAAAGCTCTTCCGCCGCGGTCACCAGCGCTTCTACGAGACGCAGGATCGGCTCCTCGACTGGATGTGGTACGGTAGCGCCTCCCCGCAGGCCGTCGAGGGCATTGAGAGGGTCAACAAGATCCACGCGGCTGTGTGGAAGAACGCGCCGGGGACGTTCAGTCACCCCTGGGAAGGCCAGATGTCGCTCATCGGGTCGGCGTACTTTGAGACGTACCTGAGGGACCTCGTCGGGGCGAGGGTCAGGGACATACATCCCAAGCTGGCGGCGGCGTGGCCGGCGTGGGCTGAGAGGGCGTGTGCGCACTTTCGCTCGGAGCCAGAGGACGGGTCGAGGAGCTTTGGAGTGAATTTCCCGAGGGATTGGAAGGAGCTCGAGGCTTTTCACAAGTGGTATCGTGAGCTGCCGTTTGATAAGTATACCAGTGAAGAAGAAAGGGTAAAGGGTGCTGTGATATCTAAGGGGGTTGTTGATCAGTTTGCCGAACTGTGGTTTCCAAGGTACGTTTCACTCAACATCCCCGGCATCTGTCAATGGCATATCTCACAAACGGGCAGGTATCTCCAATGGTTCGGCCGACAGCTGTTCCTCACCATCGTGCCACCCAAGGTCCGAGAACAACAGCGCACCGGGCATCCTAACCCTTTGGTGGCCAAGCTTGTCAAGTTGTTCCTCAAGATACAACTCGACCTGGCTGACATTATGCCGGATCCCGCGAGGCCCATCTTGAGGGACGAGTATCACAAGATCAAGAGTTGGGAATGGTACAAGATTGATGCTCAAGTAATTGAGAAGCGGAGAAAGCAGGCGTCGCTGATCAGGAACTTGCTCTTAGGGGTGCTACTGATACTTATTGCGATTGTCTTTATGAGGGGCTGTGCTGTGGGAGGTAAGCCGGGAACGGCAGTCCACGGGCTCAAGGTTCTGCCTTAAGGGATCACTTAGCAGTTCCAAGTTCCGGGAGGCAATCCGTTAAGTCCCAAACGACGCAGTGTAGGACGCAAAGACCTGGGGCCTAGTTTTGCTTTGTGGATGTGGATTGAGTCAAGAACTGTTGGTGGTAGGTAGGCAAGTGATCGTCCTAAGGCAAGGTCTACGCCATGAAGTGCGCGCCAGAGAAGTTCTGTAGTTGGGGATAGCCAGGAGTCAGCGTAAAGTAGGTAAACTCTCATGAAAGTGAAAGTACATGTGTGGTATTCTGGGGTTCAAGTGTATAAGCCTTCGTGACTGTAGTCAACCAAAGCACCATTGTCTTGGAATATGCCGGCGAAGACGCCAGTTTGGTTGCTTACAGCCCAGGAGCTGTACCCACTGATGTATAAAATCGAGCAATGCCTACTTCACTTCTTCCATGACGGCCCCTATCAATCCAGTCACTATTCTATCACAAATAGGGATTGAAGCTGAGGTTCATTACATGACTTCCAATACACGTGAAACGGCAATGATGAGCACCTAAGGGAATAGACTTCACAGTACCGGTCGAAAGGAACGATTGGATTGAGACTAAATTGACGTTGACGGCTCGGGTGGCGTAGACACACGTCTGTAGTTGAGATAAAGAAGGGCCATCCCGCACCCTCATTCGGAAGCGTAGCCGCGAGTATCCGTATCAGCAGCGGGTTCCAAGCCGAAAAGATTGCGGTTGGCGTTGCTGCTGCTGGCATGCTGCCCACGACGAACGCGTGGGTGGGCACGGATTGCCTTTCGGGGATAGCCCGGGATGGAGACCGGTAGCAGTTTACACCGAGGAAGTGCAAGTGTGGAGGACGTCACCGACAAATTACCCCGCACCCCATTGACCCGAGATGGGCCGCTAGCGCTGCACTGGAACCAGTGTGGGGCGCGGCAGTCTGCGACGGTACAATGAAGAGCGAGCTGATGACCTTTGATGGGTTTCGCCCCCCGGCAACCGTCTCTTTTCTCCAAGTCGAATTCCCCCCCTTCAATAGAAGATAGGTGCTTGCTTCCCCCAACATTTCTGACCTAGAAGAACTTTTTTTGGAGTCCCGATTCTCGGACTGACTAGCGAGACGACACCTACATCTTTTTCTGCTCTTGGTTCCGGCCCCTAGATCTGCGTCGGCTTCTCTTCCATTACCTCTTCTGCCCGTCATTGGTGTTTGTAGAACGTGCTATTCCCGGTCCCTCTGATTTGAAATACCTTGGATTCGACTAGACCAGCAAGCAAGCCACCCATAAATCAGACGCTACCCCGTGGAGAAAGATCTACCTAGTTGTCGGCCTTTACCCCGGATTTCCCAACCTGTCAATAAATTCCCAAGTTCCTTTTCTTCCCTTCGTCCGGAACAACGACAACAATCGCAACGAACAGCAGGCAAAATGGGTTTGAAGGGCGACGATATCGCGAAGCACAACAGTGCCGACTCTTGCTGGGTCATTGTTCACGTAAGTCATAATGAGGTGTATTCATGCCAATTGGCAGGCAATTGACATTGGCCGCCTAATAGGGCAAAGCTTACGATGTAACGGACTTTTTGCCTGGTAAGTTCTTCTTCTACAGTACCCTCAACTGCTTTCCCTGTTAACGACGACCCTTAGAGCACCCCGGTGGCTCAAAAATTATCCTCAAGTACGCCGGCAAAGATGCGACGGAAGAGTTCGACCCCATCCACCCGCCCGACACCCTCGACAAGTACCTCGAGCAGTCCAAGCACCTCGGCCCCGTCGACATGACCTCCGTAGTGGCTGAGGAGAAGGAGGAGGATCCCGAAGAGATTGAGCGCTTGGAGAGGGTTGAGCAGAAGCCACTGTTGTCCCAATGTTACAACCTAATGGATTTCGAGGCCGTAGCGCGCAGAGTCATGAAGAAGACGGCTTGGGGATACTACTCAAGTGCAGCCGACGACGAAATTGTAGGTCGACCCCGCAAAATCGCATCCAGCAGAGGACCAGACAGGATTTTTAACTGATCTTTTCTGCAGACATTGCGCGAAAACCACGGTGCCTTCCACAGAATCTGGTTCCGGCCGCAGATCCTCGTCGACGTCGAAAAGGTAGACTTCACCACCACCATGCTCGGCGCAAAGGTCGACATGCCCTTCTACGTCACCGCCACCGCCCTCGGCAAGCTGGGCCACCCCGAGGGCGAGGTCCTCCTCACCCGCGCCTCCCGCAAGCACAACGTCATCCAGATGATCCCGACGCTGGCCTCGTGCTCCTTTGACGAGCTCATGGACGCCGCCGAGGGCGACCAGGTGCAGTGGATGCAGCTCTACGTCAACAAGGACCGCGAGATCACAAAGAAGATTGTGCAGCACGCCGAGGCGCGCGGCTGCAAGGGCCTCTTCATCACCGTCGACGCGCCGCAGCTGGGTCGTCGTGAGAAGGATATGCGGTCCAAGTTCACCGACCCGGGTGCCAATGTGCAGTCGGGCCAGGCGACGGATCAGAGTCAGGGTGCTGCCCGCGCCATTTCGTCCTTTATCGACCCCGCCCTGTCGTGGAAGGATATCCCCTGGTTCAAGTCCATCACCAACATGCCCATCATCCTGAAGGGTGTGCAGCGCGTCGAGGACGTCATCAAGGCCATCGAGGCTGGCGTTCAGGGCGTGGTGCTCTCCAACCACGGAGGTCGTCAACTCGACTTTGCCCGGTCTGGAATCGAGGTCCTCGCCGAGACGATGCCGGTGCTGCGCCGCATGGGATTGGAGAACGCGATTGAGATCTACATTGACGGCGGTGTCCGTCGCGCTACCGATATCATCAAGGCGCTGTGCCTCGGTGCCAAGGGTGTCGGTATCGGCAGACCTTTCCTGTACGCCATGGCCGGCTACGGCTTTGACGGTGTCGACCGCGCCATGCAGCTGCTCCGCGACGAGATGGAGATGAACATGCGTCTCATTGGTTGCACGAGCATCGACCAGCTCAACCCTTCGCTTATCGATACCCGGAGTCTGTTCAACCACGGCTCTACACCGTCTGACAATCTTATGGGTGCTGTGTACGACCCGTTGGCGACGCCGGTTCAGAGACCCAAGGCGCCCAAGCCGTCAAAGTTGTAGATTTGCCTCTTTCAGGACAAGTGCAATCGTACAAGCGCAGTCGTAGCGTAAGCAGGTGTGGAGGGAAAGGTGTTCTGCTTTTTGGGAGCGAATGAGACTTACCATGAGACCTGATCTTTGAATCAGATGTATGATATATAAACTACCTATATACAGGATACTACCATGATTCAATATCCAATTCATGCCCATAATAGTGACGAGGTGCCGAGAGAATTTACCGTAATGGCTTTCTTTCCAAAAAAATACATATTCCGGAGATCACAGTAGCCAATGCCGATATGTTTGGTTGACGCCCTGAATATCTAAGCGTCAATTTGTATGCTTTTGTCATCAACTTTTCAACTTTACAACTTCTCTCGCAGACTTGGCAGCTGAAGGGAAGAGCCCCACGCTTGGCATTCAACGGTTATCTGTATGCCCGTTGTCTCGGTACGATGTGCTTCAGCTATGCCGCATGAGGAAAAAGCAATGTCGCTCTCGCGAAGAAATTTTAAGGATTAAGCCTCTGTCATTCACGGATTGGTATCTATAGACCGCAACGACAAATGCCGTGTCTCGGTCACACTCGTATGCCTCGCGTGTCTATCCCCGATCGACGCGGGGGGTTAGAAAGAGTGAGAGCCAGTGTCACCGCACCACTTACCCTAGGGATGACCCTAATGAAGTCATCTCATAGAGTCAACGCCACCTCATGCAGAGAAACATGACGACTTGGAACAAGGCCGAAGAAGACGATTGAGGGAATGGAAAATGGAGTGACGATAGGCTATCATGAGTATTTGGACAGATATCACGCCCACGTAGCGCCGCGTATCACAGTAATATGGAACGCTTACCTCAGTACCGACTTGTTGAAATGTGGGATTGCCGAGACATAAAAAACGGAATCGAATTCTAGATCCCAGTGGCGTCTCATGGCGGGTTGAAATGTCCTCGATGTGACACTTGTCTCAAACCTTCCAAAGTCTAGCTCAGGCCGTCGCGATTCTTGATGTCAAAGTGGTCGAATGCGGACTGCGGCAACTCAGCTGGCTTGCTAGTGAGTTGCGGCTGAGAAACCCAAGCGCCGTTCATTCTTGACACCACAACCTGTGAATTGACTGAGGGCGATCTGACCGGAACCTAAGAGAAGTATGCATTGGGAGACTCGAACATGTGGCTAACATCCAGTGTGGAATAAGAGAAGACAGATGAACGAGGAAGCGTTTCTGGCCGTCATTGAGGGTTGTCTGTTCTGTACTGGCGGGTATGGTGAAGACATACGTCATGAGGTCTCTTCCTCAGGTCTCATTTCCTGTTCGACGAGAATCAACTTCTCACCACAACTCCTGGGTTCTGGACTTCAAAAAAGTCCCGCTTCTCTCTACACGGTGTTGTAAGGGAGTAACCTTACAGCTAATATAGTATCAGAGGCTAAGGTCTGGTATGGCGTGAAGCTGTAGAATTCAACACCTCACCACCTTTCGGGGACCCTATCCAGTTTCCGTCTCACTGAAAACAGAATGATATTACTATGGGACGGGTGTGGCTGGCTGAACATTATATTCGTCCATCCAGATTCATCCATCACATAAGTCTTCGTCGCACAAATGTCAACAGAGGTATTGTCAAGATTTATAAAAGGCAGTCCCCTTTCACCCAAGGTTTCCATATCCTATCCTCATCAAAGACATCTCATAGCTCTCATAACATCATCTCATACAGTCTCAAATCCCAATCAAAGCAACATCAATCATGGGTGAAGTCTATATCAAAAGGAATGGTCGCGTGCCTCCTGAATCTTTGGCCCGTCGTATCGGTGGATGGCTACCGTCAAACCCTCACCGAATTCAAAAACATGTGAGGGAGGTGCTCAGGCAAGCGAAGGCCGCGAACTTTCCCATCGCTCCACCCATCGCCACCCTCCAGAATCTCCTCAACAGTACCCCAACCGTCCGCATGCTCTTCACCGAGATGCTCACAGAGGTTCCTGCCAAGTACACAAGTTATCCCGGAGGCGCGCCCAACGCTGAGTGCAGAACCGTGGACGATCTCATCGCCGCCTTGAATTACCAGATCCAGAACCCGATCAGTTGGAACGACTCGGTTCAGATCGGTACCCCGATCAACGGCCTTCTCGACTGGCCAATGGCTACCAAGGCCGGCTTCGCAGCATTCATTCGAGACGACGTCAACAACGTCTTCCAAGAAATGCTGAAATACTGGGGTGTATTTCTGAGGAGCCCGGCATCCAATGTAACAATCACAACGGCCAAAGATGGATGGCTGTCGACCGAAGCACAGGCTAAGGGTGGCTTGAAGAACTTTCTCAAGACCTACGTAGTGCCTGATCCTACCAACACCATCACCTATGGATTTGAAAACTGGGACCAGTTTTTCACACGCCAATTCCTCCCTGACCTTCGTCCCGTTGCATCGCCGGACGATGACAATGTCATTGTCAGCGCAACTGAATCGACCCCGTTCGAAATTCAACGACAGGTCCAGCTCCAGGATACCTTCTGGGTAAAGAATCAAGATGAACGCTCCAACTACAGTCTTGCCGACATGCTCGGGGGGAAAGAGATTGCTGAGAAATTCGTGGGCGGCACCGTCTATCAGGCGTTCTTGAGCGCGGACAGCTATCACAACTGGCACGCCCCCGTCTCTGGCAAGTACTTCCAGCCTCCTACAATCATCAACGGCACGTACTACTCGGAGCCCATCATGTGGAGCTTCAACAACGACCAGGGCAAATCCGACCCTGATAAGGCCTCGGACGAGCTCTCGCAGGGCTACATCTCTGCTGTTGCCAAGCGCGGCGTGGCTCTGATCCAGGCAGATAACCCAGCCATTGGACTCATGGCGATCGTTATGATCGGCATGGCCGAGGTCTCGTCGGTTGACTTCTTTGAAAATTCCAACAATTGCTTCAAGAAGGGTGATCCGATCGGATGCTTTCACTTTGGTGGTTCGACGCACTGTTTGATCTTTGGGCCCAACGTGAACGTTGAGTTCGCCCCAAACGCGGATCCGTACCCGAATCTTCATTATAACGATAACCATCACCCGCAGGTTCAAGTCAAGAGTCTGCTCGCTACTGTGACACCTCCAAGCAACTGAGACAAGATAGAGTGAGCTTTTCTTTCTTCGACATGCTATACACGGATATGGGTTAGCTCGTTATCGCCGCTGCCTGTAAGGTAACCTAGGGTTCTGATAGCTAGCCTAATTCGATCGATATCATTCATCCTTGTGTGCTACAATCCATAAGGCGCTTAGCTGCTCACTCTCCATGTACATCTAGATGGAAGTGTCAGCTCGATATGAACACCACTCCTGCTTCACTCCAAAGGCTCCAACTCAAAATGGAGGAGGCGGGCAAAAAGGGTACCGACATGTCTTTTTATACGCAAAATATTGATAATTGCCCGATCGGGACCGGTGATGTAACCAGCCTAGGCCAGCCCATCATGATGCAGTGGGATGTCTTGAGGATGTATAACTTTCCCTGTTCAAAGTGTAGACGCTGATATGACGACCATTCTCACTCTCTAGATTGAGAGGTTTGCACCGCCTCTCAAGTTTTCCTCCTCTGGGCAAGCACGCCGGGCGAAGAGATAGATGGTCATGCTTGGGTCCTGGACATGATCAGAAGCGATCGACCACTACTGAAAGAGATGAGGAGTTATGTTATTGTTTGACAACACGAAAAGATGGGTATAATTTATAAGATACCTTCTCCAAGGGAAACCAGTGTTGCTTTCTTGCTACATACCAGCTTACACCAAGGAAAACGGGCCGCGTAGGTACGCCTAACAATCAAGTCCCAGCCTCCATCGTGCTAAGTAAGGTACTCTGAGCTGCAGATAGATGGTGTGGCATGGGGAAAATTCAAGCGATAGCGGACTTGACGCTTGAGGGTACTTACACCAATCCAAGTACACGAGAATGAGGACCAACTGCCTTCGTAGTCCTGTCCAGATGCTGAGGAAGACAATATAAAAGCTCCTTCTCAAGTGCATCGATAAATTGTTGATTATTCATCGGAACTTGTAGATGATATATTTGTCTTGATGACAAAACACCCGGATGGCCTTTCGACTCGTATCGAGGTGTGATGGGCAGCACACTTTAAGGATCGTATTTAGCAAAGTTTCGGGGCGTTTCTGCGTCGGAGATTAACCCCCACGTCCAAGTCATTTCTGTGTTTGGGCAGAGGAAGTTGCAGCTAGAACAAAACTCGCTGTTTTTGTATTGTTGATCACGATCTTGCAATTACCATGTTGCCATTTCGGGTTGTTGGAAGAGATCATTGGTCCAAAAGAGGCAAAGTCTTTCACGACAAGGCACTCTTGTGATTTCGGCCCACGTGTACGGAGTAATTGGACTCGAGTCTACCGTCGGCATCTATAGCCGCAACGACCGTCCGAACAGAAGTATACGACTACTCATGCGGCCTTGTTCCGTCCGTGGCTTGATGTGAAGGGATTCGAGTCCGAAGCGTCCATAGCGCCCGCAAGCTAGTGAACACGAGGTTTCAAGAGAGGTATCCTCACGATAGTTCTATTAGTGGGTTAAACGTGTGTCTGGGGTCCAACTTTGGCGGTCGTTGGTAGAGGTGTAGTCCATCGATATCTCAATGGCATGCAACCGATGATGAACGTTCACCCAAGAAACCCAATGTGGTGGATGCAATGCGATGAGTTGCAAGTCGTACGAGAACACGGCAGAGCCTCCATTCCTCGCGGTGATCGGCGTCGTGCCCGGCTCCCACCTCAAGGCGGCCGGCCCGTCCGGCTACCCGCCGCCGGGTGTGACGTCAAAGTCCGGACAAAGACGACGCATTGTGCATTGGAGATTTGCACTGGAGATGGAGCGGATACGATGTTTATGTGCACGTACATCCGTCTTATCCGTTTTGCATCTGTCCTGAGATCGTGAGGCTGTGGGATATGCGGATAACCAGCCAAGAAAAGGAGACGCATACGATTACAAAGTATGCTTGAAAGGTTGGAGCGATTCAGCGGTTGTGGAAGGAGAGAATACGAGTCATAGAGGCTCTAATGCAATCAAAAAAGACATTACGGTTTGCGAAAAAGGGGAGCCGGGAGACTCCATGATCTCTTGGCCGTCGTCCCAGGAGGGTTTAGCGAGGTCCTAAAGAGGCAGGGGTAATAACGCCAAGTTGGGCGGGATCGACACAATGTCTTGCTCGTTTCAGAATCCGGCCAACGGGGTTCTTCCCTTCCAACTGCTCCCCTTCTCAACTTCTCCAACAACACACACACTTCCAAGTTCCAGCTCCATAGGATGACCGGGTTCCTGCGTCTACGCTTTTTGAGTTCACGCCAGAACTTCGGGGAGGTTTTTTCTTTTCTTCCCTATCATTTTATTCTCCAAACCCCCACTGGTCAAGCCTGGCTGGCCCTGGGGCCTGGACAGCTTGGCGGGCTTCCTCCCACACCGGATGAACGGCTTTCTATTTTTGTGCCGACTTTTGTGCGTCTCCAGAGATAAGGCAGCGTCCAACCATGGTTCGACGCAGATTACCGGCGGCTAGCTTTCATAGGGCTGTGCCGTTCTTGCAGAGTTGCAGTAACCCTTTCCCAGGCACTGCATCGCTACCGAGTTCCCAGACGATCTAGCAGAGAGCCGATCCCGTGCCCTCTTTTATTCCGCCATACGCTGATCGTCCAACACGCTACTCTTATACGAAGACGCGAACTCTCACCATCTGGGCCTTCGGGAAATATGTGGCGTTATCCATACGAGGAAACACAGCACCAAACCTAAGAAGATTGTCCCTGATGAATCTGGGCAGCAACTACGCGTGTTTCGAGGCCAACGGGATACGTGCAGCCAGCAACGACAAGCTGACCATGGTGACTGGTCGGCGTCTACTCCGTACTCCATACCCGACCCAGCTGTCATCGCTGAATTGCTCGGTCTTCTCCGTTCATCTATTCACTGGTCTTGGCCGTCGAGGAGGTCCTCTCTTTGCCTGCAAGGGTCATGGCAGGGCGACCCAGCTTTGCCAACATAACACGAACGACACTGACGGGATGATGCTGACAAGTTGCACAGTTGTTTACGTCAAGACGGCCAATGTCAAGTGCGTGTGTGTGTGTTCCCCAGAACATCGGACGACGGGTAACCTTATTTGACAGCTTCTCTCGTGGGAAACACGGCAAAAGCTTTGACAAGCATGAGTGTTCAGACGAATTTTTCCCTCTACAAACCTTCAAAGCTCGAGGCAGTGTTCGACGATCACTCATGCGATCCACGGCGCGAGCCCGAGGGAGATCCCGGCTAACAGCAAGTTGCGACCACAGCAATGGGGCTCTCTGCGGGTCTGTACAAGGGTACATCAAAGGGGGCAAGGCTCGAGGCTCGAGGGTTCAGGTTGACCGCCGCCGCCGTCTTCGTCGTAGTGCGACGTGCCTGACCGCCATCCGTCTTGTTGTTCGGGCGGCCGTGGGATTCATGGGAGGAGGATGGACCTAAAGTCAGAACAACACGACAAGCCTGTTGGATGGCCGAGCGGCTTCTCAGAAGCTCCATACGATTTCTTCTGCCTGTCTTTCCCACATCACGGGCTTTTCCTGCTTGGACCTCCACCCGGCCCCAAGGCCAGCGCCTGGCTTGAGCATCTGGGCATGGTTCCCACCTTATCCTCTCTCTCGATGGGGATCGCGGCTCGAGAAGCCTCGCCATTCGCCAGCGCCGACTCGGCGTCGACGAAGGACCAACTCCCCGGCAGACTCTATCGGGCCATAACTGCACCTGCGGGATGGCGCAGCCTAGCTTGGGGGCTCCAGAGTTTCCACATTTTGGAAGATGGATCTCTCTTGGAGCGTCCTCTCCTCTGCGGAAGTGCCGCAGATGGAGCTGTGATGCACGATGTGCCCGGCGAGGCAGTTGTGTATATACATATCGTCGAATTTCTTCTTCTCTGTCCATTTGAGAACTCTCTTCTTCAACGCCGCTCTCATCGACAATTCCTCACGAGTAGCCTCTCGTGCCTCTCCTTACTCTTTGTGTTATTCTTAATTATAGACACACGTCTCTCATTGTTTATACGTGTCTAATAACTACACTCACTCATAACAATACAAACACACATACAGCCTCGATCTCTTTGAGGAACCACACTCTCTCTTACACGAGCATTTCAGCTCCAAAAACACCAACACACCAACATGGTTCGTTCAACCGCATACAAGGCCATTGCGGCTGCCTCTCTCTTTTCGCGGTTCTCCTCCGCAGCCATCACAGCCTGCCCGAACGATGAGGCCGAATGGGAATCGCCCATTGGAGTCAAGTACACCGTCTGCCCTGGCTCTGACTATCAGTATGGTGGCGGCAGTCTCCAATACGTTCAAAATGTCCAGACCACGGTCGAGTGTGTCCAGATCTGTGACAAGGATGCCCGCTGCAACAGAGCCGTCTACGACAAGGAGCTCAAGGTTTGTCACGTCAAGGACACCAAGAACGAGATGAACTGGGCAGCCGACGACCGCTTCGACTCTATCCGTATGACAAACGACTTCGCCGACGGCACATTCCTTGCTACCTGCCCCTTCAAGGAGGAGGGCTACCGAGTTCCCAAGGGCAGCGCCGACTACCGTGTCTGCCGCGGTACCGATTACACCGGCAACAGCGCCAAGATTGTTCAGGATGTGACGACCATCCAAGCCTGCTCTGAGCTCTGCTCCAACACCCAGAACTGCAAGAAGGCCGTTTTTGACAACATCAACAATGTCTGCCACATCAAGGCCGCCGAGCCCGAGACGTCTCTGTTCTGGGTTCAGAACAAGCAGTTCGACACCATCCACGTCCCCGAGAACATCAACCCGGCCGTCCAGGGCAAGTGGGGCGACCTCATTCGTCTGCCCGTGATTCCCGTTGCGGCTTACATCGTCCCGTCCTACCCCGAGCCCAGCAGACTGCTGTTCTTCTCCTCGTGGGGTGTGGACGCCTTTGGTGGTGCTTCTGGCATGACCCAGTACGGTGACTACAACTTCGCTACCGGCGAGATTTCTGAGCGCGCTGTCACCAACACCCACCACGACATGTTCTGCCCGGCCATCAGCCAGCTTCAGGATGGTCGCATCGTCATC